ATGAACATCCAATTATAGCGATTAAATAAAACAATAAACATACTATTACAATAGTTGGAAACCCAATTAAGATAATTTTAAAATATTTAGATTACTTTTACGCATGCAATTTTCATTAGGCAGATTATCAAATGACAATAATTTATACACCTAACTATATCAAATGTTATAAAAAATGCATAAATAATTTTTTTAAGTTCACTAATTAATAGCAAGGAACATTTTACATCTATTTTATTTGATTTTTAACAGAGCCCAGTTACTTCAATAATTATTGAACAATGACCATATTGGTAAACGTCAAAAAAAATGTAGAATATTTAACCTTGATTAACATGGTTTCAGTGTAGGTGTTGAGAAGAAGTGGATCAAGAATGAAAGCAAAAGAGAATAAATCAAAATCAGTAAAAATAAAGAATCCTAGAAGTGATTTATTGCAAAAATGTACATGTAAACAACAGCTGATAAGGTAATATTTTACATTACAGAACACAAGTCATTATCATATTTTAGAAAATTATACTCCAAAGTTGCACATAACTTTACTACTGTGTCCTAAACCTGAGACTTCCTCTTAAGACGATTTCTCTCAAGCCGGCAATATTTTTAAATATTACAAGCTGATCTATACCCATACTCAAATCTATATCTCCTATAATTATTTTCTAGACTTAATCTTTCAAACAAGTTGGGAGTATATTGCCAGTATAATTAAAATAACAAATAACCGTCGTCACATACCGCAAAGAGCTCCGCCATTCTTCTGCGAACAGTTTAAACCGCAGTTCAACCCATTTCGGTGTTTGGCGCTTTCGAAACTATTTTCATATCTGTTAAACCAGATTTAATACTATTTCATTTGGACAATTTTTTTTTAAGAATAAAAGCTTTAGATTTAAATCGAACCTAAAAAAGAGCAACCGTTACTTTTTTATTTACGTTCTTACAATTGTTTTGGTTGTTCTACATTTATTTATTTATTATTTAATTAAATTTTGCCCAACTCATCTGCTGTACACCATAACAGTTGTAGCGCTACTAATTCACTAGCCGTGGTTTTTTAATTTAAACAGGTAAATAAAAATACAATAATTGTCATTTTTTTAATACAAATATGGTATAAATAAAATTACTAATTCTAAACAGAAAACCATTGTGGCTTATTTGTGGGTGGGGGGTGGGGGCAGGATGCCAACCATGCTTAAAAACCGCTATCCACATCACAAAAAGAACATAATATAGGAAAGCCTCCTATAATCCACAAAGTGAGAAGCGATAGAAAATTAAGGAGGGCAGTATTATCATTATGATGAAGCTACTTGGACCCCTCGCTAATACCCAAATAATCGAAAATTACTCCACTGATTGTACTCGCATACAGCATACTAACACAACGGTTCTTTAAAAATAAAAACATGTACACCAATAGACAAAGCTATGAACTTTTTAAAATTCTTCATTAAACTTATTAGTATCGTTTGAATATATAACAATATATACGTTACAAAGCTTGAAACTTTTCAAAAAGTTAAATTAAATCAGTAATTTAATAAGTTCTATCTAAGTGTTATAATAATATAAGTTTAAACAGTAAATAACGTTATACTGTACAATTTTAGATGATTATAGTATTTTGTAACAGCCTGACACGATTATTTTATTATTATCAAAAACAAAAACATTGTAATAAAATAGTATTATTAGCACAAAACTGAAGGACGTGTCGAAGATAATAATACGCATAAACATTATATTGTTATTATACAATAACTAGGTAGCGGGTGTGTATTTTTGCCAAAACTCCTTGGTAAAGCGAAGTGTAGGTACAGAGTTCTTAAAATTGAATGTCAAGTAATGATAAGCATTACCGGCATAGATTAATGTTATGCTATAAGGATAGGTAAATTATAAATGAATGAATAGTTAGTAAGACATGTAGTGGCCTGCAGCCAATACAATACAGTGCTTGTGACCTTGTAAGGAAACGAGTCATTGTACAGCAAACGATCAGACAAAGAAGATCGACAATGTGATACTCGTGCTAGTTGAAAATGAAAGTGACTGTTGTTCAATAATAAACACTGCGATGGGTTTCGAGGCGACCCATAGCGACCGTGTCAAAGAAATTAATCTTCAGTAGTATATAGAAAATTTTAGGTATGGCTGTCTATACCACGGCACTGGTTTACAGCTGTTGTACTTCGAGTATGGGGTGTCAATAATAGTATAATTAATTATTACTTTCGTAATGTCTATCGAAATGTGTTTAGAGGCCATAAATAGTTATCGGTTGTTTTATGTTTCAGTAACAATACCCGACACTGTAGAAACCAAAAATTTAATAGCATTTGAGAAATAAACACAGATGTGACGGTGCTTTAATATTTTAAGTTGAGCGACCAATACTAAATCAGAGTTAGGCAACTGGCAAAATATATTAAAATAACGAATAACAACTAAAACTAATCGAATAACGTATTAATTTAATTTTAGAATCTTATGATATTTTATTTTAAAAAAAATGTTTCATGCAATAATTTTTAAATAACATTGTGTTAAACCTTTCTACACAAATTGTATTATCATAATATTATTGAATTGTCTAGAATATCTGATTTCTAGATCCTTATATGACATAATATAATAGTTATTATAAGAGAATAATTGTTTAATTCTTAAAGAAAACATTACTTTTTAATATTCAACCTTCTAGAATGACATTAGGCTTAAAACAAAATTAATCTAATGACTAATGTGAGTACAGCCAATGCTATATTTTGGCAAAATCAAGATGAAATACATAAATAGAAAAGAACATTATAATTTTCCTAAAAAAAAAAAAATACCCTGATGGAAATTTTTAAAAATATATTTATTAAAATTTGTTCCAGCGTCGTTCCTTGGAAAATACAAATGTCAATTGTAATTTGTCAAAGATTTTAGCTATTCTTCCACTGAGGCCTAGAAACATAATAAATAACACCTGACAAAATTACCATATAGCAGCTTAAAGTTGTTTTGACATTTTTCAAGCCAACAATCTTTTATATAGCTCCTTTTCTGTTTTCTCTATCAAGTTGAAATTTATTGTCATTTCTTAGTAATATTGATTGCTAGTCTTTCACTTTATAAAAAATTTAAATGATTGAATGTCTTATAACAAACACGCATACTACTAAAATTGTAAAAGAAATAAAATGATTAGCAATCAATAAGTATATTAAAAAAAATATATGATTTTATACTCGATAATATTAATCGAGAATCGTATCATAACGAATTCATATGATAACTTATGACTTACAATTAAAGAAATTCTAATAGTGATCTAAATTAATGTTGGTATTGGTACCAGCTTCAAATATGTTCATTTGTTCGGTACAAATAATAATTTAATGAAAAATCAGCAGCACTATACAGATTAAAAATTACAGAAATAAAATCGAAATTTTGTTGTACAACCATAGTTTAACCACAGCAGTCGAAGCCTTTACTGTTTTCATAAACAATTATAACTCTTAATTTTTAATAGAGAACACAATAATAACAATTACAGTTTATATTATTTCTATCTACAAGTGTTGAACTTTTAATGTAATTATGTATTATTATAATATGTTTAAGTTATTGTATACTTTGACGAGTACGACAGTGCTATCTAGCGGTGTACAATGTACGCATCTAAAATACAATTTATTTGCCCAAACATTTTTAGTCATACACGGAAACTCGGAAAAATCGTATAAAATACTTTATTATAACCATAAACGAAAACAACAATAATTATCGAATAATTAACATAAAACCCTCTTATCAGTTGGCACTCACACACCTACTGTCATTATAATACCAGCTTAGAATATTAACAAGCATCACTTCTTTTTGATCTGGTCTGACAGCTCATTATGAGAGCAATTAAAAATATATTTTCCTCGTACACTTTTCAACGCATCGGAATCATTGTAAATTCATGCAAGCGTACATTATGTATAATTTAACTACTTAAAATTTAGTACTCTTAATTTACCTTCGCTGAACAGCCTTTTGAATTAAGTAAAAAAAAAAACATTTATATAAAATGCATATTCTTTAATTATTCGTAACTCAGTTTTAAGTATTTGGCACAGAGATACTTTTAATTGTCTCATCACATCAAAGTCAAATAAGTTTTTTGATAAATCAATGTCATACACGTAGGTTAGTGTTCCAAACTGTTAACATTTTTAATTATATAGTTATTATAATATCGTTTAACCTAACCTCCTAACCTACCATTTTTTGTTTTAATTATTTGTAATTAATTTTGTTCCAGAGTACTTTGCGCAACTTGTAATGAAGCTATTAATTAAATAATAATAACACTAGATTTTTTACCGCTTTAGAACTTGTGTAATTTAAATAGTTTCACTATTGATGTGTAATAATAATAATAATAATCATTTATAACTAAAAGAAAAAAATATACTCTGCAAGTTTAACTTTGATTATCAATTAACAATACAAATACACACACACACAATACGATTTTTGCTGTGACCTTTTGGATTTCGGACAACTTTTTTATGTTTACTTCGCCTCTCAACAGATGTCAATTACTAATTATTAAATAATCAGTTAAGGTTTATTTTAATACACATGACTCATATTGGATTAACTTTAATTGTGAATTGAGACAGGAATACGAATTGTCAAAAAGCCAATATTAACCCTACTTTTTTTTTATTCTTTTTTGTTACTTGCTATTTTTTATTCGTATCCAATATAAAACAATACGTTCGTTTACAACCAACCTGACTTGTTTCACTTAAATTACAACTGAAGACTATTTGAAAGTTTGTAGTAGGTAACAAAATAAAACTCACATAGCTCTATTATCAAGGAGTATTACAAAAGTTAAATAACCAAAAGTATTTTATCAAAAAATAAAATTTACACACTCACACTCATATATTATACTTGAATTGTATTTTTGTAATTTATAAAACAGATTCATAACTATATAACTTACAACACTATCCACGAATCAAAATTATATAAATGTATAAAAATGAATAGTATTAAACACATTATAAAATAAAATAATAAATGCAATGTGTACAAAATTATTATGGTTGAAGAAAAAAACATTTCATTTTTTTTCATTCAACTACATTACTTTTGTATCACCCACATGTCTTTTTTCAGTCGTCCCAAAACTATCAACACCAGTAAAAATATGAGCGCATATGCAAATATCACTGTGGTCCCTAAAACGATTGCCGGGTGTGCCAATGTCCATCCTTTCAACGCTATATCGTTCATGGTCTTGCCGGCTACGTATAAAGGTAGAACCTGGGAAACGGCTTTCAAGTAAAACGGCTGTCCTTCGACCGGCCAAATGGCACCTGAAAAAAAAAATGATAATTACTACAACCCCCATTGGATATAATGTTTCAATGCAAAGAAGATTTGATTTTACTATAGTACATTTTTTTTTAATCAAATTTTAATGGGGTGCTTTACTTAAAAAAAAAAAACGCTAGGCTATTGTTTTTTATGTTATCGCATAATATCATATAATTTATACTGTAATAGCGATAAAACGAGATAATAACATCACTAACTCTAACACGTCTGTTTCATAATTAAACGCAAAAGTGGTTTTTATAGTGGTATTTATTTACAATAAACGAAGTAAATCTGAAGTAAAATATTCTTTTGAAAGCTACTATTAAGTGTCACAATTAACTTGCTTATTATTTTATGAAATACGCCAATAAGACCATAGAAAAAATTCCGTATTTATTTTTCAAAGCACTCCTGACATAGTTTTAAATGAAATATTTTAAGAAAGACAAAAATATAAATGTTTGGAATAAATTCTAATGGAATATCAACTTTTTAACTTAATCGCCAAATAACGAGTTCACGAGGAAAATCTAAATTTAATTTAATGGTAGTACGTATTTAAAGCATATTTAAGCTGTATTATAGCATTCAGGCTGTAAAACCTTCAACCTTGACGTTTGGTTTGTTAGCTCATTTTTTTTACCTGATAGAGTGAACTGGATTAAAGACCATCCGGTTATTACGTATACAGCGCCAATTTTCGACGTCGATAATCCAGCAATGAGTAGTCCTACACGTTTGCACACAGACAAAAATCGCAGTTTACAATTTTGAAGTATACATGAGTATAAACTTAGTTGTTGTGCAGTGGCTTACCGAAAAAGAAACCTATGCAACCTAACAATATGACCAGCAGAATGTAAGCGTAAAACCCAGTCGTTATTTGAACTGGATTAGAGAATAGCACGTACACAATTAGCATTGATAAAGTCATTTGAATAAAAATAATCACAGTATTAATAAAAAACATTGATGACAACAATTCCAACGCCGTAACACCTGAAGCAAAATATAGAAATGTATTATTGCAAACACATTTTAAATTAAATTAATTAACGTTACCTGCAAACATTGAACGGTTTAATATTCCATCTAGTTTTTCCGTCAACATACAACTGACAGCAAATATGCTAGGAAAATAAAATGCACCCCTAAAAAATAAATAGATTGATTTTACCTATACATATTGTCTACTAAGTTCTTAGTTTAATCAGTATTGTGTTGTTGTAATTGTTCAATTAAAATTATTGTACTACAAAGAGACGGCTATAAAAACTTTATTTTGACAAATGAGTTAATTTAAAATAATACTTAATTAAGAATTATGATTAACGTTATTATTTACCTAATCATTTCCGTAACAAAATAAATTAGTGTTTGCAAAGTACAAAAAAATAATTTAATGCTAATTAAGAAGCGATAAAGTTAACATTTTTGTTAATATACTTCCTTATGTTATTATTATTGCTCTAATATGCGCCGTGATCACTATTTTCTATTTATTTGACAAATCGCCATACGTTTAAGGTCAACATCTGACAAGTACAAATGGCTACTTATTCCTGTTTAGTACCATAACTCAATATCCTTAACACTCGTATAATTTATAATATATAAAACCGACGTGATTTCGTAGAACTATTTAGATCGATAATTGTTTACTAGGTTTAGGTAAAATATAAGTTTAAAACCAACACAAGACATAATACATTTAAAATAATTACATTGCTATGAAAATGGAAACGATGCTGTGCACAACATACTTGACGTCTTTTCCATACATGGTATTCACATCCTAAAATATTTAAAAACTTTTATTATAAAGTATTTAACTAGAAAAAAACCTATTTACACAACAGTGTTTTTAAGTGAAAAAGTAAATTAAGTTTAAAACAAATTTTTTAATTTATAATAAAAAAAAATGAATGGGCATTTATAATATTATACCTAAAACATTATTTTCATTTTAAATTGAAAATAAATTCAAATAACTTTTAATTTGTTAAATAACTTTTTATTAGCTTGTTAATTTGATTAATTTGTTAAAAATCGAAAAAACAAAAAAATATTTGATATTATTATTTGGACGTTTGTTCAAATAAAAATAAAAATTATACAATTTCATGTATTGTTTGAGTTTTTATTTAATTCATTATTGAAATAAAAAATTATCATTTTATTACTGAAACAACGTCTGCTTTACAACCTAAGTCCTAAGACGTTAGTTATCACTTTTTTTTTTCTACTAGTTACTACTTCCGCATTGTTCACAAATAATGTGTTCTTGAAACGAAGTTTACTAAAGAGAAGGTGTGCGTGTAGTTAACTTAAGTACTAAAAAGTATAATTTAAAGGTTAAGTTTTATTATTGACTTTCCTAGTCACTTTATTGCAAATAGTTTCACGAACTAGTGCGAAAAACCAAAACTAACACGAAAATTTATTCGCTGCGGTTAGCAAAAATGTTTATGATCGAATAGATGAATTGTTGTTGTACAACATATTCAAATAATAAACGTTATTTAAACAGCTTAAAATTTTAACATATGGCCATAATGAAAGTTTATTATTAAGTTGATTAAAAAACTATCGTTTCGATAACCATTTGAATAATGTCAAAACAAAATTGTATTTATGTTAGCTTCAAAATATAGCAAGGACAAGGCACTCGAGTTCGGGTAAAAAATTAAATTTTAGTCTAAAATATATTATACTACCTATACGTGCAGTATTATAATAATTTTCTTCCTCGTTTAAGCTTTTTCATATATTTAAAAAAGCAACATATTTTTATGTAAAAAAATGTTAATTAGTACGACCACATTATTATTATTATAGTGTAAACAATTTTTTTTTTTGTAGTTAAAGAGTAAAATGCAAGTTTTGGAAAGAAGTCGTTCAAGGCTATGCATAATAAATAACAATTAATATTTTTAAGAAAACAGAGAAACGTTCAGCGAATGGATATACTGGCATGTTTACAAAAGTTTAATATTTAAATGTTAATCACTCCAAGAATATTCAAACGTTTGTGTTTACGTGGTGGAGAATAAAAAATAATTTTATGGAATGCACCTAAGACTTCTCATGGAACCTTGATATTGTATAATAAAACAAGTTTTTAAAATATTTTTACACTTAAGAATACAAAATTAAAACATGTATCTGTGTTTTTTTTTAGTTCTTGAATGAAGTGTACAAAAAATGATAGGTAGGCACATACTGAAAATATAATGTCTTACTTGTTATGTATTCAAATAAATTCTAATTAATTGGATTTGAAATAAATGTGATACTGGTATTTTGTTTTTTAACTGGGTAAAAATTGAAAACCTCACATAACCAAAATATTTAGTTTTTACTTTTTAGTTGATATTTAAGCAGCAGCTTCAATGAACAAGCGAAATATAGCATTTTTTACTAACTGCGCAAAACGGTTATTGTTGGAATAAATTTACTTCCTGTTATGATGAAATCTCGTTATAAGTTTTACGACTTGATTGTTTCGATCATAACATGTTTTATTTTTCACTGACTCACCATAGGGATTCCTTGTAATTTTGGATTATAATATGAACAATAAGTAACTACATTTTCAACGACATCGTTTATGCAATCCGTTACGTCCCGTATTATTTGATTCCTGAACAACATATCTAAAAAAAATATAATTGATTTTGAGATATATACATCATGTATATATTTACATATAAATCGTCAGAAATACAACTGTTAGATTAAATCCTGTATCGGATAATTAAAGTTAATAATAGTTATTAGCATAAGATAACTGCGGGCGAGTACCCGAGTGAAGGTAGGAGAGGTACGTTTAGGTCTCGGGTAACCATAAAACCAAGTATTAATGTTTTACGGTAAGCCCGAGAGCAGAAGTTAACCACGACAATGTAACGTGATCGTTCCTATTTTCCATTTTAATCTTCCAGTAATTTATACATTTTACATATATATAGTGTAAATATTAAGTATACCACAGGTCTAGTACGACAAAGGTCCGTTAAATACTTGATGGCGATTTTTTTTAAAAATCTCAATTTATTTCAGGTAGGTTTTAATGTGCATTTATATTTATTTAACATTTGTTACAGGCTTTATATTATGATAACAATGGAGAGTCATTGCGCTTATTGTTGAATACGTTTCTTGGAGAGAAAACGTAATAATTACTCTGAATTCAGAAAACTATGAATTTCATTACCAATTAGATTTAGGGCAAAAAAACGTAGCATGGACGATAGTAAAATATTTTGCCCACTGATAGGATGTAAAATTATTTTGTTTATATTTTTAGAGAGAATAAGGAACTTTTTTTAAAATTTTAAATAAAACCATTACACAGCTCGAATATGACAATGGTGCAAATATTACTTAATAACAATTAAGCGAAATTATAATATCCGACCAACGTAAAATATATCTCGAGTACAATTTCAACAAAAAAATATATATACTATATGAGCTAGAACCGTTTCATACTAAAGCCGTCTCTGGACGAAACATGATCGAGTAGTCCCACTTACTCTCCTTTGTGAAATGTACAGAAACCATAGATTTAACATCGTAGTTTCCTTTATCCGCGAGAAAGGTTTGCACGCTTTTGGTGTAATTTTCAGGGAAATATAAAAACGCCATGTACGACGGATAGTTCAGACTCATCTCTCCATCTTCCACGCTATTGACTTCTATCTACATCGACAATATTTAGTAATTACTAATATTAATATTGTTTACTTTCTGAACAAATAAACACCGACTTACTAAATTATAATCGTGCGAAGCGAGGTAATTCAAAACGTTACAACTCAACGTATCGTTGTGGTTTTCGTTGAATATGCACTTAACGTTTTGACAGTCTGAAAATTTCACCTCGTCGTTTTTGTAAGCTATTGGCATGTGCTTAAAATCCACACCGACACACAGGCAAAGGTTTAACGCTTGCAACGCCGGTAATACGACCAAATTGAACAATAACCTGTGTACAAAATGTTTTATTTATATAAAGTTAAATAGTGAAAACGGTCCCTAATAAATAGTAAAAAAGTCAAAATAAATAAATTTAAAAAGTGTAAAAAAATCAAGTATGGGAAAATATGCGAATAATGTTTTATCTCTAGTTATAAAACGATGATAATTTGTTATCTATAAAACAAACATTTGGAAATTAAAAAAAAAAAATTTAAAAGACCATGAAAGCCAAACGCTGCCTTTCCCGAAGGGGTGGTTTATTAATCATTTATATGTCAAGACAGATAATATAAATAATAAATAAAATAATTATCTTTAGTTTAATGAAGTACCAATTGTGAGACAAAAAGAGAAGAGGGACCTCTTTCTCAAAATCAAATTTTGAGTTATTGGTTATTCCAAATTCTGAACATAGTTCCTTTTCGCCTCACAATTATATTATTCGCGAATAAAAAAATATACATATTTATATCATTATTCATCAAATTATCTATTGTGTATAATCTTATTTAAATTTTGTCCAGTTCTGTCTGAGTTAAACCTCTTAGATAAGTAATAAAAAAAAAAACCAAAAAATTGTATTATGTTGCTAAAGGCAGTAAATGAGCTCTAACATCAATATAGTGTTGTTTTTGTTTATGGGCAAATTTTAATAATTTTATCGCTTTATTATTATGTCAATATGGTGGTAATAATTTTAGACCTTGATATTGTGTATTTAGCAATACAGTATAATTAATTTTAAAACTCTTAGAGTGTAGTTTATTTGAAATATAATTAAGGTTTATTTTTTTTTAAATAATATTTTGTAAATGTTGTAACTACATACAGATGTAAAATAGTTATATAACATTATCATTATCATTATTATTGTTATAATGAAAATAATCTTTGATTAATATAACAAACATGTAATCTCGGACGCATACGCGGGAGTTCTTCTTGAGTAACGCTTGGATTCTAGAAAATGACATGATTGCTCCTGGATTTTTTAGCTTTTGTTTTGGCTTTCGGGTTTTCACAACAGCTTCAGAAGAGATCTGCTCATTTTCCTAAACAAAAAAATAATCCAAAACATTTATCTAGTGTTCCATAAATAATAATTGTAAGCTAATACGCGTCGTACTCTATTAGTATCTTGATTATAGCAAAGACGTAAAAATGACATTTCTAACGTTTCGGTATTGTGTTTGATAAGAATGTCTTGAGGCGACGCTTCTTCAACCAAAACACCATTTCGCATTAAACCAACCTAAGCAATGACAATGATTTAACAATAAGAGGTAGGTTGACTCAAGCTGATTATGAGCAATAATAATAGCAAGGAAAATAAGGATAAGTCTAGATTCTTGTATAAGAAAAAAGTAATAAATAAAGGTTAGAGTAGAAGAAATCGGGGACAAGAGTAGACCAGAGGTATGTTGCGGAAAACTCACTGTATTGGCCTGGTAAGCTTCTTCGATGTAATGTGTGGTTATTATAATAGTTATGTTATGTTCGTTGACCATTGTTTGAAATTTCGACCAAATACTAAAAAACAAAATATTATTTTCATATTTTAGCCATTATAGTAAGTACAACCTAAGCAATGCAAAAACTTATTTACTCGTTTCTGAGTACAGGATCTATCCCAACTGTAGGCTCGTCTAATATGATGAGCTTAGGGTCGTGCATAAGACTTATGGCAAGTGAAACTCTTCGGCCTTGACCTCCACTGTTGAGAGCAAAGAGTTAATTTGAAAACAAATTTACATTACAAACATTTATTAAATGATACTAAAATACAAATTGTTCACCTTATGTCTTTGATATAACTATGTTTATCGGGCAATTGAAGGCAAACGTTTAGTTCGTCCATTTTATTTAATAGCTTATTTTTACTCATATTGTACAAAGCGCCATAATATTCAAACGTTTCTTTAATCGTCAACGTGTTTTCTAAGCACAGTTCCTAGTATTTACACATGATTATCAATAATTAGTCAATTATCAAAATAACGGTCTTGGTTGCTTCTCTCGATATACTTTACTTGTGGCATGTATCCAACATCTGTCAACTTATTTATTTTCATTTCGACGAAACCAGAGTCCAACGAAATTGTTCCCAAAATGCACTGGAGAAGCGTAGATTTCCCACAACCACTAGGTCCCAACAGGCCATAACTATTGAACAATATTAACATATTATTAAAAATAAAGAACACATATGGAATATTTAAAATTTGAGATCGACTATAGCCATTATATTAAGTAATCAATTCTCGTTTCAATAAGATTTAAAAAAAACTACCAAGAATTATTTATAATTCTGTTATGGAATTAATGATTACTTGGGAGGCGAATTAAGGACAAATTTGCATGTTAGTATTCAAAATTAATGACTGAAGAATGACTAAAAAAGTATATTATATTGTATCACAATTGAAAATGTATGAAATATTCTAACCTAATTAAAGAGTTTTTGAATTTCAAAATAGACGGGTCGTAAATAAATCTAAAATATATATAATTCACCCTTTTGTATACGTGAACATATTATTTAACTAAGATATTTTAATGGCATTCCGCAATTTTTTGGTAAAAAGAACTAGACATTCCATAAATCATTTCATTTCTTTAAGTATGTTTACAAAACGCAACACTCTTCATAACCATATAATACTGACAAAACTAAATGCATAGATTAATTAAACTTTATTAAATGTTTCCAATTACACATTTTTGTTTTTAGTTTATTCCCGTGTTTTTACTTTTAGAAAATATTTTCATTAATCAATAAAATAATGTAATAACAAAGTACCAGATGCAGTGTTGTTTCATATAAAGGGTGTTTATTATAGACTATAGTGTTGATTAGGTTTTTCTTTGTAAAAATGGTAAAATATATTACCGTCTACACGTATTTTAGATTTAAAACTGACATTACTCAAAAATCGATCCATCCACTTCTTAATGATGAGTGTAAAAATATTGAGTTTTACGCCTAGTCTATTTTTTTTATCATCAGTTAACACTATTTTATGGTGCTTTTTTTAACTGGGAAGCATTTAACTGGATTAAAACTTTCGCCCAGTATGCTCCGACGCCGGTAAGGTTAAAAAAATATTTGCAATCAGCCTACCCCCCAAAAAAAAAACAACTAAACGACCAAATGGATTGGCGTTGCATAATCGAAGTCGTATAAAAAACAAAAATTTCTTAATATGTTATTTTATTTACACAACCTTTATGTATCCTACCGCACAACCTAAAGATCGTGTATTTTTCATTATTCCATTTTATTGTTTTGACAAGGTGAAAAACAAATATAATTCGTGTCTACATCAAAAAGATAACTATTTGGACAATATTTTTTTAATCAATACCGCCAGACATCGGTTAATCTCGTTTGAAATTCTCATCTAATACGAGAACTACTCACTAACTACCACATGTTGCGGATGTTTGAAGTGCTCGGTCCGGACACGACGTTTTGCAGTAACATTATTATTATTGAAGTTTGGCAAAGGGCCGTTAGTGCGGTGTACTTACATGGACCCCGGCGGTACGTTCATGTTTAACCCCTGGAGTGTCCATTGCCCAGCAGAAAAACTCTTGTAGGCGTTTACCACGCGCACAATGTTCTCTGTTCGGTCCACGCTCGCCGTCGGTGTGGTCATTGTGACAAACGCAAACGGTATTAAAATAAACAATAAAAACAAACGCTATTTTAACATGTTCCGGATGACGACCAAACGTTCACCAACGTATTGCGGCACGAACTGCCCGAGTGAACAATCGTTTACCAGGCCCAAGAACGGCGATGGACTTTTTACACAGCATCAGAGGTTAGACAAACAAGGAGTGGATCATAAGGACCGACGATGACTGCCAAATCACTTATCGTCGGTAGTCTGGCCTTGAATAATTAACGATCATCAACGCGTCTCCATAGAGCAATAGTTAAACACGATTCTTATTTATTGTTTACGATCTTTGCACGATCATAAGTTGTCTTATAATAATGTTGATGGGGCGCAGCTAGTTCTGTGCTATTAACACAACATGTCTATTCATTTCGAATACAAACAATTAACACGCTTCAAAATTCTAATGTTATTTTAGCTAGGCTAAGAAGGTTATCATAAAGTAATTTATAGCCATTTAGTGAAAATATACTGTAAATAATACTTTTTAATGTCGTAAAAATATTTTTAAATCGTTTTGGCAAGAAATTAAATATTTACAGCAAAATTTTTTTAAAAATATTACCTACACATTATAAAAAAATTAAAAATATATAACAAATATTATCGAAACATTAATTATGTTACTAATATTTGATGTGCTGCCTAAAAACATAATTTTAAAGTATGAAAAAGATTCCAACAATTGATAAAACGAATAAAATTGGCCGCGTGGGTAAATCAAGCTTAAGTCATTACATTTCTAGATTTCTACGAGTAAAAGAATTGCGCTAGTTTAAATGGTCAAGATGCTTTGATGCGACATCCTTAATGTGGTCACTGTACAAAAAAAATATATTTCCTTAGAAAAATTCAAAGCGATTTTTTTCTGTTAATAGTTCTTTATTGTTAAAAATGCAATAAAAAAACAGCCTTGAAATTGATTTATTTGTTCACAAATAGTTTAAACAGTTTGTTTACTGTTTTCTAATGTCGCTGAACTAAAAATTATTTTATTTAAAATTTAACTAGTTCTAATTGCTTTCTGAACACATAATGTTGATATTGTCTAGACATCGTTCTATGTAATCATTCATAAACATAAAATACTTATGTCAAAGCAATTAGTTAAGGAAAATTCGAAAATGGTTAAAAGTGTGTACATATGTATTACTTATTTTGTATTAATTGACATTTATCTTGATATAGAAAAATAAACTAAAAATATCATGAGTATTAATTTTTGCAACAATAATTCTAATTAAGATTGAACCAATTACAAATAGCCGCGAATTGATTTTCATATTTTTTTAGAGACATGCTAATTAATACTTGAAATAATTTAAATCATTTACTACATATCAATATAGAGTGGCTCATGTATATTTAAGGGCCATGAACTTAATATCTTTCCCTTTGGTATCATCTAAATGGCATTCTATGTCTCCGAAATCGATGTGTTCGTCATCAAGCGATGAAAGGACTTCAAATCCCAACTTTGTTGCTAAATGTTGAGATATGTAGCCTGTGAATATCGTGCCCGTTACAGACAAACCCAATAATTTACATAACTTTTCCCTGGACTCGAGAAGTCGATAACCAATTCCATTGCCAACAAAGTCGACGTGGACCATCAAACCAAATGCAGCCAAATATCGATCGACGTTGTACTTTTCGAATATGTTTCCTGGTTGGCTTGCGTCAGACAGGATTTTTATTATTAGGTTAAACATTTTATTGGACGACACCTAAAGCAGAAGACTAATTGCATACAAATTTTACCTAAATTTCATGGATAATATTAATAATATTACATACCGAGTATAATTTTTCATCTTTCTTCTCCACATAAGTGAAATTAACTCCGATTATTTTACCTCGTTCTACGCAGTCGTTTTCGATAATAGCTATTAATGTTGTTCCACTACATACCATGTCCCTCCATACGCTCTTAAAAATTTCGCTTGCTTCCGAATCATTAATTAAATCTAACAATATAAATAACATATGGTTTAAACAAATTGTAATATTTAAACTGTTATTAAAAATAACCGTCGAAAGGTAAACCATAATATAAATGGCAGATAACATACTTAAATTACTCTTGCTGTAAACGTTTATCAAATATATTTAATTTTTTAAATTGTTGTATTTGAATAATTTTTAGCCTTGATACAGCTTTAAAAATAACTATAATAATAGTTGTACACTTATATATATTTTTTAATTTTTGTATGTATGTGGCTATAAATAATTTTTCTTTAATGAGTACGTTTATAAACCGAAAATTATTCTCAAAGTGTATATAAGAGGTCAAAAATACGAAAAATCCAAACTTTTTGCATCAAAATTATGAAAATTACCTATTTGTCAAGCTTTCATTTTTTTACACTGTTATTAATTAACGTTAACAAAATAAGATGTTTTAGTTGTACATTTTTGAAAGTGATTGTATTGCTGTCTGCACTAGTAGTCTCAAGTCTCGACCCTATAGGTATATTGCAATAAAATTCCCTTTCAAGAAAACATCTTTATAAAACTGAACTTTTTTTTAAAACTTCTTATTATTCCAGCCTCTTAGTTTTTACTATTAACAATAGTAAAAATTAAACAGTTAACTTTCTCTTTCAGTAATTTTCATTAAGCCTTTTGATGAGTATAATTTTATCACTTTCAGTTTTATTATTTTTTCCAACTCGCAATCAGTGTTTATCGGCTTCAATCTTATTGTGCTAAGCTTGAGCCCAATGTTATAATATTATTAAAACATTTAGCTTAATGCTTTTAACTGTGTAAGTATATATGAATTGTATATTTTAACTGTAGTGAACTTAATATTATTTCAGACACACGCGGAAACTAAAAAATACATATATTTTAGGCGCCTTGCTAACCTATATGTGAGTAAAATAAATATTCATTACATACTTAGTGCTGAACACAAGCGCTCTTCTTTAAAGAAATCATTTCCAAGTTGTTCTGCGATTTCGTCAAAGTGATCACCGGTCGCAGTTTGTATTCGATATTTAAAACGTACGCCATTTTTTTCAAACTCAAAACTATCAAATTTTTTAGGTGTCGAATTCATTTTTTTTTTTTTTTTTTATTATAAAAAATTATACTAAATTTACAAAATTAAGCAATTTGTTCTTGTTTGTCCATACGCTTCGGTAATAATAAAGTCCTCACTATAGGCTACGACAGATGCACAGTGAACTGTAATACAAATAATTACTGTAGCGTGAGACTATTATTATTTACAAGGTCGAATATATTAAATGCAGATAATAATTAAAGCAGCAACAAACGCAAACGTTTGAATTGTACTCAACACGTTGATTACAATTGGTGGCTTCAGTTGCGTAGCTTAGTATTTTAAACAGTAATTCTTTTTAAACGGCGATTTTGTATAATGCCTAGTTTCTCATATAAACACATGTTACGCCGCTCTGTCCTAATGAACCATAATACATCATAATATTTGAAACATTACCTTCAATGCGATAGCCAGTGTTAAATTTTAATCGATTGGGATAATTAGAATAGCGAAAAAACGATAAGCGTAGATTTATGATTAATATATTATGTATTATTTTTAAATATTATAAATACAAATGTCGATACACATTTATAACTCCCTACTCGATCAAGGCTGATTCTAAATAGCGTTATGCAATTCGCATGCGCCAAACAAATAATTTAAGAGTGAGTTAAATTGAAGATAATTTATATGCAAGTGCTATTTTCGTATGAGCCACGCTTCTTTTTTCACTCGGCTCAAACAACACAGCATTATGGAGTGCAGTAGAATGTAAACGATTACCATCGCTGTGCCTTTCCAAATTGCCGGACAGTCGATGGTCCAACCTTTCAGCGCGATGTCGTTCATCAACCTACTGATGTAGCACAAAGGCAGATGTTCGGATATGGCTTTCATGACAGTCGGCTGGGCTTCAATGGGCCACGTTACACCTGTAAAATTGTGTCCAACGGTTATATATGTAAATTTAGCCACTGTATAATATTATACAAACGGAAACTGGCGAATAAAACCATTTTGCAAAAGAACTAAACATATTATTATGAGCGGAACGACTACAATAGTATTGGCACGGACAATTTGTTCCCTTGTCCGAAAATTATAATTTATATTTTGCATTTTTCCATCAATGCACGTAACTCTAGTAAATAATCTGCGTTGCGCAACGAGGATAAAAATGAACGTGTACTTGCCGGACACGTAGACTTGCATCATGTTCCAACCAATCACCAAGTGCATGGCTTCTGAGCCTGACTTTGAAACGCCGACGACTAAAAACCCTGTAAAATAAATTGTCTTTGTTAATTAATTGTGTTTAAATGGCCAAAACAACTATGGAACTTTTTCAAATAAATTCCATTTCAATAGTTAAAATATAATCTAAAAAAAAAAGCTATGAACAAACCTAAACGTGAAAATACATAATGACTTTTAGCTTTACGTCGAATATAAAATTCTAGAAAAAATAATAAATTACAAAATAATGTGCTAACAATATGTATTCTATTATATATTTTTTATAACCAATAAAATTAACTAAACCTTTAGTACTTTATTTTAACTGGTATTAGAAACATTAGTTTTTCTTTATAATTTGTGATTAACTATTTTCAGTCCACTGTTTTAAATAACTAATAGCTTGAAATATGTTATAAGATAACTGTTTAAAGGGAACTTTTTTTTAAAAACAACATTGTGTTTTAAAATTCTATTTCTGTTATTTCTGATATCGACCTATTAAATGCGCTCCAAAAGAGAGATGTTTAGCAGGCACATCAAAAGGAGACTCGTGTTTTAGTCTTTATACATGTGGAATTTTGCTATTTCCTTTTACTTTAATATAGAAACTCTAAAATAACAACGATTACACTGAAATCCACTGAATCATTGAACTTCGCCAATTTATCTTATCTTACTTTTTCTATTCTATTATACTACTCTTCAAAATACGTTGTAATCGTATTTTCTATATTGTACTCATAATTGAGCCGTAACAGTTTGTATTATTGCAATAAACAAATAAAAAACAAAGCTATAAATCAAAGATAAACAGTAACCATACCTGTAAGTAAACCCAACCAGCCCGTAAATATTGATAAAAATGCATATACGACTAGCCCACTAGTGATCTCTATTGGATTTCGAAACATGATGTATGTGATAGTCATAACACAAACCATATGGAAAACGTGAATTACGGTTTGAATCAATGTTATTGAAATTATCACTTCTGGTATTTTAACGCCTGTAAAAAAAAACCCTAAACAATTAGTTCACAAACTGACATTTGGTTATAAATTTAAATTCAGCTCACCTGCGGTCAAAGCCCGGTCTAGGTAACCTTCCATTTTTTCCTTCAACATGAATCCCGCCGAAATAATACTTGAGAAATAAAAACCTATCCTAAAATAAATGTTTTCAAAAAAAAATAGAAACTCATTTTAATAAATACATTCATGTCATATTTTATTCTGTTTGGTAATTAATTAAACGTATTATTCATAATTAAATCATTAAATAAAAACTGATTACTGAGACTTTTATGTTAAAATTAAAAAACTTAAACACGTTAACACGGATATCAATAGTAAACAAAATTGTTTGAAATTAAAGTACAAGAACAAAACCATTTCGAAAGTATTATACACTTAAAATCGTCTAATAATAATATTATTAAATAATACTTAATCATATGATAACCTTTTTATTTTTAGTACATTTTTATTTTACCAATTTGATTTTTTTGTCTTTATTTCTATGAAGATCTATTTTTATTGTAAACATGGTATCCGTAATTTAAAATATTTTATAAAATTTCAAAGATTGACAGTATATTATAATATTAATGCAACCAATTACTTTATAATACTAATTCAACAAGAATAGATGTAAAATAGCACGGATAATCTGTTCTTAAGTACACGGCTATACTATGAATTGATGAACAGCAAAAAACAATGTTGTTTATGAAAACATGCTGACAATAATGTTAAAAAAGTCAAATTGTAAATGTTTACATATTCCTTTATTTAACTCGTTTTTTGTTTTGTATATTAGCAATATTACAGCTAATTGTTTACTGGTATTAATACTTACATTGCAACAAACATAGTTGCTATACTGTGAATGTACGCTTTGACTTTTCCTCCTACCACATTTTTGATTCTCTGTAAACCCCACAATAAATGTATTTAAAAATGATTTTATACTTCAAACAATACATTAAATTTTAGTGGAAAATCATAATTACTTTTTGTTGAAATAAGCATGTACACTTACCAAAGGATTTCCTCGAACCGATTTCCCTTTGCACGATTCTGAACTTGCTAGAATAATGTCCCCGTAGACGTTATTGAGATCGTAAATGATTTGATTTTTAATTAAAACACCTGTACAAACGATTTTCACCAAATCAATGAAATAATCGGAAATAAAATATTTTTTAACGGCTGACCTCGGGTAAAGCGAGGTACAACAGCTATAATATTATAGCTACTACAGTTATATTGCAAATAAAACTAAATAAATTATTTACATTAAAAATAATGCTTTATCAACTAGCACAAGGCGCAATGATCGTCAACATGGCCTAGTATACATTTGAATCTTAATCGAAAACATCCATGTTTGCATGAAAAGATTGTTGACGGTCATAATACTAATCGAGGTCATCTACTTGTGTTTTATCACAGTTATTTAGTACCTGTAATTAGGAGAATCTGGAGTACCTGGACTCTGGAGTATATGTAATTAGGACGCTAGGTTGCCAAACTATGCAAAATTATTTTCAACAACTAGAAAGTACACTATTATAATGAACACGGTTGTATGTGATTTCAGACAACTGAGTTATACCAATTTGACGGGCTACCCTGATTTTTAGATTTTTTTTTTTATCTAAGTTGAATAATTAAACAATTGTTTTATAATATAAGTATAGATGTTCACCTGTTTTGTAACCGTTATGTTTTTAAACTTTGATGCGGAGCTGTGAAGGTATGGTTTTTATAATAATGTGTTTTTATTTGTCTTCACCACGATATTTTTTAATTATTGAACCGACTTTTTTATGTTGCAAGCCTATAGCTTATAGCTATAGTTTATACGGGCTATCTGTATAAATAAACCCATAAATCGTACTTGAAGAAAATTTTAATAGGTCAAAAGTTTTAAAATTTTACCTATTCACCTTTAAAATTGAAAAAACACCCTAAGAATTTACTTTAAAAGTACTATTTAACCTAACCTTTTTAAAAACAGTCACATTCGTTCCAAATTTGTATGCAATAATCTTTAGAAACAGTACTATAAATAAACGTTAGCAAACCAAAAAATACAAAATAAATAAAAACCTTTTTCCTAAAGGTGTAGAAACTTTTTCTTTGTTTCACTTTTTCGACTAAAGTTTTGGCTTAGACTGAAGGCAGACACAGAGTTGAGTTATAGCATAAACAGTTTTCTCTAAAATCAAAAGTCAAACATTTTTTTCATGCAGGAAAAAACCAAAAAAATCCAGGTTGCTATGCGTGAAAGAAAAAAATCTAACTGGTATCAAAAAAATATTTTCATTATATTGTTAGTTTTGATAAATGGGTAATAATAGCAACAAACTATTATGGACAGGCATTAAAGAAATAAAATAATGAAATTTTTAAATAAACCCTTAACTACAATAACAATACTCTATTTCGGCAGCAATGTACCATCGTCAGCGCATACAACAACTGAGGAAACAAATGTTTGTCTACTAATAAAACTTACTTCCAGAATCAACGTGCACTCGTGCAATCGTATCGGGCGGAATTTCAACGTCAGATTTCCAAGCGCCTTGAACGTATTGACGAAGGCCGTAAGTGTGATTTTTCGGAAACTGAATAAAAGCAAACGCTTTGGTTTTATCTACTGCCAAGTCACCCGCTTTCTGGCTGTCTATCGGTACCTGAAAGCATAAATAATATGTCGTATAAATACAGCTATTAATCCATATAACGTCACGGTAGACACTATTTCTATGGCTTGGGTCTAAAAGGACTAATCACACTATTTGTAACTTTCGTAAAATGAGCTGTAAAGTTTTTATCACAGTATATTAAGGATATACTTACCTGGCGTGGAGGTCAACCGCCGTGATCAATCAGGACGTGATTAATATATTAAAGTTATTTTTAGTTTTTATCCTTACCAGATCATATTTTAAAGACCGCAGTCTGTCGATGAGTTGGCAGCTTAGCTTGTGACTATTAACATAGTCATCATCGTAGAGACATCCACCGACAACGCTAGTATTTTTGCAGTTGTGAATTTCATTGTTTTGAAAATGAATCTTAACGTCTTCGACGTTTCTACCGATGGCCAGATTATAAATTAAGGCCGCCAATATCGGAAAAAATATAACCAAAAACACAAACCTACCGAAAAGAGTGCAGGCACATGAATCATATAATTTACACACAGGTGTTAGTTAAGTACTCAAAAAAATAATTTTGAATTATTACATGTAATCGCGACTGCATACGACAATGTTTTTCTTGAGCAATGCCTTGATTCTGATTAAAGAAATTTTACTGGGCGTTTGTATGGATGTAAGTGATTTTGTATTATTAAATCTAGATTGTTTCGCCAACGTTTGTTTGTATTGTACACGACTCTACAATTAATTTGGAATTTCAACGAAAAATACAAATTAAGAGATGATATACAATTTAGACTACCTCTCCTAAATCTTGATGTGAGCTCAGTGCTAGAAACGCGTCTTCCAACGTATTTGTATTCTGCTCAACCAGCAACTGATTTGGCGAGCTTTCTTTAATCAGGACACCGTTTCTCATTAAACCAATCTGATTTTTTGTTTTACATAAAAAATAAGGAAGAGTTTTATATTTAATGACTAAATATCCAAGTATGTATTTTTGTTTTAACAGTAACTACCATGTGCGATTGACGTGCTTCTTCTATGTAATGCGTAGTGATTATAATAGTTTTGCCTTGCTCGTTGACGATTTTCAATAATTCTTGCCAAATTCTAATTTTTATAAAAACCGATTTAAGGTATAAGTTTAGAGAAATCATTATTAATAAACTCGTTAATACTAAATCGTATTTGAGAATCGAGAGCCAAAATGTAACAGTGATTTAACCACCACTAGTTCCAAAATACCATGTTTTGACAGAGTGAAAATTTAAATTACACCATTACTTTAACATTGATACAATCAACAGTAATTTTTGATAGGTTAAATCATTTTTCCGAAGAAATATATTTAAGTTCACTATTTTGATCCTGTCTTTAACCGCCAGTCTATGGTCGTATCAAGTAAGAAATTTAAAAAAAAAAACGATAAATTTAGATATTTTTAAACGTCAGGGTTATTCTGATCTAAACTAATATTTTACAATATTTACTGTTTACATAATTTTTTTTAAAAAATAGTTTTGATTATTATTAATGATTTTTAACTTACCTTATGTAATTATTTTATAGACGTGTAATATTTTTTATAACAGTATTATTTATTACATTTTATTAAAATATCAACTTCTTTGTAAACCAAAAAACAGTGTATTTAAAATAACGGCTATTTTATTACCGTACATTACTATATTATTTACCGATTTTACTAATATTATGTACAATAAGTCGGCGGTTCTCTTGTACACCATTTTCTCCCTTTTTAATGACAAGAAAACCCTAAAAGTAATGGCCATTAGACCGTAATTAATAGCCGTTAACCGTTTTCCAAAAACTGACGCCATGCCAACCAGCTTGATAAATCACGCTAGCAACCAGGGTGTGAATCTGTAACCGATCGCCGCGCTAGACTGACCTCATGTGTCAAAACATGTTTAATTGTTCCGGACCATTTGGCTGACCACTGCGGCGGATCTAAGACCTTAAAATTGTTTAAATGCAATAATTTCTTACTCGTGTCTTAATATCGGATCGATTCCCACCGTGGGCTCGTCGAGTATTAATATTTTCGGATCATGAATTAGAGATACAGCCAACGACACTCTTCTCATTTGACCTCCGCTGGGGGGAAAAAAATATGATTAATAAACTGAACTTTTTAATGGACGAAATCAATTAACTGTAACTTTTAACGAAACTGCAAACAACTTTTATACCGATGATGTAAACAATTTTAATTTTTATATATACATAATATGCAATGAAATACTTGGACGCTGCTTGTCAACCGCTAGACAGTTGAAAAGAGTTCCTGCGAAGGAAAATGTCATTTATATGAATACAATTTGTATTTAATGCGTTTTTTCCTTTTTTAACCAGTGAATTGTTTTACGGGCAACATTCTAACGGTTTGACAATGAGAAAAAATAAAAGAACCTGACGTTTAGCGTTCATCTTACAGACAACCCGAGAAGCAGTAACCTACCTGGCATTTTTTAATAAGCTATCCATCGGTGGCAGTTTAAGCCATCTACTCAGTCTTTTACTGTTTTTCGCAATATCTTCGCCGCTCATTAAATACAAGCAACCGTAGTACTGCAGAGTTTCCCGTATAGTGAGTAGATTGTCTAGACAGACGTCCTGAGTGAGTATATTATATATTATATATATATATATATATGTAAATATAAAAAAAGTACTAATAAGAAAATAAAAACGTTAATAACAATCAAGTATGGTCTACCCACGTACTTGAGGCATGTATCCGATTTCCAGAACGCTACTTGCGTCCACCTCGATAGTTCCAGAATCGAGTGTCAGTTTTCCAAGGATTGCGTTCAACAAGGTTGTTTTGCCACAGCCGCTAGATCCTAAAAGTCCATAACTGAATATGTGCGAAGAAAAAAAATAACTACAGGTATAAATTTTCAAGCATATGCGCGACGTTGTGGAAAACTTGTATTGTGTACTTACATGGATCCCGAAGGTACTCTCATGTTCAAACCGTTTAGCACTACGGTTTCGGCGGAATACGTTTTCAAAGCATCGACGATGCTTACGGCCGCCTTTCTGTCCATCTTGGCAAGTTCCCCGTTGTTCGCCATCATCGAAATTCGAATTATGACCCTCCGTATCTTGCACAGGTAAACGACGAACCGCTGAATTAATACTAAAATGAAAATATTTTGTTTGTGCGCAAATAACGATTAATAATAATTATTACAAATCATTCTGGCGGACAAAATTGGTCTCATTTGCATGTAGTAATCAATTTCCCCGTGGTTATTCAGCGATTTCAGATAAAATGATGACCGTTAAATTAATTTTTCAATAAGTATGTCACGAGAGTAAACACATAATCCGTTTGAACGTTGTTTACATCAAGTAAAACCAATACATTTTTCGTTTTGAAAAATCCTTCGAAGCAAACGGTATAATAACATAATATAAACACTATACGACCGACTTAATATTTATTTACCGCAAAAGTAAACATTATAAAGCAATTTATATTATATTCAGTTATTACGAAAATAATAAAATTTCTGATAATTCTTTCGCCCTTTTTTTCTCGTGATTATGAAAAATGCTAACTTTAAATTAGAAGCGATCAAGAAGAGAGAATAGTTGACAATTATTATTAGTGCTACCAATAAATGCCATGTATTTACTGTAAAATATTTAAATAACATTAATCTATACAAACTTAAAAACCGATTCACGCTTACACGTTGTACATTTTAAATAATTAGTATAATAAAACGTGTTTACAAATAATTAAGTAATTATTTTATTAACATACAATTATGTTTAGTTCAACAATTAGTAAATATTAATCATTAAATTATTTGTAAATTTTATAATAATAATAGATAAGACTTACAGACTGTTATTATTACTAATTACATCATAATATTATGTGGACATTATTATAACACACGACATTCAGTGTAATATATTGTTGTCGAGCAAATAATTATTATTATATTATTAATTGGCTGTACTACTTCCGTTTGATCCACATATCTTTTTTCATTGAATTAAAAAAAAGTAGTGGCACCGCAAATGCAATTATCCAAAAGGAATTCAAAACAAAGCCTCTCTGTACCGCCGGATGTTTGATCGACCATCCTCTGAGAGCTAAATTACCAATAGTTTCCGACGAAGCGGATAGAGGCAAGTATTTATTAAAAGCTCTTAATACTGGATGAGCTCCTTCCATCGGCCAAATTAGACCTAAAATTTAATAAATAAGATTAAATTGATAATCATTATTCTTTTTTTGGCTCATCCAAACTACATAATATATTTATACTATATGTATATCATATAGTCTACATTTTTTAACAATGGCCAAAAAGGAAACAACTTTATCAATACATCACATAACACATTTTTAAGTCTTAGGTATATTACCCTAATGTTTATGAAATGTAAAAATATTTCAAATTAATAATATTTTGATAAGTATTTTAAAAGTGTTACACCATAACTCGAATGTAAAAAAACATTTGAATAATTTGAGTAATTTATTTTAATTTTAAAATGATTACGACAAAAAAGTATGTTAAATAAAAAGCATTGCAATCATGTTCTTGGAAAAAAACAATTTTTGAACTGCATGTGAAGAAAAAAAATGTCGAATGGATAAACTTATACTTACCGCATAAGCAGGTGAATAACACGTTTGTCCCCATGTTAATATGAGTGGCCATGGTGTAGGAGTTTGAAAAAGCGGCAGCGAGTATTCCTAAATACATAAATTATTTTTAAAAAAAATTGCCCATTGTGATTAAATCTTACAAATTTATTTTTACAAATATAAATTCAATTTTTATTAGTTTATAACAAAGTATGTCTTATTAACGAGCATTGTACCTATGACTGACATACATAAAACCATTGTTATAACTGCAAAATGTATTTAATATAATTGGGTAACTTATCCGTCTGATGTCATATTGAACGTGATATATTCAAACGAGCTATGTGGACATTATTATAATACATAAAAGCTTATCCGATTTCACTTTTGGCAACGCGCAAAGTATAAAACATAACAAAAGTTAAAGGTTGCTTGTTTCCACCTGCAAACATCCCCTGATATCCGGTTAGCATTACGATGGCGACGACCGACCAAAAGTTTTCCATTAAAATCGGGTTGTCAAACACGGTGAACATCATGAACATCGCAATGGCCGACTGTATGATATGAACAAAAGTCTGAAGACAAAACATGGAGAACAGCAACTCCTCAAACGTAACCCCTGAAAAATTATCGGCAATAAACACTGACAAATTTTCTTTGAAACCATTTTCTTCGAAAAATTACTGTAACATGAAAAAAATGACTTCATATATCAACATTTTAATGTTAACGTCAAATTACCGGCGGCCATGATTCGACTCATTATTCCTTCGTCTTTTTCTGTCAGCATCAGCCCGGTAGATAATATCATTGGAAAGTAAAAAGCCAATCTAAAATATTTTACATGAAGGCTTTATAATATATCTGTCTCAGTCAAAATAATTAATAGTACACATGTCACTAAATCAGCTTATAAAATAAATTAAATTAAAATGTGTAATAACCAAACAACTAAATGACACATTTATTAATAACGTTGTATAAACTGCTTAATTGAGCATGGGTAGATACATGCATGGATACATACTAGATACATTAACTGATTTATATTAAAAAAAACATCATGGCAAAATCAATACCTTTTCGGCTTCTCATCAAAGCCATAAAAACTCTACACATGATAACGCAAAAAAGAAATCCCGACAGGATGGCAAAAACTGAGTAAATATTTAATCGTTTGAAAGCGTATACTAGATTTTGATAAATATTCATGAACAATAAGTCTATTTTGTATTAATTCAGAGAGATTGAACTTCGCACAAGAGAAACCAAATTTGACCTCATTGAAGTGTTGAGTACATAAAGGAGGAATTCAGACCTAGATGAAACGCACGGGATCCTGCGTGTGTGTCCTTTATCTGATTAACGCAACTATAGTTGTCTATTTATAAAATAAAGAAAAACATGACACACTTTTATGGCCATCTCAGACTAAAATGAACGCAAATGTTATCTTTAAGTACCTACCTACTTTTTAAATTGCACTTATTATTTTTCATTAAATCCTGCAAAACTATTCGAAAACTAATCATCTTATTATTTAAAAACATATTTACAACACAAATATAAAATCTTTAGCATATCATAAAATAATATTATATTCAATGTGTTTTATTAGACTTTTAAAAAGTTTAACCATTAATGTTTTTATTTAATAACCGTGAATTTATACATATTGATTAATAACTCGTTAAGTAGCGTTCAGGGACGTTTTTGGTAGCCGCTAAAAAATGTTCATACAATATTGAATATGTCATTTTTGTATGCACATTACGTCTGATGAAAGTAACTGGGCAATTAAGCGTGTTATCAAGCAAGGTTGTGACGTTTCTTTTTTCAATGGTTTATTATTTGTTCATTATTAACAACCGATCTCACTTCCTAGTAAATATTCCAAGATGCTAATTCAACATGTACAAAGAAAAACTTACAACAAGGACCATGGGCGCTAGTTTGACAGTACCGCTTAAAGACTTTATCGACTTAAAGTTAATCGTACGACGCAGAATGTTTTATGAACTCATTATTTAAAAACTGTTTATAATTTATGAAGTTTTTAAATGCCCTTCGTACATTTTCCTAAGCTTTATAAATTAATTTCGAAATGACACCGTTTTTGTTTATTAAGAATTATTATTCGCTAATGGGCGGCGGCAGAATGTCGGAATTTAAATCGGAACATCCAATTTCGTTTTTTTTTTTTTTCCAAATTAACAGCTTGATAAAAACTACGCAATAACTATCTACCTTCTAAGTTTTTTTTAAATTTATTTTAATTATAAATTACACATGAAAAATAAAACACAAAAAAAAACCTTTTAGAAACCTTCGAAAAAACAGTAAAAACCAAAACCGAAAACGTACATGTTCTTAGATCTTAGAGTCTTAGATGAAAGAAATTTAAGTGACTTTGTTTCGGTTTCATCTGAAATTGACTGCTTTGCAAACAACAAAGAGAAATAGGGGTGGATAGACCTAAAAAGATTTAATAGCTAAAAAAGTCTTTAACCTAACTATAATACAAACTTAAAAATCGTATGTTATTATTTTATACAGTTTTTTTTCTTGTACTCACAACGCTATAAACCCAGGAGCGGACGAATGAATAAACTCCGTGATTTGAACTTTTCCTACTTTTTGGATCTAAAAATCCCAATAGTATAAATATGTAAACTATTGATAGTAAAATTATTATATTTCAATAAATACCACGATGGGCGATGAAACCGACTTCATGTTTTTATTGCATTGCTTAGTAGCTTCATTTATAGTTTTCTCGAAAGTCTTATAAACGTCTCTTTTGATTTTTTGTCTAATAATATAATCTGAAAAAGGTCGTGAGCATATGTGTTAAGAGCGGTAATGATTGTCAGCGGAAATACAGGTAGAGGAAAACCCAAAAACGGATGTACACTATACAGAGGGGTTGTGTGGAGGTCGAGGACTACGGTGGCAAAAATTGTGATTAATGTCGAGGAAGAAGAAAACTGTAATTGAAAAAATCATTTAATGCGAAGCGAGGTATTAGGTTTTTGTTTTCAACATCAAATCTCAAACTCAACTGCTAAATTCCGAGTAGACTTGTACCGAGCTAGAGTTCATGTCGTATAAGTTTGCCCGTCTCTGTACACGTTTTCTCAGGGATTTCGTGTAATTGTGGGCGAAATACAATATTCCCGAAACGTCATTAGCGTTCAACGCCACCTTGCTGGATTCTAAATTCGGATAGTGCACCTGGAAACAAATACCAAACGGATGTGAGTAACACATTTTTGTCTGACCTTTATGCCGGTTCACCAGTCGCTTGTTGAAGTATCGCAAATTTTCGATAAACGTGCAACTTAATTTTGTATAGTTAACATCATTCAGGAAGCACGAATCGTGGTGAACGTACGAACCGCAATTTTTCATCTCATCGTTAACAATGGCAAAGTTCACGTCTTGTACAGAATGACCAATGCATAGATTATAGAACACAGTTTGAACCAATGGCAGAAAAAAAGTAAAAAATAAAAACCTAAAAAAAAAGACCACGAACGTATTAAAATATCGCTATTTATTTGGCAACTGTCTTTAAATGTATTATGTATTAAAAAATTCACAAACGTATGATCTTTGTACAAAAAGGCTCCGTTCTTGTATGTGAGTGCACGAAATCGTCTCCATGAAAACGTGTCGTTTTTCAAATTCGGGCGAGGCTGTGTAAATGACGTTAAATCGTGATCAACATTATTGAACACCTAAAAAGTATTGGTAATGTAAATACACGTCTAAAGCCGGTTTTCTTTGGCATTTATTGTCCCGAATTTATTTTGTCGCATTTATTTTCCTGCCTCGTCACTTATCCAGGTATTCAAGATTGGGCATCCTAATGGTCAAACTTGTATCAAAACGGTTTGGTTAAATCATAATCTCAACATTTACACCACTCATCAGCAACCTAGTTGCTAGTTTAAGTGGTACCCATTCTCTGAACTAACAGAACATTCTTACTTCTTTCACAAAAATCACAACTCCCCCGATGGTTTTATTGTATAGTAAATTAGTATAAAATTTACATTTCCAGATTCTTGGGCGCAACACAGAGACAAAAACGCTTCTTCTAAGGTCGATACGTTTTGTTTCGAAATCAGAGACGACGGTGAATCTTCTCCGACCAATGTGCCGTTTCGCATCAGACCCACCTGTTCGATGATCTCATTAAAAACAACAACGCCGCAACAGGATAAATGTTTCAACATTAAAAAGCGTTTATATACTTACCACGTTTGCTCTCGTGGCCTCTTCAATGTAGTGAGTGGTTATGACTATGGTTTTACCGTTCGCAGACAATTTGACTAGATGGTCCCAAATGCTGGTGCACAATAGACAAAGGGATGAGCTAATGTCAAAACGTCGACGGGAAGACATCAACAAAATATTACCTACCTTTCTCTAATAACTGGATCTACCCCGACAGTCGGCTCGTCGAGTATCATGATTTTGGGATCGTGAAACAATGCCACCCCAAACGATAGTCGCCTTTGTTCTCCGCCACTAAAATCATTTTAAATACGATACCTGTATTATTCACACACAAAAGCGTGACGATTCGTAATCCTATTGTTTTCGCCGCATCTCATTCCATTACAGTAGCATCCTTATAATTTCAGAAATTCAGCACGAAACGCTACTTATTGCGTTTTAAATCTACAGGTTTGAGCAACAACAAAAAAAAAAAACAATATCTTAACCATATTCTAAAACAAAATCTCTACTTAAGACGCCCATTGAATTAAACCTGTCGCGGACCCTTCTTAGTGTTTGTCCATCTGTTCGGAACCATTCAAATAATACCGTGGATCAAATGAGTGTGTTTTTGCAAACCTAAACATTTACTTGTAAAATTCAAAGAAAAATTTAAGGACGCCATTAAATTAATCCAATTATACAATACAAAAATTAAATTCACCGAATTAGCTATTAACAATAAGGAATTATTGTTTTTTTTTTTTATTAAGTTTTATTTCACTCGATCGCTCGTCGTGTTTTATTTTTTTTTTTTTTTACCTTAAATTTTTAATTTGTTCATCTAATCTGGGCAAACACAGTATGCGATCAAGTTCTTTAATTCGGGTTTTTATGTCTTCTTCGCCTATACCGTACAACTTGCCGTAAAATATAAAAGTTTGACGCGCCGTCAAATTATGGTGCAGTGTAATGTCCTGGAAGAAACAAACGTTTTATTATGCATTAGCTAAAGACGCCTAAAATCCCTAAAACAAACTATCTAATGAACTTTTAACAATGTACTTGAGGCATATAGCTAATGTCCGACAATCTTTGCACTTTCAAATAGATGTTACCCGCGTCTAATGGAGTTTGGCCAAGTATGCAGTTCAGCAGAGTCGTTTTGCCACAACCGCTAGGCCCGAGAAGTCCATATCTAAAATTGAAATCAAAACCCTTAAATCGCTTATAATAATAAGTTTTATGAAAAAAAAACAATAATTGCACTTTAAAACTCAACGATAATTATTAAACAATTATTATTATTGGTTTATAAAGCAATACTACTTACTCCAAAACCGACCTGTAAGAATGCAAGTACCGCAAGCTCAATTTCTATGAACAAAAATGTGAAGCGCTTGCAGCAGGGTCTTGCTTCAGTTTCGAATTTATACAATTAAATAAATACAATTTCAGTTCGTAAAAGTCTTATGTTAACTATACAATTAATTTTCCTATAACTCAACCTTTATAGATTATGATACCTAATAACATTATCTTACGTTTTATTTATATCACAAAACACTTATTCAATTCGTATCTTATTTAAAACGCAGTTGATACACAGTAATAACTTTTATTATTCAAGGATAAATGCTTTTAAAAAGTGTACTTAATGTAAAAAATAAAATTTGTACTATTAATACTCACATTGATCCGCAGGGCACCGTCATATTTAGACCTTTCATGCTAACAATATCTGAATAACACTTGTAGGCGTTTCGAACCAATATAGATTTGTTACCCATCCATTCCACATTCAAGCTCTTTTGTGCGTCAAAAGTCATTGGAGACATTTTAATTAAAAGTTATTTGAATCGCAAATAATTATAAATAGAATTATGTGCCTTTGTTGTCGATTCTCAAAATGGGTACATCGAACGCAAATGAATCAATACAAGTACAAATACTGCTATGGTCCATAGTATAATTGAACATTGGTATTAATGTACAAGGACATTGCGAGTAATTAACCTGAAGTTAGTATAACTTTGGTCACAATATCTGATGAAAAAGTATTTTACAATGCGCTTATATGTTATACATCGTGTACAACAATAGTATTGTACTTCATCTATCAGAATAAAAAATCTAAAATCCGCTGTACCAAATAACATAAATATGTTGTGTGTCCGAGGTCATAGATTTCAAAACGGCACATATATTGGAAGTTTTATTACAATCATCAGTTCCATTATTATCACTAGCAAACATATACATGAAAAATTAATTTGTTATCAAATATTAAAGCGATGTCTATTTTCTAAAAATGTCAATTGAATTAAAAGAGCCCCCACGTATTGCTATATTATAGGTACCGCCAATGATCGGACACATCAGTTAACAAAATAATTATTTTATATTTTCCACTATTACTAATTCAAAATAAAATAATTTTAGTACAACGAATACGTATTTTCCATTTTGTTTTGAGACTAAAAAATTTAAGAAGAATTTTTGGATCCGTTTTCGATTTAAATGCAGGTCAGTAGAGGATTAGAAAAAATAAAGCATATAAACATATAAAGCATATATCTTTTAGGAAATAGACCATTAGGGCTAACGAGCAAGATAAGTTCATCAGAATAGAAATGTAGTAAGAAGAAAAGATCCAGATATTGATTGGAGGGAATTAGCTCTAAATAGAGAGAGGTGGAGCGAGGTTTATTTTTCAGTATGGTCTTCAAGGCCGTAAACTAGAAGAAGAAGAGAAGTAGAATAATAATAATATATTGTAAAATTATATATAGCTCCTACAATTTATTTACTTCACTATCTATGTTTGCCGTTGTCTGGCACTACTATCACGTGTTGATTTATTTATTTTTTCCAGAATACTATATTGATTTTTTCCTGATTGTATGTTATGAATGTATAAACTTTTACAACGTTTTCCTAAAATGTATCCAATAAGAGTATGTTTCGTTCTTCTAATGCAGTTTTGCGAACGATTTTCGTTTGCTAGCATTCGCTGTAAGTCAAAAATGGCCAGCAAGACAATTACTGTATGTGAACACACTTTATCACAATGAGATTTTTATTATGTTTTAGCAATTCTGTCGTTCTACTTGCGTGACATTTTGATGTACGACGAACAAAAATCTGTTAGCATGTTTCACGTTTTCATGATGCTTTGCTATATATCTGCAATGATCGGCGGCGTAGTGGGAAACAGCAACTTTGGCAAATACAAGTAAGGAAAGTAATACCTGTGCAGATGTAAGTATTGCTAATCAGAATTTCTGTAAGGGTTTTGTAATGGACAACGGCAAAAATAAAACCATTAAATATAATGACGTGTTCGGTCTTATGTTCTAATATAAGTATAAATCCGATGCATAGCTTCAACAATTATCCCCATAGAATAGGTATAATTAAGGAATGCCAAGCTATTTATTTATAATAGGGTTTCCCGTGATTTATGGATGAGTAACAATTGTTATTGTGATGCTGTTTCTTCGTGAATTACGCTACACACTTTAGTTACAACACATGTTTTCAAATTGATCTGCTTAATATTTCAAAATTAAACCATAAAAAAAAGTTACATAATTGGTTTTAAAATTCAGCTTAGGCTAAAACAAATATAATCGTTTTTTCAACAAAACAAATTATATTCAATACCTACATTTGTTTTTCAGAACAATTATTTCGTACTCGGTAGTTTACTGGTCTGGAGTTCTGCTAATGTTTTATGCGACTCTGTACCATCGAGACGTGTATAAAATGCAAGTATCTATATACTGTTATAATAGTTTTATTCTACCGGATATTATAATAATCAAACTTATCCGTAATTGATATATTATTTTTAAACGGCTTCGATTGGGGACACGTGAAAGAATTTAGAACATAGTGATGACTATTTATAAACAAAAATATTAATATATAATTTATTAAATAAAAATCTGTCCACTAGGGAAAAACAAATTGCATTTGAATGAAGCATCTGCACAATATTTTTAATTTAAAGTATAATAGTTAAAACAGGTCATGGCCCGAACAGCCATGACATTCATATAATACTACAACACGGATTTTTTACTGTTTTAAATTGTTTAATATTTTGTTTTCAAATTTGCAGTTGTATACTGACTCTGTATAGTTTGATTTTAATCTCGATCGGATTGGGTGGAATAAAGCCGTGCTTGCCTGCTTTTGGGCTGGAACAGCTGATCACCAGCAGCAAAAACATCAGTGTGTCGCACGCCGAGAGTTTCTTCAGCACTTTCTACTTTGTCATCCACTCAGCCGTATTAATTGGACTGATAACAACGCCATTAATAACCATTTACAGGTCAAGCAGCAACTTCAGCGTAGATACCTACGCGTTGAGATTTGAATTGTCATTCATTTCAATGACAATTGCCCTCGGTAAAATATAATTTACAAATCATACTATAGTTACGTTGCCCTGGCTTAGCCCGAGAAGGGGGGGGGGGCTATACAGTATGCTATATGTCAAACTGTCCATATGTCAGCTGATTAGCTATTGATTTCTTTCTCTAAAATTAAAATTTTTAATTTTCCAATTTTCCGGGAACTTTTTAAAAACTTTCTTTCCTCTAAAACCTTATTCGGACTGTTACGAACATTTAAAAAAAAATGAGCCAAATCAATCAAGCCGTTCTCAAGTGATGCGCGTTACAACGAACAGCACTTCATTTGTATTTATATAGATAGGTATACAAACTATGGTCTACACACTACACAATCAACGAAAAATCGTTCATAAAATGTATACATACTACTAAGTACTTATTTAGATAAATTTAAAAAAAAATGTTTTTCTAGGTTTTACAGGATTCAAAGATAATACAAGTCAACAAAAATTAGGTACTTAATTTAAAAAAAAAATGTTTATGGCAGTATAAAACAACTCAAGTATTACTCAACTCTAGTATTGACTTCAAAATGACCTCCATCAGTTAATAATTTATAGTTTTATTATTACACATTAGTAATTGGCTTTATATTCAGATGCACAAGTAAGAGGGATATTCAAGGACTAAAACTTTACACCATCCTAAAATATAGTGACCAAATTTAACATATTTAGGTATTGCAGTTTTTACTTAATGACATGGTGGGAAGGCTTTGGATTCGCAAACAACTAATGATAGTATTCTAAACTATTGTACCATCAATATTCATATTTTAATTATTATAAGGACCAAAATGACCCGTGTTCCAAAATTGACTATATAACGCAATCCAACTTGTATGTAGGTATCCAAGTGATAATAACAGTTGGGTTCGGACTGAATAAACGACCGCTCGCGAGTCAAGTGCGATTTATGAGTTTTGTGTCGATAGTATTAAAATAATAGCAATAAATCCATAAACTTTGTTCAGGTGCATTTCTGTGCGGCAGTCCTTTTTATTTATCGAAAAAGTCCGGCAAAAGCGTCTTGGTAAACATGTTTAATTGCATTGTTGTAAGTTTCCGGTAAAAACTTAGACGGCGTCAATTATTTATGAGTTGATGTCGTTTTTTTTTTCTCGCTGCAGACCTCCTTGTGGAAGAAACTGACTTACCAGAGACCGGGAAAATCCCACTGGTTAGGTCACGCTGACGGCATTTACCCTTCGTGTGTTATTTACGACACCGAAAAGACATTGCACATGCTACGCCTGTACGTACCCCTGTCGATGTTCTGGAGCCTGTTCGATCAACAAGTCTGTCGGGTCATTCGCATACCACGTAGAGACACGCAACTAGGGAGGGTCTTTTAGCAGACGCTTGCACAAAGAATCCAAGTTCATCGCATTAAACCGCCATAATATCAGCTATACGAAACAATTATATTTTTGTTCATAGCACTCCCTACTTGCGCACTGCTAACGCAGTCGACTGTGAATACAATTTACTTACTCGTTTTACTGTTGTGCAATGCAGAACACCACGTGGCTGTTTCAAGCGGCTCGCACCAACGGCCGTTTTTTCGGCTTGCAAGTACCCGTTTTCGTGCTGCAGGTCGTTAATCCGGTATTAGTGTTAATCACCATACCGTTCATGAAACGTTTAGTGTACCCGTACCTGGACAAGCACTGGTTGTTCAAGTACCCTCTTAAGCGCATCCTGCTGGGCGGCAGTATAGCCGCCATAGCGTTCGTGCTGTCCGGCTGTGTCGAGCTGCACATCGAAGTGAGTTCATGATATGACCTAACCAACCATTTTTTTTCTCTTTCATGCGCCGTGGAAACCCGGGGGGAACCCGCCTGGTGTGAGGCATTACTTCCCCCCAAGTATCTGAAACTAACCACCCGTCAGGATCTAAATCAATATGCTACTACTTTTAAGCCCTAAACTCTATCATATTAATAATCAAAATATGTTTAAATGGTTACACTTTTTGCAAAAAATCGAAATTGTGGTGTCCTACCCTTAGTTTTGATAACCATGAATAGTGTATATTGACACCCGTTTCGTTGTATTATATAAAACACTAATTTATATTACCGGCTTATTTCATTTTCATAATATGTGTACCAAAAGAAATAACGAGATTTGCATTTGAAATCAAATTATACTTACATTTGTAATAGATTATCGCGGTACTCTTAATATGTATATCGTGGCCCAACTTTGGTATCGATAAAATTACTGTTCCCAATAATTGGAACATAATTTACAAAACTTCCCGCAGAGAACCAAGTTACTTAGTGGACCTTCAGGGCACTCGTAACTTGTTTTCGACATTTACACTAAACTATAATCTTCGACTTGGTATAAATGAACAGTGGACACAATCTCATTACTAAAAAAATAGTTTCTACGTTATTATTATTTCCCTTAAAATCCTATTCATTTTTTTGATGAGCTTAAATGTGAACTATAAATATAAATAAATCTGTACAATCACTCTGATACCTTCCATAGTAAAATCCATCAGCGACTTGGCAGAAAATAATATTGTAATTTTCACATCATTTACAAATAATTTGGCCGTTGTATTTTAAAGCATGGCGCACAAGACAAACTCATAAGTCTCCAATGGCTGTTGCCCCAATTTATCTGTATGGCCTTTGGCGAAACTCTGTTTACCATGACCGGACTGGCGTTCACTTTTTCTGAAGTAAAGTCAATACCAATGGCATATTATTGGTACAAGAAAATTTACTGTTAGAATAAGACCAATTCATTTTGCAGGCTCCAGAAACAATGAAGACCGTATCTCTGTCAATGTGGTACTTTTCGGTGGCATTGGGCAATTTGATGGTCATCTTCTTCAACCATTTTGCGGTTGTGTTCAACAAAAAGGTGTAACAACGTGTCGCTCGTATTTTCCACTTATAATTGTTATTTCGTTTATTATGTATTTGTCTATCATTATTTATTATTGATTATCAATTATTACCTAACCGTTTATCGGGTTCTTGTAATTTGAAATCGCAGTCGGACATTTTCTTCGTGTTCTCTTTCATCACGGCATTGGTGATCGCGTCGCTGTACAGGATGAGCAATACTTTCGAAAAGATCTACAATCTAGACAAACCCGTGTCCGTTCCTACTGATTTAGGTAATCTATGCTCACATTAATGCCTATACCGAATGTCACATTGACTATGCTGTGTTTCCAGTTATGATACTGAAGAGAGACAGCTACCAACTGGCCTTTTAAACAGTGGACTTGACAATGACGATCATTTTCATTTTTCAAATATATTTGAAGACGGATCGAACCAATATGACGTTACAAAACTAATAACGTTTTTCCCATATCAACGCAATATCAAATAATACTACAGCGTGGACAATAATTAGTCAAGAACATATTTAAACGTTTTATTTTTGATAAACCAACATAATATGATTATTGTCAATAATGTGTGATACAAAGGAACTAAATCATACTGTAATTTAATTAATACCCGTAATTTACACAACCAAATACTCAAATGATATGCATGTCTTTACATTAAAATATATATACAAAAATAATTTATTATAGAAATACAATTATTTGTATTATTTTTTTTTTATGTTTTCTTATTATGATATATATAATTATATAGTGGCTCAAAAACCTTAATCCTAGATACGTTACTAAAAATAAATTTACATTTACCGTCATTAAAATCAATATTTACACACTTACAAAAGCAAAATAATCACAGATCACGCTAATGCTTGTAGATCCGGAAGAGGTAAGAAGGCATTTGGACATTTTAGGATACACAGATATAGAACCAGAACTCTTGAACAGTTTCATAAAAGGTAATTTATTTTTTTATCGCACCGAGCATATACTATTATAATACCAATATAACAGTTATTGTTAAAGCAAACGTAATATGGATGCGCGGTTTTGAGAGATTTTTGGTATTTTCACTTTTATTCTAGCTATAATACTATCTTGGTTAGAGCTCAATATTACATTCCGTAGTGGTCCGAGAATAGCGGTATACATTATAATAATATGTACACAATAAAAAAGAAACTATACAAATATTTTTAAAAAAATAGTTTTATTAATAAATTAGATTTTGAAACTCAAACAAGGTGGGAACGAGTAACGACAATAATGTAAAAATATAAAACGAAATGAACGTATGGACAATACAACAATTTGGCTTTTAAAAGTGACTTTAAAAATAAAACCCATTTCAGATTTAGAGAAGCTCGTCGATTATGAGCAAAGACATGGAATCAACACATCGTCGATGCCGTCGTTATTTAACCCAAACAGTTACTCAGAGCAAATGAACCGCAGCAAGATGAACGCCTCCAACACACATCAAAGTTTACAGGCCGGCAAAAACACAACCGAACACCGACAGAGGACTGATTTAAATGTGCCAAATTCGCCGTGTACAAATTACAACTGGAGTATCCATTCGAACGAAATGAACAGCCAAACCCCGAACTCAGAATTCCGCAGGAACACGCCAAATCATATTAACACCACTACACGCACTTCGGCACGGTTGGAAAAAATTAAGTATTTTAAACTCCGGCGAACAAAACCAACTGTTACAGACACATTTATAACATGAAATTATATTATAGTAAACACTTTTGTAAGGTACAAACGACACTATATAACATAGTTTGAACAGCACGTTTAACGGTAGACACAAGAAGAAGGTACTAGAATTTAAATTTAAAATATCACCCAACAACAATTGTTATTGTACTAGTTACATTGGATTAGCAAAACTCTAACCAGTGTTACTGAAATGTTTTAATGTAGTTTTGTTTTATTTTCAATAGACAACAACCACTCGCGATGGAATAAAACGGTCGGGTCGTCACTTTGCACAGACCACTATCAGAACATTTTTTCAAGAAACGCTAATCAACTCGACTCTTTGGGACACTCCCAGATGAAGGTATGAAATATTTTTCGAAAAAATTAAAACCACCAACCATTGGTACTTGCGATGGAGGCGATTTGGATGTACGTTTTTAAGTTGCAACGCCAAACTACAGGTTTTTTCAATACATAACTTGTTTGAAACCTAAATAGAATTTTAAAAAACACCACCATTTCCTATAAATCGATACAAAAGGAATAATAGGCTTCGACAACGAATTTGAGCCCTATCAATACTGTACAACTGACAACCACGCACATTTTATACTTAAATGTAAAAACAAGCGCCAGTCGCTACAACCAATTTGATTCAAACTTTTTCATACCGACAAGGACAATAGCAAAATATAGTAGTTCTTAGGTCCGGATAAAATTTGAAAAAAAATATACATTTAACTCTCAACTAATATAAAAAAAAAAATTCTGAATCGGACAATAGTTCAATGCATTAAAAGTAAAATGTTCCAATAAAATTTGTGTAAGTTATTCTCTCTAGAAACAAACAAAATTTATTATTATAGATTTATAAATATAAAATAATTATTATCTATTTGTTCAGAAAAAAAAAACCATAAAAAAAATATTGAACTTAATTTCTTTTTAAACATTTAAATGTATGTAAAATGTTTCTAACATGTGCTCTTTGACCATTTCTGTTGGAGATGTATTTTTTTGAAGTTTTGTAAAAATATTTAGTAGATAAAACGCACATTCTAATTTGCCCTTCACTCATCTTGAACCTGTTATTCAAGGTAAAGGAGCAAATATTTGTTTATATCTATATATTATTACAGCAATCCAAATGTTATTGTTGTGGAATTCAACGAACGACAAATCATGAAAAACTAAAATCTAAGTGTAACTCGAAAAAAAAGCACGCAATGTGCTGCCAAGCGACATTATATATTGAACTAAAAGATTAAATACATGGTTTTCGATAACCGTTTTGTTATTTTGGTTTATTTAAAACAAAAAAACATTCTTTTGTGTCAAGAGAAATTTATTATACTTTTTTTATAATTGATATATGTTACTTATAATCCCTTTAAAATAAATGTCATAATTAAAGCCTTTATTTCAATTTGAAATAATATATGTAAGACGATTTATTGTAGCTTACCATTTCAATTATTTAGGAAAATTAATGGTCAAAAAGATTTTAGTCAAAAAAGATTTTTTGTCAAAAAGATTTTAGTTTAACTTTATTAAATGCAAATAAAACTAGAACCTAATTGGGAACAAATTACAGTGAACTTATCAAATAATAGATAACAAAAAAAAAAAAAAAAAAAACTAAAGCTAATCTGCTAGATTAAGTTCATTAACTTCATTCATATAAAAATAGTAAAGAAAAAATTTGTACAATTACTTTTTACATTGGGGTTTTAAAATATAAAACTCTTATAATCATTTACGAATATTACTACCTTCAACATTCTACAAATTCTTTCCCAACCATAATTTTTAATAATTTAAATAACAAAAAAAAATTAATTCACATTTGTTTCAAATATATACAAAAGTTTAACCAATTTATTAAAAAAAAAAAGTTAGGTCATTATTTTTGCGTAGAACTGTATGAATAGGTATTATATAGTTGCGATATAAAAACTTACCACATAGTTAAACAAATAGAATTGGTGGGCTTGGAAATCCCAAATACCTACAAGTGCCAATTTATAAGTCAAAACTTAAACGATCACTTTGAGTATGTCAATGAATTCATATTATGATAGCTCTTTTTTTTTTAACATACAAAACTTCATCATAAAAGTTTCATCTTTTAATACACAAATTTAATTAATAGAAAAAAAAGAACAGATTTCTGATAAAAAAATAAATGTCTAAACATACTACCAAGAAAAAGTCCATAATCTGATTCGGATGGATTAGGAAAAGATTAATTAATAACCGAATTTAACAAAACCAATGGGTGTAAAGTGATGCGATTTTCATTATAAATTCTTTTTTAGTCTTGCATGTCATCAGTGATTTCATGTGGATTTAATATGCCCGGTACGGACTTTTGTACTTCACGCTTCTCTTCTTGTGCTTGTCGCAAAGCCGCTTCTCTTTCTTCTAAATATAGATCTGATATATCTTCGCCGGTAAATTCCTATTGAAATATACAGTTAATTAAATGTGGTTAAAAATTGTAAATGTGTATTAGGGTGATTCTTTATTTAGTTTAATTTCCTTAAACCCAAATTAAGGATCATATATACATTATTTATCAAATAAATACACCAAAAATAGCGCCAAACACACTAACGCTGTTTCGGTACTTTCAGTTTTATTAATATAGTAATTGATATCATAAATATAATGGTCCAGAGCTATTTAATACTTGATAGTTAGGCTTGTTTCACATCTAATGCGTATGGCATACAATTTTCTCATACGCAATCAGTTTTATCACACGCCATGTATAAATTTGGACCAACAATCTACACGCGCAGTTGTGAAACGGGCCTTAGTACAACAATTAAGACTTACTCTAATTTGAACAAGGAAGTCTCGAAGATGATCTTTAAAAGCATTGAGGTCGTGATTTAAATTGAACATGCCTTGGACGGTAAGTGCAATTTGGGCATCAGCTAAATGAGGAAATGCTGTTTTTAACAGAGATGCTACAAAATCATGTACATAGGCGACATTTTTCTCAGTGACATCGCCATCAGGAGGCGCACCCGGAGCACTTAGTAAAACCTCAATACGGTCACTTTCCACTAGTTTGAACATGTATGACAGAATTTGGGCATGCATCAAAAGACCTAAAATTCAAATTTTAATTATTAAATTTGAAAAAAAACAACATATTAATCAAATAAAAATTATTGATGTTAAACTATATCAACAACTGTAAGAATGTAACTTACTAGCAGTATGCGATGTATCTGTAGCGACAGAGAATACATGTTGTAGGATATCAGTAAAATATGTAACGTAAAAACTCTGCGCTGCCTGTTTGTGTTGTTGCACATTTTGTAACAATTTATACAATATCTGCAAAAAAATATATAAATAGTATATTATTTTATAATAAAATACTTTTATAAATCCAACATTTTTTCCTTATATTTAATTTTGTAGTTGTTTTTCTCCTATAAGTTGTAGACACGAACTTGATAAGGTAAAAAAAAAAAAGTTTGTTTATACACAAATTATTATATATGGGCTTATAAACATGCTTACAATATGTAAAATAATACTAATATTCATACCAACAATCCAGTTTCAGCAACATCACGCATTGTGTGTTTAAAAGCCCAAAATATAGAATCTAAAACCAATTTAAATTGTGGTGCTGGTATCGATAAGAATGACACAAAACAGTGGTTATTTATCGCCTTAAAAAAAAAAATAATAATTAAAGTATTTGTTAAATGAAATAACTCATAAAAACTGTTAATTGAAAAAATAAACACATACTTGTAATAGGAGGTAGAAGTTTGTTCTGTGTTCAGGGAACTGTTCGAAATCTTTATTTATCATAGTTAATGTTGCTTCAAATACAGCATCAAGTATTTTAGGGACAGCCGGTGTGATGTCAGACTGAAGTTTATCGATTATTGTTGCCATAGCACTAAGGACTTCTGGCTCCCTAGCTGATGGGTGCATGGTTTTGCTATAGTCAGCCAATACTGTCTCCAAGAGAGGAGGAATGAAGTTTTCTAACACCTAAACACATTTACAAAATAACATCCTAAGCATAAACAACAACAACTAAAATAAATGTATCTACTAAAACTTACCATTGCATTGTCATTGGATTTTGAAATCCAGTCTGATATTAAGCGCAATGTTTCTTTTTTAATGACACGCATGTTTTTTATCAACGGTTGTTTAGTCACACTATCTCCATTAGTTGATATAGCATCGGTGATGTTAGCACTCATTACATTGTAAATGTTTAACATATCTAAATATATTTTTCCTAACTGAAATACAAATGCAAAAAATGTAGATAAAAAATGTGTGCACATTAACATGCATTATATACAAATTGTGTACTCTATCCGAGGGCATACAATTTTTGTTACAAGTACACGCAAACATAGAAAAGTGGGAGGTGGGTATACAAAAAGTATACAACTACATCACTGCTTGAATACATAAAGTAACTCACTTGAATAACATACTGATGGCCAAGTGATTTACACGCTCTGGCGTTAGTCTTTAAGATGTTTCCTAATTGTTTCACAAACTCTGGTTCTTTCAATATTTCAACATCCTAGATGAAGGTTTAAAAATTTACTTAACATAACCCAAAATACTATAAATCACAAAAGTAAAATAAACATTTTTATAATTATTACTTTTGAAGCTTGAACAATACAATCATCCCAGACTAAGTTTGGCAGAAGCATATACTTGTCAATCAACTGTTCTTGGATTTTAGAATTCACTTGTGCAGCTATCATTATACCAACTGCTTCGTAGAAAGTGTGAACCTATAGGAAAACAATTATAATTATGAGCGATAATAGTTTTTTTTTTTTTAAAGTATCCCAATTACTTGTTGTGGCTGTAAATCACTGGTGATTGTAGCCATTGAATTCAGAATCTCATCAATAAATGGCATAGCTTCACCAACTTGAACTTGAACGAAATATCTTCTACATTTTAGTGCAATTTTTATAAATGTGTCACAAGCCATATCCTGCACACCATCATGAGTTTCTGTAAGCACAATAATACATATGTAAAAAAAAAATGACCAGTACATTTAAACAATTTGTTATATAATTATTTCATTTAATAAGTAAAAATATTTTTTTTTTATCCTCAGAGACTAATTTATTTATTATCATATAAAATCAAAATTAGCATGACAATTTGACATCATCGGACATATAATTACTTTGTAAAATTCTAAAAGTTATTGTTACTGAATAACTTTACTTATTTTTATTGGGTTTCATTATTTCAGAAAGACTAATCGAAAATCATTGTTTATATCAACATTATTATTGCAATTTTTCATCATTTTAATTATTCTACATTTCATAATATTGATTGCTTAAAAACTTCTCAGCTATATTTAACTTGTTACTATAATTTTTGTTTATAAAAATTAGCATGTCATTTTGTTACTTTCTTTTTTAAGGTTTTAACATTTACACTACTAGCATTGATAACTGCAACCATGATATTCTTGTTTTAATGTTACACATCAACAAAAAGTTAATTTTTATATTAGCCTAATTAGCAATGAGCTTTTAGCATCAGTGGTTCCTTAGATAAATATCGTCATGAAGATTTCTGAATCCAATTTATAATCATTTGCTAACTATAAGATCCCAAAAAATATATGATTTTATTCTTTGGAATGTGTAGTTCATTAACACATTATTCTCAGGAAGACTAATCAAAAAATCATAAATGATCACTTAAAATACATGTTTTCATCACAGAATTATTTACAACTTAACTTTAAATAAGTACAACATAAATCAATATAAAATGCATCCATGGTTTCTTAAAAAAAATATGTTGTCAATACCAATCCTAAATCAATAATTTAATGTACAACTTTCAGGAAGACTAATCGAAAATCATTTTTTGATCAACTATAAGCAATTTTTCATCATTCAAACTGTACTACAAATATTGTTTAAGATATTCTCAGCTAAATTGAATTGATTTTTCTCATTTTGTTATCAAAATTAGCATGACATTTTTACATCACAGAATATTTTGTTTCATTTTTCAATATGCACACATTGTATTTTATCAACTATATGTCCAAATAAGAACTTATGGTACAATTATATTACAATTGTATAACTTATACAATTTATTTTCATACTTAGTACTATTTATAGTAAACATTTAACATCAGTGGTTCCTTAGATAAATATCTTCAATGAGATTACAGGATCTTAATTATAATCATTTGCTATCAATAAGAAAAAAAATAGAAAACCATTATACATAAGGACTAATCAAAGATCACATTGTATGATTAGAAAACAACATTACAAATACAATTTTTAATTACTATTTAGATGAATCTTAATATAAAAAATTCCAATGTAAATAATATAAAATGCATTAGTGGTTCCTTAGAAAAAAATATCGTCAATACCATTTCTGAATCTAATTAATAATAATTTGCTAATCATATTATATATTATCATTATTTAAAAGTATAATTTTCAGGAAGACTAATCAAAAATCATTTTTTGATCAACTATAATAAGCAATTGTTCATCATTCAAACTATACTAAAAATATTGTTTAAGATATTCTCAGCTAAATTTAATTAATTTTTCTCATTTTTTTTATCAAAATTAGCATGGCATTTTTACATCACAGAATATTTTGTTGTGTTTTTTTCTATCTAAGTTTCATCTAGACAACTGCAACCACGTTTTTATTTTTGAAATTTGTTTTCATACTTAGTAATATTTATAGTAAAAACATTGAACATCAGTGGTTCCTTAGATAAATATCTTCAATGAGATTTCAGGATCTAATTTATAATCATTTGTTAACTATAACATAGCATAACAAAATAGGTAAAATTTAATATTTTCCATGTTAGACTTTTTTTATTTATAATTAAACATATTATTCTCAAAAAGACTAATAAAAAATCATACTCATGTCACTTTTAAGACATGTTTTCATCAGAGAATAATTTACCTAATGATTAATACACTAAGTAGATAGGTAAGTAAGTTTGATAAATATTGTGATTTCTGAATATAATTAATAATTGCTATATAATTTACTAAAACCAAAAGACAAACATTACAAATAGTAACCAATAATGAAAATGTATAATTATAACTATATATTTTATGGCTTGATGTTAAATTGATTACCCTCTTAACGTAAAAATGGTATACATAGCATCAGTGGTTCCTTAGATAAATATCTTCAATGAGATTTCAGGATCTAATTTATAATCATATGCTATTATCATAAAACTTTATGGTTAAATATTTAACAAGGACCTTAAAACCTAATCACCATAATAATAACCTAATAATTTCATAACATTTGTCTGTACACTTTATCTGTGTTTATATCATGACAAAAAATTTAAGAAGATTACTACATCTTTTTTTTTTTAATAAGACATATTTCTTGAGTGTTATTATACTGTTACACTAAAAAACTTTAAATCACAAGTCTTCTGTGACTAAATCTAATAATTAAAAAAGTTTAAAAAAATACTCACCATGCATAAACTCGAACAATTTATTAACAACAGTTTTTAAGAATTTCCAATGTGCTCTTAAGAATCGTGGATACTGCCCCACCACATACATAATATTTGAAGCAATTATCGCTTTGTTATCTTTGCCTTTTTTCTGCTCACACAGTCCTAATAAATCTTTAATAGCTGTGACCAAAAATCGCTTTTCATCTTCTTCGTGCATAGCACCAGATATACTACCAATAGCCCAACATAGCTGAACAAATAAATTATGTATAATTAACATTAATAAACTAAAAATATTATGATTTAACCAAACCTACAGTATTTAAATTTTTCCAAGACCATTCATTTCCATTGACTTGATTGTGTAGTTTTTCTGTCATAATCCGCTCAGTATCAACACAATCCAAATGAGTCAGATACACAAGTGTTTCCCTCATACTTTTATACAAATGAATAGCATCAGTATCTTTCATAAATTCTCTTACTACTTCTCCATTTTCATTTTCTACCACTAGAACTTCTTCTGGCTTAGCCATGCGACTTATCATTATGTAACGCATCTACAAAAAAAAGTACATAAAATTAACAAAAAAATAATAATAAATGTATATTTAGACTATATTTTATCAGAAGATAAAGAAAAAAATTATCTAATTGGAAGAACAAAAAAATGACCTCTTGCAAATATTTTATTAATTTTGTTTTCAACAAACAGGGATTCTACAACCGAGTCACTCGGCGGCTTTGGGTATATTAACTGGCAATACATAATATTTACAACCCACTAAAGAAAATCTGCCGCCAGAGGCGTATCAGCAGCCAATTTTAGTTCTTCCAACTATAATACCTATTAAAGTTCGGTAAACCATCTCGGTTTTAAATTAACATAGTAAACCACTTTTTAACTAAACTTGTGTTTAATTTTTTTGAAATATATATCTGTGGCTTGGAGCAAGAAGGGCCAATGTCACTTTTGCAACTTTCGGAAAATGAGCTTTGAAGTTTTTATTTTCCATTAGGCTCTATGTTAATTTGTTTATCAAACTCTTCATGAGTAATTCATTTTTTGGCCTCAGAGTGTGATTTTTTCACAGTATATAAAGAATGATTCAATCTTTGCAATTAGCGGACTAACTCGTTTATGCACAAAATTGACATTGGCCCTTCTTGCTCTAAGCCACAGATATATTTCAGTATATATTTGAAAACCTCAATGAGAAATTTTTTTTTTTATGTTTAATTATTAGCACAGCATAAAAAAATTGTATTACCTGTGATAAGACTGGGGCATAAAACTGACGCCTTGGAGAAATAGCATTCGAGTCTGGTCGGCTATTGGGAGAAAGTGAAAATAAACCGACTATTTGTAGTTGGCCAAAAGGATTTTCTCTATATAAACTTGCAGCTAAACTATTCCAATATTCTAAACAAATTTTGAATATTTCAATTTCTTCAACTTCCGATATCATAACCAAATAATGAAGTGCCTAAAAAATTAATGTTATTAAAATTTTACATTAAAATGATTACATTTTTTATTTAATAATATAAAAAATATGTTATCATATTTTTCACAGTTTGTTGTTAAATAATATTTTGGTCAAGGTCTATAATTCTTGATGGCCAAATAGTAATTCATTACTAACCTAGCCAAGATTTAAAAAAAACTTGTTTAATACTGTATTTTACAGAAAACCAGAATCTTAAAAATTTCAACTTAACACTTCTAGAAAAACTGGTTATAGCCCATTCGCTTAAACGTGGAAGTTATTACTAAATCAAATTAGTAATAATGCTGTTAGTAATAGCAGTTAAATATTAGTGAACAAGTTAATATCATATAAAACAAGTTATAAAAAAACATAGAAGATTAAATTTATAATGTTTTAATATGTTTCTTCAATTGTATTTTTTTTTTATTTATTGGACACATAAAATTATACTGATTAATACCTATAAAGAAGTTATCTGCCTTGCTTATTAGAAATGTCCCAACTTCATTTTACTTGGCACTGTCAGATAGGACTTTTTCACTTAGTTTAGCCTAGAAAACTGTAGATAGGACAGACCTTTCATGAGCTCCAGAAAGCCTTGTAATGCACGTAGGACATTCCATGTTGGATCAAAAAATAATACATCCCAACAATTTCCCAGAAAGTTAAAAATCTCAAAATCGCATTTTTGTTGGTTAGGAAATTTCTTCTTAGAACAGCAGTTACGGTGTTAACAAAAATAGACAAGTGTTTACATTAATAATGAGAGATCATTATTATTGAGCCGTGTCAGATGGCCAAACGAGTAATGCAATTAAAACAAATTCACTGGTTCCAACATTTTTTTTGAATAAATAAAGAACTAATTGATTTCTGACAACAATTCTAAGCACTGCTAAGCGATACACCATAAACCTCTCAAAATAAGTTTACAGTATCTTATATACAACAACAAATATTTTTGCTTAAAAATGTATAGGCCCCTGAAAACGATCAAATTATTTGTCAAATAGACTGACGTGTTTGATGGAAATTTGGATTGACGGTGTGTTTTAGCTATTGTTTGATGAAAACATGAAGTTTGACCAACAAAATTGTCAAACAAATTTGATCGTCTACAGGGTACTATTATTGAATGCATAATTACTTTTAACAAATCCTCATTAGAACCATTTTTCTCAACTAAAAGAGCATGTTCTTTTAAAAATGTGCATAAGAACAATGCCAGATTTTGAATAAAGTTTTGTTCTTGATCTTGACCAGAAGCATAAGCATCTTTAATATTCGTGTGTAAAGGTAACATCTAAAACAAAATATTATATTCATATTTTTATCCTATTATTATTATCTGGTTAGTTACAAAACATACCAGAAGGAGCTGTGCCATTGTTTTTGAAAACAAACCAGCAAATGCAGCGTCATAGTTCGGAACAGTTACAGCTGCTATTTCAGTTAAACATTGTAACGTCACATTTCGGAACATAGGAACATTGAAAAACTAAAAGAACAAAAACCAAATTAACAAAATGTTTAACACTAAAAAAAAAAGATTTTTTAATACTTTAAATATCAATGTATCGATTAAGTCTGTTTCGAATATGTAGCCCAAGGGTATCCAATTCAAAAACCTGAGGAGTGTGTTCAAGGTGGCATGAACCAAGGGAACATTTTGAGAAGAGCTCTAAATAACAAAAAATTATATAATGTAATCCAAAACTTAATGTTCAAATAAGTTTATAAAATAATAACTTAAGTAAATCAAACATAAATTTTACTGACCAATACAAATTGGCAAAGCTCAAAAATTTGTGCAAACTCTGAGCACATGGTGTCTTTTAAATGTTTAGCTTTCATTTGTGTCATATTGCCTGCTGAAAAATCGAACACTTCCTCACTTAGCAATTTTAATATAACCATGTTGTTTTGACATAAGCTAGCATTGGATTTGCTTGCGCCTACAATTTCTCCTATAAAAGATTCCCAGTTTTTTGGCCATTCTCGTTTTAATACCTAAAAATAATTAAATAATTAAAAAATACAACTATAACAAAAAAAAAATTTTTTTAACTGACTTGAACAAGAATAATATTTAATTTGTTAAGATAGGTTTTTTCCCTTTCCATTGTCAATGGATCAGAAGATGTTTTTATGATCAAAGCAACTATATATTTTTTTATGCCTTCACATTGATTCCTAGGTAGTACTTTCCATCTAGTTTTAATCAGCTGTTCCAAAATTTGCAAAGCAAAATATTTTGTTTGTTGATTATTAGAAAATTCAAGTATAGTATCTACTCTAGTCCAGGCATCTGGATGTTCTTTTAACGTAGTCAACACTTCTTGGGCAGCTCGTTGCTAAAATAAAATAATTTAATTTATACATTATAAGCACAACCATAAAAAATAAATAAAAACAGGATAATAACAATACAAATGTTGTAAAATATAATAATTTAATTTAAAAAAAAAAATTTGGTTATATAAATTATAAATTACCTGATCACCAGTGCCTGTGTACATACAGCCGACTATATTTTCCAATAAGGTAATATCAAGCTTTTGGGAAAAGTCCAAAAGCTTTGACACTTGTTCCGTCATTGTAGCCATTTTAATTTATTTGATTTTTATATTTTGTTTAAAGTCAGCTAAAACAAAAGACCAAAATTGATTTAACAAAAAAATATTAGGTGGTAATAACAAGTAGAAACTATTCAACAAATTTCTATTCACATTTATTATATGTGATAAATAAGTACAAAAACATAACTACGAAATTTCATCTACATTAAAACATTAGCACAATAATTGTCAAAAAAATATATGAAACTATATACATAGACATTAAGGAGAAAATTGTTTGGTATTACTACATAATTATTTATATCCAAACATCTGTGAAAATAAACATTATATAATTTTAATTGCCTAAATAATTACCATAACTAATTGAAACCACATGGGTATGCTTTATTTTAAATAATACTAGGATCAAATTTTGAGAAGTAATGTAAACCCGTGACACAAAATATTAAATCATAATGCATTTTTAATAGAAAATTAATTTTCAATAAAAATACTCAACTACCCTTTGGAATATTTAATTTTGTCGAAATTTAAGTTAAACTACTGAAAAACCATCATGCATAAATTACTTCCTCTAATAAGTAACTAAACACAAATAAAATGAATAATATTTTATAGAGAAATAATTTGAATAAAAAAAACAAATTAATTTACTTTTACAAATAAGAAATAACCATTTTTCAATGATTTTAACGTAATACAAATTTGTATTTTATTATACCATCGTACGTACAAAAACAAACATAAGAATGAACACATCGATATTTACAGTAAGACTTACTTTAAAAAATTAAAAGAATTGATTTATTTTATACAACAAAAAAACAATAACTACCTACTTATTTTTGAAATTAAATTAAACATTATATTATTATTACATCAATAATACAAACATTTTAAAATGCTAGATTAAATCAATATATTGCTAAAAAGCTATACAGTTAAAAGTTAAGTTTTAGAAGTGGCGAAGGTGAATTAAAATATATATAGTTGTAATACCAAATATAGTATGATCTTTAGAATGTTTCTAGACTTTTCAGATAAAAATCAAATCTCTATAAAATGTACATTACTATAGATAATTTTTAAAAACTTACTCAACAACAAACAGACGACAAGTATACGCAACAGTAACCTTGGACTTAGACCTAGTCACTGTTCCATTCACTCAGAAGACATTCATACACACAAACAAATAACTTTTGTGTTATAAACCTGAAACAAAAATGTTGACAATATTATTTTCTTCAGCACAAAAATTTAACTAAATACAAATACAAAACATAAACTAAAATATTATAATATTAAAAAACTTAATATTTAATGAAAAAGAAAAAAAACAACATGTACATGAGACATTATTTGTAAGTATACACAATTGTTTACACTGGAGTAACAATACATATTTTCTATTGCAATATTAATTAATGTAATTAAATTAAGTATTTTATAAGTATCATCAAATTTAAAACAAACACTAGGTTAACACACTAGTTACTTTCTTTTATTATCCTATATTCCTTTTTCAATCTAAAAATAAATGTAAAAATAAAAGATATTTATTTTAAAAAGCGTTATCAGCAAGCAATTTATATTAACAAGTAAAAAATATTTAAATATTCAATAGTCACAGTAAATTATAATATAATAGTTTAAAGAGGAAAAATGAATTTTTAAATTATGTAAGTGTAGTCAAAAATATGTTAAGAAAAACTAAAAACAAGATGGTCAGCAGTAAGTCAAGCAAGGTAAATGGTCTAAATGAAAATGTTAAGATGACTATATTGGATTAAGGTTGCTCTAAATGGGTATCCTAAATAATTGAGAAAAACAGTGAGAAAGAAGATGAAAATTTTCTTATACAGTATGATATTATAAATGCTACACATTTGACAGCATAAAACATCATAAGCCTATTACCACATTAACAAATTGCATTTTTTATTATTATTATGATATCATTCAAGTTTCTACAAGTTGACATAACAGTTTATACTTTATGTTACCAACAACAGTCAAAATAATTGCGTAACACAATTATAAATACATGATGTGTAATACAAAATATTTATTAAAAAGATAAATATTAGATTCGTATAAAAGAAAATCACTTTACAAGATATAGAAAAATCATTTAAATTAATAAAACATATATATTCAACATAAAAAATATAGTACCCTCATCAACAGCTTGTCGCTTCTACAAGTATGATTAGGTAAGGTACGGCCATAAAGACGATAATATATTAGAAGTTCAATAAATAACGTGTCAATGACAAAAATAGAAACATAATTTTAAAATGAAACGAAATGGCTAATTACAATGAAGGAAAACCGAAAACGTGATTACAAATGACACAATAGTACCTCCAATATTTTGACCAGAAATTGGTTATATCAAATTTCTAGAGGTTATAACCGCCGGACAGTGTTAATATTTTCGACGGCAGACGTTCGTACATCACGTTAAAAAAACACGAGATACTTTGAAAATCCAATATATACCTATTTATATTGAAAAAAGAAACCTTTACTTTTATCATGTTCCCGCGTCTGCCTAACCACAGAACTCACAACGTGAAAAACAAACAATAGACAGTTTCTAATCACAACAATATGGATTGGTTAAAATAAAAACGACCGAACACAATAAAAATCCGGTTATAACAGCGTAAAAGTTAAATAAAGTATTAAATAAAATGTGTAAACTTACTACATGTATTGGCTCCTTTATGAAAATGCTGAAGAAAAATAAAGTACGCAGATGATTGAGCGAGTATGATTACGGTTAAGGAATATACTGTACTTTTTCATTAAGATGGCGTCGCCGCAACCAAAACACATATGTTCACTGAAAAATGATTCCTTTTGATACCGCGGTCACGGGATTTTATAAAATACCGTTTATCAGTAATAAACATTCTTATCTGTTATCATTTATCACTCATGTGTTCAATGTTTTCAGTTCTATTGTGTTGTGTTGTATTGTTTTTGTTTATTTTAGAGTTTCTACTTTATTTAAACCACTTTATACGGGAAACGGCATTTAAGAAAACAAAGGTTTAACATTTTAGTATTTCCATAGTCACCCACTGTGGTATTTCCGTCTTATTTAAACCAAAATTAAAATGCATTATAATTGTATGTAAGCCTGTTAAGTGCTAACGTACTACCAGGCACCAGTTGCTCCCAAGGCATAATTCTTTTGTTGTTAACAACAGAAAATGTCTTTTTGTACCCTTCACATTTTTTTTTGAAAACACTCAGTTGTTAGTTTTATAAAAAATGTTTTATGGTTATAAAACATTGGTTTATTTTATTTATGATATAGAAGGGGTAAAATAATGACAAAAATATAGCATTCAAAATTTATGATATTTACATCAGAACCAGTCAACTAAATATAAAAAATGGTATTTTTGTGCTAACTAAACTGCTTAAATAATAATAGATCAAACTAACACAATAATTATGAAGGACCGTACAAAAATTAGGTACAATGAACAATTAAAAAACCTTATAAGTACCTTGACTAAATGATAAGCCTTTAAAAAAGTATTATTACATCTTTTATATGATTAAGAACACAATTTTTTATATTTTGTAAAAGAATTTTTTTTTATTTTATATTATTTCATTGCTGTTATCACACGATTACTACATTATCAAGTAAAGAACCTAGTATAGATGGAAAACACCTATAATTGGATAAATTGGATCTGGCACTTAATTTACATATATAAATACAATTTAAAAAAACAACATGAATAAGTTATTACTTATTAAACATTTATTTATCTTTTATAGAATACAAAGTACATTATTAAATAACACGATTTACATCTTGAGAACAAAAAAGGAACTACCGTTATTTTTTTAGTTTTTAACATTTATGAAATTTATATCTAAGAGTTAAAATGAAAAATAAAAATTATTTATGACCTGTAATAACTCATATTCAGTCCTGATTATTAAACATTAAAATAATTTAAGCATTAAAAATTATGATTCCATCTTTTCAGTGCCATCTTTTCCTTTCTTAGGAGCCTCCTTGATGCTGGGTTGATTAGTTTGCACGATTGGAACTGATCTTGCTTCCTTGTTGTTTTCGATCATCTACAGAAGACAAGACAAATTCTTTAATATTGTGCATTTCAAACAAATTTTAAAAACAATTATTTTGATGGTTATAATTTTTACCTTTTTGGGTGCAACAATACTGAGTACACCGTCTGAAGACAAGTTTGATGTTATGGCATTTGGGTCGACGTTATCGGGAACCTTGTAGCGACGAGTAAACTGGCGAGAAATGTAACCGTGTTCATCACTGCGTTCCTCGTGTTTGCCATCTATCACCACATAGTCGTCTACTACCTTGACGGATACTTCTTCTGGCTTGAACTGCTGAACGTCCAAATTTACTTTAAACTCATTATTGTTGTTTGAAACACACGACAGACCGCTTTCTGGTGCAGCAACAAGTCTCCATGGTCTTAGATAAGGTCTCGACAACGAAGGCACAAGATTCTGGTAGAGAGCATTGCGTGGCATAATCATGTCATCATCGAATAGACCCAAACCAAAATGTTGATCGTACACTGTGGGGCGTGAGAGCTCTTCTAACAAGTATGGTAGGAGAGACATCTGGAAAAAATAAATGAAGAATATTTAATTTAATTAGCCTCTTATAATTTAACATTATTTAAAAAATAAATTTATTTTATAAGTTAAGTAAAGCTTATATTGTGTTTAATTTAATTATGACTAAATGAGAGTAATTGTAGGCCTACTTGTCAAACTTATCGAATAATTATTAACTGGTAAATATTTCAATTAAGTTTCAAAATAATACATTTTATACACAAGTAATTTCTGAAAAATTCCCATTCAGTCTACAGCACTAAAAAAGTTTATATATTTGCTTAATATCGATAAAATTTTACAACGGAAATTGCACATTATAGAAATATTAATTATTATACTTATGAAATAGAATATGTAATGTGCTACTATAATAAATTACTTAGATTTAATAACAAATTAACCGGATGTATTACAAATTGTTTATTAGAAATATCTTTTAAAAAATAAATAACAAAAATCAAAATGTAATAATTATGTATTTTGCACATACCTTTGATGTTTTCAAATACTGCTTGCTGATCGTGTACTTGAAAATAAAGTTCTAGTAAAATTAACGTACTCGACGGTTTTACGCACAATCACAAATTTAATAAAGCAAAAGCAATTACAACCTGTAAGTCTTGACACAAAGGTACAGAACTCCAAAATCGCACTGGACACTTCAAACACGTATTGCTCGGAACAAACAACTTGTCCGTTCAAACGAATCGCCGCGCTTTTATTATCCGTAGAATATTCGGGAACACAGTGGTTCTCAAACTGGACTATTCTAGATATTTCTAGAACGTTATCCGTATTATAACAAACATTTCCTATACTATTTACAGTGTAGATAACAGTGACGTACTATATCTAAACTTCCCTATTTATATCATATTATATACTAATTTAAATAAAAATTAATATGGAAATCGTCGGATACATTTAAGATTTATAGATAATTTATTATATTTTATTTTCAAAAGAAATTATAATTTACAATAATATGCACTTCGCATAATGGCTGTTGTCAGCTAATAAAGTATCCAAATTCTGATTCCTGAAATTATAATAACATTTTTTCCTACTTAAAAGAGAATTTTTCTCCATTATAAAGATTATATAATTTAATAATAATATATTATCAATCTGTAATTCTTACAGTTTTTTTTGAAAACAAATTTTTAATATTGAGCTGGCTTTATTGTTTTACTATCTAAAAAAATAAATTTTTGATTATATTAAATAAAATGTATAATTTAAATTCAAGGGCTCCCTATTTCACATTCTACCTAACTAGTAATAAGGTTAAGATTTTTATACAAAATAATTTACAAATTTTTTTTTCAATTGAAGTTTTTAATCATAATATTATGTAAGTAAAAACATTAAAACAAGTTAATAAAATATTCGATAATGTGTTCTATATAAAAAAAATGTCAGTTATTTATTATTAATTGCGACCGGCAACTTAATGGCCCATCAATTTTCAATTTTAATTATTCATTTAAAATTATCTAATTAGTTTATGAAATACCAATTAATCCCAATTTTGTAAATTGTACGTATTTATAGCTTAGTATTTTATTATTTAATTTCCTCTAGTTACTACTCACTGACTAGTAAAATGATAGAAAACGTTTTTTTTATTTAAAATTTGATTTTATGTCAACTAGAGATACTTTTATGGGGGCTCACTATTGGGAATATTTTTTTCGAAACTAAAGCCTCCCGGGTCTGTTTCCCACTAACTATTTAAGTCGACCTAATATTTGTCAAAATCTCCCCCTATGCATACTTTTACTCAGATGGAATTCAATTAAAATAAACTGCATTCACTTAGGTCATCTGTTTAAATATGAGTTTAAAATAGGTACCTACATATCGATTTTAAAAAATTGTACACGTTTGCATATTGTGCTTCTCTAACTACAAAACATTCTATTCTAAATACCAATACACACTACTAAAAACACTACAATACTACTTAATACTTATGAAGTCAACGATAATAAAAACAAAATACGTCACTTACAATATTCGATTTTTTTGTTTTTCCACTTCTGTACAATACAATATAGTTCTACAAGAACACAATATTTCTATCTACATCGCTATGTATTGTAAATCCTATAGATGCGAAGAGATATCATCCTAGCTTAGTTTTCTGCTATCTTTAACTATTACTTAAAATACTATATACTGTCTACTTTACCACATCCCTATTAATTACTTACTATTTACTCAATAAATGTCACGACATATTATTATGATTTGAGTTACCATCGACCGCAAACTATAAGATAAGATTATCCTATAGTTTTACCAGTGCCACCGACCACCGAATGTAGAAACTAAATACAGTAGTGCGAGTTGAACAACAAAAAAGCCGGAAAAAACCCTCAACTCCACGTTGAATTCGTAACCGCAATGAATTCATAACCTCTCTAACAAATATAAATATATTATGTATGCACAAATACCTACATTAAATGTCATCTAAGCAGTTATACATTATAATATAATGTTATAAAAACATACCCAATAACCCAAAGTTAATACAGTGTGTAGTGTGTACACTAATTATAAACGATAATACATTGCTGTTTCAGTAATTCATAATATATCAACACGAAAATAAGCCCGTATTTTCCAAACTAAATTTATAATTCTTGTGGTTTGTATTTAATACCTTATGTAACTATATAGACTTATACATAGTCCATAGACATTGTAATGTATGGACCGCGCGTGGAAACCAATTTATGTTACCAAGATATTATGTGCGAGAGAGAGAGCTAAGTTGGACATGTGTTCTTATCAGTTTGCCCGAACTAGCTGTCTCTTTCCCATACATTTTATATGTAATGTTTAGTTAGTCGTTATATATTATATAGATTCAAGTCGATTAATCCAATTACTATATATTAATGATTATTGATTTACAGTATTCGATTAAGAGGGCAATACTTCCCTATTTAAGATTCGGTATGGGCATTTTCGATTTGTGCCGAACATTGAATCTAAAATGGCCAATTTTATTATTTAACCAGTTTTGACAAAAAGAGACATAAAAAATATTATTTTCCATGTATTTACTTTTGCTACACGACCAATGCCAAAATGTTTACCTTGTTTTTGGGTAATTATTATTTTTTACTTATAGCATGGTAAATGAGCTAAAATGTATAAAATAATGATGATAAAAACATATAAATATAGATTTGAAAGCGAGTCATTAGTTACGAAGCACCTCGTCCTCCTAATAGGATCTTGACAACAGATAATTATTGACTACCTAGAATTATTTTTATTACATTAAAATTTTATTTATTTTATTTATCTGAAGAAAAAATACCATATTTTTTCATATTTTAGTATAATTATTAAAACAAAATTTCGACATCCGGAAATACGATACAATGTAGATTTACTTTTGATTTTTCCTTTTTTCAACCGAACCATTTATTGCGAAACATAATTTATTTAATGGTCACAAATAATACAAGATTATTCTATTGACTTCCCGGTAGATCATTGGCCAAAATAATTAATTGTATATAATATATTTTTTATAAAAATATCCAATATAGAGGATAAATCGCTTCTTGTACCATTGGTCAGCCAGTACAAAAATAACAAATAATTGAACAATTATTGTGGTAAATAATTTTTTTCTCCGTACTCGGCAAAAATAGATTTGTCTTAATTGTGGTAAACAATAAGAATTGTGTATATTAAGTACATGTGAATTCTCCGAGAAACCATCTCGACAAGGCATCGTAGGGCTTACAAGGCCTGTTAAGCTATAATATTACACATTGTGATGATAAATTTTATTTTTGGTGTATTGAATATTGATAAAAAAAATAATTCAACCCGCCAAGGTTAAAAAGAACGAAATTGTTATTAGAAATTATAAATAAATGTATTGTATATTTGTGTCATGCGAACGAATATTCGAGATCATTCTTAACACAACACAACAATATAAAAATTACATTACAGAATACAGAGTACTCGCGAAATTTCTAGAACACCCAACGTTTGGAACCACTACCTGCCCGCCGACCTATTGGTTCCTTCTCGAATATTCTCCCCACTATAAATAAGCGGTACGGCCGCTGGCGAGGCATCAGTTGATTTTGAATTTGTGTCTTGTGAACGCTTAAAGTTTCAACGGTGTTTTGCGATTTGTATTTAATTGTGTACTCTTTTTGAAGTGTAAATTTATCTTCAACGATTGGTTATATTTTGGTGTTTTAACTGACGAGTCGGTTATAAAATACATTTTATTTTCGTTTAATATCAGAAAAAAAAACTAAAAAGGTATGTAATATATTTTATTATATTAGTGTTTAACGTATTATTGTATTAAGTTAAGTGAATAAATTTCGTTTAAATTTTCATTTTGAATACTTTATAATTTACTTATATTTATATAAAAATTAGTTTCAATCGCGAACCAAACAATATTTACCTTAACTTTTTTCAAAAACATTTAACTTTTTGTAAGTCTAAGTTAGAGCTTAGGTAAGTTAAATTTTTATCCGAGTATGTCCTATTTTTATCAAAAGCGTAACAAAGTATTTTTATCAGGAGGGAATTTTTTTACATTAAAGTATAGTTGATTTTTTTTAAGTTAATAGAAGAAAATTACAATTTCAACTTAATGTTGACCATTATCCTAAAAATCTCAAAGAAACTAAATATGTCTCAAATAATTTATTATTTGAATAGCTAAATAATAATAATTTTTTATTGATTTTTCAGATGTCTATCTTGCCTTTCTTGTTAGAAGAGTTGTCACGTCCTACTGTATACGACCAGCATTTTGGATTGGGCCTATTGGACGATGACATGGTTTTGCCACACGCTCCTTCTTATGGAAGAATGTCGCATTGTCCTTTGTATGCTAGAGCGCCTCAAGCACTAAGATCTTACCAAAGACCATGGAGACTTGTTGCTGCACCAGAAAGTGGTCTGTCGTGTGTTTCAAACAACAAGAATGAGTTTAAAGTAAATTTGGACGTTCAGCAGTTCAAGCCAGAAGAAGTATCCGTCAAGGTAGTAGACGACTATGTGGTGATAGATGGAAAACACGAGGAACGCAGTGATGAACACGGTTTCATTTCACGCCAGTTTACTCGTCGCTACAAGGTTCCTGATAACGTCGACCCAAACACCATTACATCTAAATTGTCTTCTGACGGTGTACTCAGTATTGTTGCACCAAAAAAGGTAAAAATAATAACTATCAAAATTATTTTTTTTTTAATTTGTTTGAAATGCTCAATATTAAAGAATTTGTCTTGTCTTCTGCAGATGATTGAAAACAACAAGGAAGCAAGATCAGTTCCGATCGTGCAAACTAATGAACCCAGCATCAAAGTGGCTCAAACGAAAGAAAAGGACAGTGCTGATAAGGGCAACACAGAAAAGATGGAATCTTAATTTAAGTACTTTCTTGAATATTTTTAAGTTTTACAGAGACTGCATTTTATAATTTTTATTTTTTGGTGGTTTATATCAATAAATTAATAAGTTTTTTTTTCCTATTATTATTTATATAAATATTTTTAAATTGTAATTCAAGCGAAAGTTTTTTTTTCTCAACTAGTCAACAATTTTTATAAGGATGTATTTCAAAAATTACAAGTTGATATTACTATATTAGTTATAGAATATACATTTCTATTTTACTCAATACCTGTTGTACAATTATTAATGTAGTGTGTGTAAGATTGGTAACATTTTTTATTGAACACTAACGATTCTTTTTCAGTTATTAAATGCTTGATAGTTTTATTAAATATATAATAAGTAGGCACAAAAACATGTTTGTTCTTCTAGCATTAAACACGAGAAAATAAATGCTTTGAGTGAATGTTTCAAACGATAATTATTTTAAATAATAAACATAAAGCCCAAATTAACAATAAGTACTTGTACTATATTTATAATATTATTAATGCAAAAATATAATAGCTATAAAAATATATAGATAGAATTTTGACAAAAAAAATATCTAAAACTACAGTGCCCAGAGGCACTCTACTGAAACTTTGTTGGTTAAAAATATGTAAGGTTTTGAAACTTTATCAAAATATATCTGTTAGCACTACAGCACTTATAGGTTGCAAAGTTAAATATTTTGATCCGTCTATTTTGTCCCTAAAAAGCAAAATAAAAAATTCTTGTAAATGATACAATTATTATACTTATTTATTATTATTTACTGACGTTTTTTTTCTATATTAAAAACTTGAAAACTAAGTCATTTACCCAGCATTGTATCCGGATTGTTGTGATCCGTCGACAACCAACAATTGTTTTTTCAAAACCGTAATTTGATCAGATAAGTTAATATCCTGTGAACTGGATTTGAAGTTTAATACTAAAACGTAGTTGTGGTCATCATTTAAATATCTGCAAACAACATGTGGGCCAATATAGATTTGAACTCAGAATTATATGAATAGGATATTAAACCACACATTTTATTGAAATATATTTTTAAAAAACGTTTTGGCAATCGTTACTGTAACGTTGTTATTTGCCTTTCCCACTGGAAATAAACTCATATTGTGTACTATTAACTTAATAGTTGGTCCTATGTACTTGAAATTAACCTTAGCACTTTGAGCACTTTTCATACATTTTCACGGTAACATTAATTTAGTCTATTTGCCCCTGCTATTAATGGTTAAGTGTGTTCACCTGCGAATCACCAGCATAGTGTTTGTAAAATTGTACACCCCGAGTTCTCCGTCGACAAGTGTTTTGGATTTACGCAGCGACAAGACCGTTTTGAAAAAGTTCAAATGACTTTTCTGGTCGTCGCTTTCGGTCTTGACGTTAATGGTTTTGTAATCGTCACACACCGGAGACCACGGATTCGTGTCGGAAAAACCTAAAATGGCAAGATAATAAAATCAAATAAAGTGATAAAATCACTCGGGTAAACGCATCGACGCGAAACAGTAAACGACAAAAACTATAGAATGTAAACAAAAATAGTTTTTAAGACGATAAAAGCGTGAACGATCTTGTCTTGGGATACTTATAACTAGTGTTTTCCAAAATACCTACCTAAATTTGATTTTTAATGAGAGATTTGTTGAAATAAAAACAAATGTAGCACTAATTTCAAGTTTTAAGATTTTTTGAAGGTTGTAGAATCCCAAGCCCCCCCCTGATCACCGACAATGATCTTGTTTTCTTATTTAATGAGTCGATAAATTATGTGCGACTGTCGGGAAATTGAGAATTTTTCCTTTACCGGCATTTGCACTGTCGTCCCATTGCATTGGCGATCTCATGTTGCCGTCCGTCTGATCCGGCTGGTTTCCCATACCGATTTCTCCGCCATAGTACATAATTGCCGGACCCGGAAGAAACAATTGAAATGCATTCAGCATGTCCACATACTTAGACCCGAACCGGCTAGAAAGTCTCGGATTATCATGGTTTTGTAACTGTTTCAAAACATGAGAAATTTCCATTAGTCGGGTTTGGCCATATTATCTGTTTTTCAAAATCCCTCTTCACTGACTTCCGCTTCTACCCGGTTCAACTATTTAATTTTTCTCCTAAACCGTCTTAATCTATTCTCTCTCATTTTGCCTGCCATTGGACACGCACAAGGGTTTTTTTGTGGGGGAGAGATTGTTTTTTTTTTAACGAATCAATATTTAATAAGTGACTGTAGTATTGACTTTACCACGCTGTTAAACGATCCTTTCGGCATAGTTGCAAACCAATTTTCTAACAACTTGTAGAATTTTGTCGCCAATTTGTTTTTAGATTGCTCCATCAGCTGAAAATATGTCGGTATTTCAGCTCCACTCTTGTAGTATTCACTCAACACCGTATTCGGACTATACGACTCGGTCATTATTGCTCTGGAAAATATTATCAAAACAGTATCTTGTTTAACAGATACGAGTAGAATTATAACCGAATTATTTCTTCTCTAAGTACACGGGTGAAAAACTTACCCAAGTAGCAAAGAAAAATGTTCACAGTATTATATAAAACATTTAAAAGAAGTTATTAAATGATTTTTGTTGTAATAACATTACACTATTTACATATTATCATCCAATCAAGTTTTAATAATTTTTTTGGAATAACGTTTTCATGGCCGGTTTTTAATTGCGAATAAAATGTACATAAAACGTTTTAATAAGTTTGTAACGTTAATTAAAAAATAATAATAATTAAAATAAAAAAATAACGTTGTAAAAAAAAAAAGTTGTTTTTAAATATTTATTATATAGATATAAAAATATGTTAAATAAAACATAATTTGAAAAAAAAAATTTTAATAATAAACATTTCTTATATTATTATTTATTAAAAAAACCTCAATATAAATTATAATTAACTAATTTAATTTCTTTAATTCTTATTTTATATTGCCTTATAAACATAAGTGACTTGAACTTAAATTTTGAAAAAAAAAATATTTACACATTGTACAACTTCTAAAATAAAAACAAAACAAAAATGTTCAATGCATTACAAATGAAACACCTATATTTTTTAAATTTCTCTTTGCTCCTGGGTAGGGTCGTATAGGGTAGGCCTCAAGATGAGCTTTTTCCTTTCAGAGTTGGAAAAAATGTAATTAAAAACGAATAACAACTAAAACAAAACGAACAAAGTATTAATCGAAATAAACAGATACCTAATAGATTTATTAAAACAAAATTATCATTGAAGAATTAAAATATCATAAAATAATTAGGTACCTAGATGGAAACGGTAAAGTTTTAAAATTATAAATAAAAATGTCCAACTCTGTTCTCGACAAAAAGTTTCTGTACCTATAGGCTATAGTAGGTAATTTTCTCATCGAAATATGTTAAAAGACACACACACAAAATATGTAATTAACCAATGTATAATAATTGCGGCGGCGGCGTACCTCTTGTTACTTCCGTTTCTGGCCGCGAACCCGTCCAGTAGTTTCCGCCATTCCTTAATCAAATCGTACACTTCCGGTTGGTCGACGGTCAGAGTGTGATTCAGATTTCCATAAACCAACGAGCCATTAGGATCAATGAGCGGCTCGTCGTCGGTAGTATACTTCTCGTACACGTGTTTCAAAGCGTCAACTCGGATACCGTCGACTCCTAAGTTCAGCCAAAAATTCAAAACGTCTCCCATCTGATCGTGCACAGCTTTTTCGCGGTAATTCAAATCCGGCAAATTCGGAGCGAACTGCACGAAGTAATACTGTTGACGGTGTTTGTTCCATATCCAAGCACTCTTGTCGTCGCCGTTCGGATAAATTCTCAACTGTAAAAAAGTGTATACTTACCGAATGCTTATGCATCGTGGACCGATTGACAGTAATATTTTAGCAATATCGAAGAAAAATAAACCTAATCACACCCGTACAAATACAAATACGCCTTAACCTTCTTATTGATCGTTTTTAACAATCAAATAGCCTAAAATATAGCATGTACCGATTACCAATAGAGCCAATTTTACACTATATTCAAATATTTATAGAACAGTTAATACAATTTCGGCTATGTAAGTGTAATGTTAGCAAAAAAAAGAAAACACGGATACACCCGAAAATTATCCATATCAAATATTTTCTATCTGAAGATTTGAGAGATGTGTACTGAGAAAGCGAGAGGCTGTATTTTTAATACACATGTTAACGTTACTATATGTTTACTATATGGTTTTACCCAATTGTTTGGAACAATCGGGTCCGATCCCTTATTTATAACGTCTTCGTGGTTTTTAGCGTTCCTCCATACGTAATAATTCGTATAAGGGTCGATTTTTCTAACCGACTTTGTGAACCAATCGTGTTTTCTGCTCGTGTGGTTGGGCACAAAATCTATGAAGACCTTTATGCCTGTAAACAATTTTAGGTCTTAGAAAATATGCCGCCTCTACCATCCGGTTATCTACCTTTTCCGTGAGTGGCGTGGATCAAATTTTTAAAATCGTCCATCGTACCAAAACGTGGCAGTATAGCCTTATAATCTGTGATGTCATAACCAGAAGATTCCATGGGCGATTGGAAAAACGGCGTTAGCCAAATGGCAGTCACTCCCAGGCCGGCTAAATAATCTAGTTTTTGGGTCACACCTAAACAAACGGTAGGTAACGGTTAGTATGGGTTTTCAGTTAAAATGTATTGTTAAAACGCGCGGTTACCTTTCAAGTCGCCGTGTCCATCACTGTCCGTATCGAAAAACGACATGGTAAATATTTCATAAATCACAGAATTTGCCCACCAATCGTTTTTATCCGCCTTCGGGGGCGAGTAAGAAAAATAGCAAGACACCTTGCATATTCCGCAACAACATAACAGTATAATCAGCAAAGAATTCAAGTGTAGCAAAACCATTTTGCTAAAAGTACAAAAGGAACATACGATCAAACTTTCGCCATTGGAAAAAAAAACTGTAATATATAAGGCTGAGGCCGTACAGCTCGGAAAAATACATTTATTAGGAAAAAATATTATGACCAGTGTTAAACAGTATTATGGAATATTCTACAATAGTTTTAGATACCCTAACTTATAAGTTATGTAACTAATAAGCAATAAATTATATTATCATATTATGTAACATTATTGGAAAACCGTGACTTTTTTTTGTTAATTAAATGGAAATCCCCTCCCCCACATTTTATTCTACAACACAATTTTTTTTTTTAAATAAATTCTTGTGGTTATTGGTATGGAGTCATTATCTAGTTATCGCACGCATTCGGATATATATTTTAACACACAACTAATACAGAACATCTGTACCAGATGGCCAATGGTAAACAATTCTAGATAGTTTGGAGTACTATTGATTTAATTTTATGCATATTATACAAAAAAATGATAATACATTTCGTTAGAATTAGCTATATAAGATAAAAATCATGAATGCACCTAAATTGCATACCCGTAACGCCGTGTTACTAAATTACTTAAACTTGAACTTGACCGAATTAAACATCGTCTAAATATTTTATCCAAAGTTTAAACAACAGTGGTAAATTTTAAAAAGGCGACCCTCCTCTGTAGATTTAGATTTTTAAAATGTTTAATTAATGAAAAAAAAAAATTTAATAAATGTTTTATCTATATTTAGTTTTATAATTGATTTGTATAACAGTTAAATAAATGAACGAGGTACATGAGTAGTTTATTTATGTTATAATATTTAAACTTTATGAAGCTACATTTTTTACCTATTCGTTTAATTTTTAAATTATAATAACGATATTTATTTTATTTTAATTCATTATGCATTTTTTTGGTTAAAAAAATGCTGTATTATTGTTGGTTAGGTTATTAAATATAGCTACTCCGTTTTATTATTTGTGTTGGCTAAAAATAATTATTATGTACCAGTACCTGCAGTAATAAAAATATTTGTTCGTCACGCATAATTAATAAGTTGCCAATAATAACAAATATATATTATTTTAATACAACTACAGAATCGATTTTGATGAAATAAAAAGTAAAATTATCTGTGAATTCCGGAGAGAGTTCTTAGCTAGGTCTAATTATCGCGGCATTCAGTATAGTTAAAATTCAAATATATAAAAACTAGATCTTTGAATCTAAAGAACCACTTAAAATGACTACAATGCGTTTCGGGCTTTTATGACTTCTGGCCCTAACTCTTAACTTGTTGCGCTTTTTTTGACCGATTACTATCAAATTTTATCTAGACCATTCAACCAATTTTGTTCAAATAAAAACTTAAATGATCACTAAAACTTAAGTATATATCTTAGCAGAATATTTTTGTCATTAATATGTCCAAGTTCTTTTCTTATAAAACTGAGGAAATCACTCATAGTCAAACTTAAAGTGAGAATGTTTCTCAAACTGTGTATGTCGCTAACAACCATATTTGTGTAACTGTATTAAAATGTTATTATTAATATTATAATGGTATGGGCATTTCGTAACAGGCATTTTTGTACACTTTCGATCAAATAAACGATGGATTTTCGATTAACAATCCGTGCTGCTGTATAGATTGACCGGATAGACCGTGCATTTTGTTGTTTACTCGCTATATAAAACTACTACGCATTGTTTGTACACTCCCAATTCAATGTTAATGGGCAAAGGGATCTTCGACTAAATAACTAATTAATTTGACCGTGTTTCAGAGTCGTTTCAATTGAACCGACCACTTTATCAACACAACCGAATACTATATCAACGCGCTGTCGCATTCATCGAGTTAGACCTGACTTGTTTACCGTTAGGCATGGTTAGTTACTGTGCATACAGTTGGACTACACGTTACCCGCCCTTATCGATTTTCCAAAACGGGGCCAACCCAGCGCTTTGGTGTTTACAGTTTACCCCGTGCTCAGTTCCGGCGGTCCATCTGTCGCCATCGGTATCGCGTTCTCCAAGTTGGACAGCTGTTAATAATTATTATTTCACTCCTACATTTTCGACAGATTTGGCTCAACAGTTATGCGTTTTGAACACGCGACGTACCCGGGCGATGCACCTTTAGAAGATATTTGAAAGTCATGTGTTTAACCACTAAACATACACATTTACGGTAAGTATCCAGAACAAATTTAAATCCATTAGTGAAAAAAAATCGAAAATGGTTAATTAATTTTTTTTTTAAATAAATATCTCAACACACATAATATCATATATTATTACAAGCGAAATTTTCTTAAAAGTCACTACTAATTACCACTAGTAACCAAGGTGAGTAAGTTAAGTAGTACTTCATATTTTTACTTTGTTTTATTGTTTCATCTTAAATATGTAAAGTGATTTGCGAGCGTTTTAAATTCATTTTTTTTTTTGTGTGCAATATCATACAATATGATGCAATATGATAACATTTGTTTTGTAACTATATTTTTATTATTTTAAAAATGCGAAAAGAAAAGGCCAAATACTTTATTTTATAATATGTTTGTCGGATAAACAACAACAATATATAACAGGGTCAGGCTAATATGTTTAATAATAGACTCATAAATTTATGTTTAATGTCGGCCAGTTAAGCTTACAACGCATAAAATATTATCTTAATAATAACAGTAAAAATTAAAATCCTGTCTGATAACGAGAAATCACACACTTTATGTGTAAACAAGTACTACCTACTTGCTAATTTAAGAAAAGATTTTTTTTTTATTACTCAAGTCCTCATTATTAATGATTTTAATTTAATAGAATATTAATGTTCCTCGTAAAAGTAAAAAATAAATTATATTATGGTAATCAGTAAAATTATTTTCATTCGATTAATTTATAAGTATAAATTTATATATTTTAATTATTTTCTTGAATACCAGAAGAATGTTAATCAAGAGTTGTTAAGACCTTAAATACTTACAACATTCGTATCATAAAAACTTCAGCATAAATCATAATTCTATCGTCAAAAATCGTATATGTTCTAATTAAATCTTGATAAATATTATGTATTTCACTGATTTTATTACAGTTAAGGTTATTGAATTCGAGAAAGCACATAGTGAGTCCGTTAACCTCTGGTCTATTGTCGTATATTCAATAGACAGAATATTAGCTAAAAGGTTTTACCAAAAGCTTGTATAAGTAAATAATGTGGCTACGCCAAGAATTATAGGTCGATTTGGAGTAATGACAGCAGCTATTTATTAGGCACGAGAAAGGGTAATAGTCTACGTCGCCTTCATTTAATAATAGAAAATAATATAATACACACATTTTACATTAGATTTTTATTTTATTAATACCGAAGTATACAAAGTCAAATTCTCGAGAATGTGAAACGCATTATTTACACATTGTGTATGTCTGATAACTGAAAAAGAAAACAAATGTATTTATTTAAACTCGAATAATAATCATTAAGCCACTCGAATTTGATTTTTAGACAATCCCTTAAACCGATAATAATTTGAAATGTATGGGACATTTTTATAAACTGAAATTTAATCCCTTGCAAAATGAATGAAAACGAGTAGTATGTATACGACTTGTGCAATATTATATAATACATTTGTAACATTATGGATTTCTTCGTAGTTAAATATTATGTAATATGGCATGTTAATTTTAATAAATTGTCCATTAATTAATGTCAAAAAGATAGTTATAAGACAAAAACAAAATCTTAAATTTGTAAAATTTACTGAGTCTATTTGGTAAAACACCCAACACTGCTCGCTCAAACTATAGTAAAAAACAACTATTTAAATTCTAAAATAAAAATGTCAATATCCATATAACAACTACGATCATAAAAAATCGATTCCTTTCAAAAACAAGCGTTGTGATTAATCTCAGTCCAGTATAAAATTGCAACGACAAATAAATGTACACATTAACCTGTTGATATTTGATATATTATTAAATTTTGAAATATTCACTTATTAACGAGGGAAGTACAGTTTTTTTTTGGCATCATTATGACTAAATGCATCAAGAAGTTAAAATTAGCTAACGCTACACTACGTCAGGTTGCAATTCATTAAAGGTTAAATAAATGAATAGACATTTAGTGGTTTCTTAAATATAAAAAAGGCTCTTGATAGACTATCTAAATTATGCATCGAACCATCGTAGTGGATACTTGCGTGTCGTTATAGTTCTCTAATGAAGTATCGATACGATATAAGTAAATGATAATATTTTTAACGTTAATTTATGGTACAAATGTCATTTACCTTTGCCGTTTTTGTCAACAAACCGTTCATACCGTGTTTTGTCTCGTTACAGGTTAAAAACTGGCGTGTTGGAGACGAGTAATTCGATATATTATTATGCGTGTACAGCGGGAAGTGCATGTCCGGACGGGAAGTCCGGACCGCTATGGCCAGCGACCATAGTGCCGGCGCGGCGGTGCGGTTGACTGTGATAAAAAAAAAAATACAATTATAATTACAGCGGAAACAACGAGCGATGGGCAATCTGCAAAGCTCTTCGCCGTCGTCCCGTGGTGGCCCGAAGAGTCGGAACAAAAGGCAGTCGACCGGGTCCGGGACCACTCGGGATTGGCTGATGGGGGGTGCAAGGGCGCAACGGAAACCAGTCGTGCCGGCGGCGGCGGAGGCGGTGGGTCACGTGACCGTGACCAGTCGTGACCTCCGCCGGCAGGAGCAGCAGCAGCGGCGGCACACTCCCCCGGCCCGCGACCACGGCGATACCGATCACCACCATCATGCAGATGAGCAGCAGCGGCACCAACAACAACAGCCGCAGCCGCAGCAACAACAACAACAACAGCAGCAGCAGCAGCACCACCGCCGCCGCAACGACGAGTCCAGTTCGGAGGACTCAGTGTTTGCCGATCCGCTGACTAGTCCGCAGAGCGTGTACTCGGACGCCAGAGACGAACCGGACGACGAGTGCGCGATGGTGATCAACGGCGATACGCTCGCCGGTGGTGCACGGGCGCCCACTCAAGCTTTTACTATCGTCAAGCATCGCAAAGTCGAACTCAACCCGACGAAAATTCAATCGGCCGCCAATGGTAACAATTGTTTAATTATTATGATTATTACATATTAATTAACGGCACATCCCAGAACGACTTTTGCACTGTTAACTCCATTGTCAATGTTCAACCAATTTAATCGAGATTTATTTATTTTTTCTAAACTACTACTAAAATAATGCTTAAAAAATATGTGATAGTTTTTTTAAATACGGACAAATAGTCTAATTATTGAAGTGTCAAGAACCAAAAGGGTAAAAGTGACCGTTTTTTTTTCAAAAACAAGCTTTTAATCATACAATTTATTTTGTCAACGAAACCTTTGTTCGTTTGTTCTATAAATTTTCACAATTTTTTAAGAGATATTGAAAAAACTTACGAACTTCATCCATATAAATACAGTAAAAAAATTTTTATTTTTTTTTGCTCTCCTGTAAAATTGTGTTATAGTTACTTTACCCTGTTGGTTCTCACAACTTCAATTATAATTAATTTTAATTATTAGCAGTGCAACGATCATTCTAGGACTTACTTTATAATATATACATTTGAAACACATTAAACATATCGAGAGTCAACTAATTAACTTGTAATCAAACTATAGGTTTGATGGAACAACGGTAATTAAAAAAAAATACTTTTAACTTAGAAAAAATAATTGTTGAAAAATGTGCTTCACTCAATAAAACATATTTTTAAAAGCATTATTGTCGTTGTCCTATCTTACTTCTAGTCTCTCGTCACACCCAAATTTCCCATACTGTACATTTTAATTTTAGTTTCTATTTGGATTACTTCTCATAATTGAGTCAGCCAGCTGCAATAATAAGTGACTTAAAAGTTAAAAGCAAAGGGGTATAGTTTTTTACCTTTACTTATTAAATAATAGACTAGTATGAAAACTAAATTAATATTCAGTAATAATTACAACAACAAAAGAAAAATTCAACACTTTTAAGTACCAATATTAACTAGGAAAGATCTTACTGACAACAATTTTTAAATTAAAATAATAATTAAAACCTGATAATTACAAGACCGGCTTCAGGATCTAAAACTACTTGTCTTTAAGAAACGTTGTGAACATATTTACAGAGAATCTGGATCATACAGTTATAATTTTACTTAGTTATTTATAAATTATAACCAGATAATTTGCTAGAACGATTATTTTAAAATAACAATTACAACTTAAAAAAAAATAATTAAGATATTTATTTATTAAAAATAAAAAAATTGGCATTAGGCGATCACGTATGCAAATACATAAACAGCCCACAATACATAACGCCTTCATCTTAAACAATCTGGCGCAATATTATTTCAATAACAAGTTTAAACTGGATTTACGCGCGATGAATGTTTTATTTATTACATAATAACATCATAAGTATTTATGTAAAACAAATTATTTTACATTAGTTAAATAATGTTTTTCTTTTTTTTTATTATTATGATCTAACAAAACTGTTACAAAACGTCAACTCGTCAATCAACATAAAATCAAACTATGTAATACTTATAAACAATACAAAATATTATGTATATCAACCAAAATAATAGTGTTTATCGGGCGATTTGTATTTTTGTCCAAACCATGAATGGCGACGGCATAGGTACGTCATAATATCGAAAAATTATTACCATCATCATAGGCTAATAAATGTTAATAGTCATTAATCACACACGATAATTAAACGATCAAACAAAAACGACATTGTGAACGATTCGAACAGTGTAAATAATTTACATTTTCTGGGGGGGGGGGGGGAAGTGCAACGGCGATGGTAAAATGAACAGTTGCAATAAGCAATCCGAGATTATTAAAAATAATAACAACACCGACAAACAATAACAATGGAAGTGTTAAGTACCGGATCATAGGCTACTTAGTACCCGTATTAATATTGCAATATTATCATTGTATCAATTCAAATATAAGTGTAAAACAAACACTCCAAACGCAGATAAACAGGATTATTATTATTATTATTATTATTGACAAATTATTCTGAGCATCTCCACGTTTTCAGCCAACTTTAATTCCGTCGAATCAAATAGGAACAAATTAATATGTTTATAATATTCGAGTACGACCAGTTCTGAAACTTCCTATGTTTGTTTATTTTAGACTAGGCATTAACTGTTATATTATATAACTGAACACATGTAGGTGTAGTATGTACCTGTACATTATATAAGTTTATTTTCCAAATACACGAGTATAGGATTTCAATAAACGCAGCATATGTATATTATAGCCTAAAGGTATTCCGTAGGAATCGAATTATTCATGCAATTATCATTAAGTCGACATTAGATGGTTTTCAGAACGGTAATATGATTTACACGTGAATAATATAATATAATTATATATATATATATATTGTTTTAATTTAATATTATTACCGGCTTCAATGACATATTATTATAGAGACACGCATCGCATATAAATTACATTTGTCCGTGTACAACACATTTGAATATTAAAAGCTTACGTTCACTCCGATATTATGCAAATTTCATTGACATTAAAACAATTTTTTAAAAAACTGTTCCCATTTTTCGGTCACAGGATATACAATATATATTATGATAATTTTGTATCCGTCCATCTATAATTTCATGTTTTACTCAGTGACCTCGAGAGTGATTGAAGAACAAAAAAAAAAACCTTAAAAACTTAGACACATTTGAAAATGTCTTCTCTAGTGAGGCCCAAACAACTATGTTGGTCAATTATGGCCACACAAAAATACAATTATATAATTTATACGGTATCGGCCGTTTTATAGTTTTCTCTCTCTATATATTATATGAAATCCTACCTACTATCACAGTGCTGTATAAAAAAAAAAATTAACTAGTAGGTATCATTTTCATAAAAAAAAAAAAAAAATGACTGAATCCGGTCGTGTACAACTACATATTATTATTGAAAGATGTCGGATGTAACAGCACGTACGTGTGACGCTAACGTGATGACCGCGCGTACCTGCCTGTTTAATAACAATAATTACTATACCTACCTAAAGGAACCGAATTACCGGTATATTATACTATGTGTATGCTTCCACCTCTAATGATGTTTTTGCACTCTAAACCGTACCTAATAATTTCCCTGTGTAACGCACAACATGGTAAAATGTACATACTGTAAAACTAATCCATAATTCCATAGCCGCAGTAAGATACTTTTTTTTTATTATTATAATGGTGCACCGTCTTCGTACAAAATACAGTCCACAGTAACACTGCTTTACAAAAAAAAAAAAAAAACAAAAAATTTCACTTCACTGTACAGTTATCAAAAACCTAATTCGAAATAAAGATCTCATGGTAAATGTTAGGATACAATTAAGATTAGGATCCATGTGGGAACTAAGATCAGAACGCATAAAATACTCTTTGCCCAAACTAATCGAAAATATTTTGTTAATTAAATGTAAAAAAAAAAAATGGTTAATTTGTTATCAATATTTTAGACGATTAAAAAGTTGAATATAATGTTTGCCTACAAACTTCCTCGGTGCGGCGGCAGGTACTTTTATTTATTTGGTTAGGTCATCATTTAAAGAATTTAAATTAAAGTTGTATTGCTTATAAACACATCAATTAAAAATCACTACCATTATATTTACTAGCTTCAATACCGAAGCTAAAAAAAATTGTAAAGTTATTTTAGAGTTGACAACAGGTTGTTTATTTATTTTTATTTTGCATATGACTATCGGCTGATTTGAGTTTACATAAAGGTAATAGAATTAATACTAATGATAAAGATAATAATAATAAAGCATTAAATAATAATAATAACAATAAAGAAATACATAAATAAATAAATAACATAAGTAAAACATGTACAACAGTAAAACAGGTTGTTTGATTAGCTAACAAATAATATTAGCAAACTTTATAAGTTCTTCGTATGTCCAAGGAATGCTTAAAATCGAAAGAAAAATTATTATTATTTTCGCTCTCACTTCTTTAAAAAAATTTCGTATTTTCGCTTTCTAGGTCAAAATTAGAGGAGACAAATTTATTTTTTTCAACGACAAAACAATTTATTTATCTTTAACTAAACCCACCTTGAATTTTATAAAATTTGCCAAAAATAATAATAATAAATAAAAAATATAATGTAGCTAAAATTGATTACAATGATTTGCAACTAGAAACTAAAATATATTGTTTGTATAGGGTTTTTTTTCACTAATCGAAATTTGGTGTTTAACATTTTGTATACAAGTCAATTTTTTTTGTAAAATGCAGGTTTAATTTATACTTAAACAAAATGTGTGAAATTGGTTTTAAATAAATATTTGAAAACATTTAAAACGCAAACTGGCCATTTTTTATGGAAAATTAATAATTTTACATTACTACCAACTTAAGGCTTTATTTTATACCACGGTTTTAAAATATGATTATTTATACTAGTTATTTTTTTTTGCTGGAGATAATAAAGGTAATAAATTGCTTTGCTAATTTTTAGTCTAGCCGTCGACAAACAGTAATAATTATAATACCGTAATTGGTTGTCCTAAAGATAACAGTTTCAATAAAATTATAATTGTACAAGACTTATAATTATATATTTACTCAAATGAACCAATTAAGAGTGTTGTTTTTCAGCCAATCGATAACATTAACATATCGAAAACACGTTAATCAATGGGCTGTTTAGTTGTAATCAGTAATTATAATATTATTCTCAATTATTTTATTATTGTTGTTAATTACCTCAAGTACTCTATATTTGAACGAACCACTTTCGACGAATAAGCAAGTACCGTTTTGCGCGTCACTCGATCTAGATTTTTTTAAATTAATTTTGTTCACACATAAATTTAAAAAAAATACCTCGTTCGACGCAAACCAGATTAAAGAATATCCATTATTCCAGTAGCTTGATGCGTTTCGCTTTGTTTAAAACCTTAATATGCGCCAACATTCGCGCGTTAATTATTAACAAAACCAACGCATGTAACGGTGCCGACCGACAAACTAGAAAGGGTATATATTATAATATGTGTATGTAAAAGTAAGAATAAAATGTAAGAAAAAAAAAATCTTATGAGAAAATAACATGCCTTCTTGCGCCACATAAAAAAAACCTATGTGTGCGTACCGTGTGCGCTTGAGGACAAACGCGGTTCAGAATAATCACTATATTATATATAATTACCGTACACAACGAGATAAGCGGCGACCCCTAGCTCGGAGTAGAGATATTTTCATCTCGATATGATGTATGTATAAAAAAAATCGATATTTCACTATAATATCGGTGTCCGGGGCCTGATACTTCTACACAACCCGGTCAAACAACGACACTAATTATTGTTATTAACAGTACCTACTTGCATTTCGGTCGGCCGACTGTTTTAAAAAATATATATATTTTTCTTTCTTTTTTTTTTTTGGTAACTGACAAGCGGCCGCTATTGTTGTCTTTTGGAGATTTACGGAAACCGATTAATATCATATTGTATGGTATACATATATATATATATATTTTTTTTAAACTTATTAAACATTGCCATGTACCGTATATTTTTCGTTTCTCGATCGGTCCGGGGCATATCTTTCTCATTCGGCTCGAAAAACAAATCTCATTACTCTTACGGATATCATCACGTACGATCTACCGGAAAGCAAACGGCCAAAACATGACTGTTAGCGTACCTAACTGCACATTAAAAAAAAAGAAGAAAAAAAGACATACATCTACCGTAATAATAATATGTTCATTAAGCTCAAATTGCCCCCCCCCCCACCACTCTCTCATGCTCGGGTTTTCCCCTCGACGACGTCCCCATAATACGACCGTATCCTCTTAAATAATTATCGGCGGCAGAAACTTATTACAAGATTAGGGTAATTCATTTTTACCCATTACCGAGTGATTTAAGTATAAAAAAAAAATACATTTTCAGATTATAATCGACTTAAGAGACGGACGCGCTATCGTTTCGCTAATCTGTGCAATTGTCGTCTGTTTACCGGTAATTTGATGTTTGTTTAAGCATAATTTTGACTTTTGAAATTGAAAAAAACATCTTCTCAGTAATCTACGCTCGAAAGTATAATAATTATTTTTCATGGGAATGTCGTGGCGGAGATATCAAACAAGACCTTAATTTTAAAAGGTTTAACATTCGGGAAAGCTAAATAAATCTCACTTGAGCCTTAAAATGTTGAAATAATAAGATCATTTCTTATTCATTTCACAAAAAGCAAAACAAAATTATAATATTCCTAAAATATGAAAAGGTTGTAAACCTATTTTCTTGATAATAACTGTAATATATCGAATAAATATTAAATTTTTTTTTTTTTGATAATAATTGTATAAATAATTAATAGTAATTAAAATTAAACTACTTACTAACTATGATAATTTTAAACGGACCAAATAAACACTTCATAAACAAGTATAACATGCTTACTAAGTAACTAAAGTCTGGACAATTATTAGAAATTATTTGCATGACTTCATGAAATAGATAATGATGTATCAGCAATGAGAATTAGTGTTTTTTTATATTCAAATTATACGGTTATAGATATTTCTAAAAAGAAAAATTTTATAATAAGCTTCAAGTTTATGTGACAATTGTTTGTACTCTCACATATCACAAATTACCAAATAACTGTATCAATAATTTCAAACTCCCGAATATTCCTCTTCATAATTAAATTGAGTATTGAAATATCCTAATTAGCAAAGACTAGGTATAAACTCGACTTTTTTAAAAATTAAACAAACTATATCTATGAGTGAAAAATCGCTTATCATAACTGCATTTATGCCAAACAACTTAGTTCTTATTGTAACATGAAACCAAATGGTTCAAATAAAAATCGAGAGTAGGTATTTTATTTTACTCATCTGAAACCGATTTGGTGGGCCTCACATAAAAATTCTCTAAAACTGCCATATCGCGCGTACCACCCTAATGTACACAATATTGCGCACTTCGATTGCACCAAACCAATTGTGATTACACATAATTAATATGCGAGTTATTTTCTAATGAAAAAAATCCTCGTCGTTATGTCTGAAACGACTAGGTACGAACCCATTAAAATAGTATTACCTGTCGACGTGTGTTATTAAGACGCTGGACGACGACTTCGACAATCGTGCATACACGACTAAAGTCTGAACGCATTTTTGTTGATATAATATACAATATTATTGTCTGCGAGAACATCGTATACACCTTTGGGCTGTACTATATAGATATAATAACATGCATATTATTATACCTATCGTGTAATGGTATTATCTCGTGTATGCTCTTCCCCGTCTATTTTCGATAACGAGTGTGGTGCTACAACAGCGGTTAGAAGTTTTCACGTACACACAAACACACACTGTCCAGTCGTCGGCGCGCGCCTTGCATTCGACTGCTGATAAAGCTCATCTATAATTCTTTATTTTTTTTAAACATGTGCGTTGCTCGCACATGGGAATTATGTATTAGTACCGATTGGACCGTTAGAGGTAAATAATCCGCAAAAATCCGTGTGGCGCCAATAAAGAAATAACGAAAAAATTTTCGAAATCAACCATACTTCAAGTGCCGGCGTTTTAATAGTAATTATAATAATAATACCGATATTTATTATTCACATGCCGTCGCGTGTGTCGAGCGAAAAAAAAAATAGCAAATCGAATCGAGAGAAAATATTTAATTATTAGGACGGAATGGAGGTGAAGATTTCGGTACGACCGTCGGCGAAACAGCTTCACTAGGTAACAATTATTTCTACTTAAGTATAACACATTGGAAAAACAATACAATCACGACCGTTGGCCGGCCCGAACAAGGGCAAACGGTATACGAATTATTCTAGTCCAATAAACGCGTTCTGAGTTTATCGTTTGCCAAAAATCTTCAAAAAAACACTATTGGTGGTATAATTAAACCAAACCCAAAGAGTCGCTGTAAGAGCCATTCGACAAGTTAAGTGTTAATTTGATCTTGCTCGTTCAACTAAAATGGGTCGACCAAATCCGTTCTCGGGCAATATAATATTATAAACTTATTTTTATTTTTCCAAAAAAATGTTTTATTTACTTTGCTAACCAGTTAGAGTTTTACAATGGGCTATTGCCGGTGCACGGGTAACGTACAATATTATAATAATAGGCGCGTTTATTCTGCGATCAAAAGTCCAATTGGAGTATGTAAATAATATTATGTTAATGAAGTATTGTTTAATAAATCATTAGGTTAGGTGTATTATGTATAGATATACGGTTGTTCTCGGTAATGTTTAAATATAAAATGCAAAATTGTATAGCCGTTGTCAGTTGGTACACAAAGCAAATCCGATAAACATCTTTATAGTAGGTTTACGTCTAAAAATTAACTCGCTTACGTCTACAAGTTAAATATTAAATTATGCATAATAATTCGCATTATTTTTAACATCGCCATTTGTTGATATTTTTTGTTATTATTTATAGTGGACGGATTTAAATGCAAAATTGTTTTTTCCTTTTGCTCAGTAATGACAATAGTTCGTTTCAAGTCAAACTTGGAAGTTATTGAAATTAAAAAATTATTATTATTTAAAATAAAAGCGTATATAAAAAAAAAAACTCAAAAGTAAAAAATACATTTTTTTTATTTAAACATATTTTATCTAAATTATAATTTCAAACAAATTTTTATTTAAACGAATTTAAAGAACTACAAATTTGTTTTGCGAAATTCATTTTCATATTGAATCCTAACATTACAATCAAAGTTTTGCTATTAAAAATTTAAATCTATGGAACTGCATAGAAACTAGAACATAATATAATTTTTTTTTCGCTATAACTCTTGTTGCGAAACGAGGAGTCTTATGGAATACATTATCTAGTGTACATAAATTATAAATAATGAACACAATTTCCTTTAGTACGAAAGCGTAATGTTAATTAACCGAGTCTCATCTGAATTTCTCTGTACGCCTCTGTCAGGCAATACAGTAAAACAAAAATATAATTATTTTTATACATAATATAATATGTATCTGCCTATCTGCGAAGACAGTGAAAGCAATAAATCTAGAATTCCAATAGGTCATTGAGTAGATACTGCAGCGGTCAACGGAATAACACCGCCGGGGTTGTATGTAATTAATAAAACTAATGACACGTGTATATATATATATATTATGTACACATTATGTGTAAATCCGAGACGGCTACAATTATTTTTACCCGGAGAGTAAAATTAGACCAGACGTTGTATTAATTTAAAATCTTTCGGCTCGGGAGTGAAACGTTTGTAAATAAATAAAAAGTAACAATAAAAATACAAATCCATTTTCCCTAATAGAAATTACTTTTCGATATTTTATATTATTCTAGTTGACCAGCTCGAGTACGATCAGAGACCTTGTGGGAACAGAAAACCGCACGGTTAGCGGTTATTATCCATCGCCCCCCTTTTTAACGCAAAGCATATAATCGTTTTTGGACTTAGGTAGTAATATTACATTTTTTTTTTTTTGCATATATTGTGGTTTACCGAATATTATGTGCGTACCGACGACCGCAACGAAATCGCTTAGAGTTGTCTGCGAAAATTGATATCATATTTTATACATATTATATTATTTACAAAACAAACACAACAGATCAGACAAAAAAAAAATTATATGTATACTATTAATACACTTTTCTCACGTCCCAATGAAACACAAGCCGGTCGAGACAATGAATGGAGAAGACTTAATGTACCTGTAGAGGTACGCGTATAATCGTACATATTGTACATAATGGCGTGTACCTGTAACCTGTATTTTCATCTCCAGAGTCAACTGCGTGGAACGGATACGATTCAGGGATTTTATGGGTATATATTATATTGTTATGCTCGTCGTCGGCATACGAACCGCTCACTATTGACGATTTGAATAAAACGCGTTATCCGAAAAAAAACCTAATTCGATCAATGCGCTCATATATTGTTCAATGGGAAAATTCGATGATTTTCTTACTCGAATGTATTTTTTTTTAATGGGAATCGTCCATTTTTTTCCCACACTAATATAAACCGTACAGAATATTGAGCGTATAACTCGTTGAATTAGCCATTATTTAGCGAACAGCATGAAAATACAATATTTCACAATATTAACACAAAGAACGTCCTAAGGTTATTATGTAACGTCGCACACGCAACCGTCGTCGAAATCTAACCGGTCGGTGTGGATAAGCAAATGGGATTCGCACGGTTTGATCACTATTTTTTTGTGTTTTACAACAATTTTTTTCAAATCACCAAATTTACTATTTTCGTAACAAAGTTAAACGGCCAGAACGGACTACACTCACAGCTGAATGCTAATCGCTTTGATCTAGTCGCCTTTAAATAATAATTGTGTTATTATTCAACTGTTAATATCTATTAAATAAACCACTTATTGTAGCCCGTAAGCAGTAACTTGATTTCAGATAAACCGTACTCGAGTTTCCGAGCACTAAGAACTAAGACGTCAGTATAGTGGTTTTACAAAGTTATCGTTTTGTTAGTCAAAGGCAAATGCTAGTTGAATAAGGTGTACACCGTACACGTTGGCTTACACATAATATGAATTTACGCATCAATGGTCGAGTGTCAGTGTGTCAACGCGATAATCTAAATGTATTTCTAATAAATTGATAATGGTTATCATGTATGATTAGTTTCGTATAGTTATGTATGATTACATCATCATCAATTATTGTATAACTATTCGAAAACTTTAGAGATATTATTTTGCTCTGCGAATTTATCCAAGATATTTCAGTGATTTTTATAACACCAAAAATTCCACAGAAAATCAACAGATTCGTTTTGATAATTGATTGTGCTATTGTGCTATAACAGTAAATACTTATAATCATATTTTTGAAGTGCTTTAGCAATATTTGCTCTACAAATATGCAGTACCTATATTAGATAAAAATATTTTTGAAATCTGACACTTACTGCATTTAACAAAATAGCCGTTTAAGTGTTAAAACAATTAATGTATGGTTTTCCATAACACGAAAACGCTAGCTTCCGTTCCACTTTAAATTGACAGTTTCAATTTGATTATAAAATTGAGCGTGAGTAATCGTATTTAATACCTATAAACTCTTCAAATGGACTTATGTACATTGTATTTTGAATGTATTTAACATTTTGTGGATTTCTATAGTCTATACACTACTTACAATATCTGCAAATGTATTTTAGTTTTTCGCTGGTTTTTCATAATTTAACTGTCACTAATGGTCCTTTTTTAATTTACAATACCTTACACAGCCACAAACTATATGATTGATGATATGAAAATTTTAACAGTTTTTTTAAAGCATTAAAAAACAACGTTGTTCATCAGAATTTGCGGCTGACTTATAATAGACTGCTTGAAATTAATTGCCTTGCTTCTAACTAATATAACACCTAATACAATTCATGCAATTTATAGCAAATAGTTTGTATCTCTTTCGAAAATGTAAGTCAATAGTCTAGTTTGTTATATAATACTAAAAAAAAATAGTATTGTTATTATTTATATATTTAATATCGGATGTTATTCGTCAAATTAAAAATTACATAACTCTATTATTATTTAAATTATTGATAAGACGGGAGGTACGAATGCGGTAAACGTTAATCTAGGAACGGCGATTAATTGCCTCGATTATACATACATATGTATAATGGTTTCTTATAAGTTATTTCTGATTCATAGGACATTCTTGTTAATCATTACTTTTATTGCTTCGTAATGAAGTCATGGTCTAATGAACAACTCTATAGCCAATGCGAGTATCATCAATCATTAACGAGTTAAACACAGTTAAAAACGGCAACATCAAGCAAAATGCATTCATGATGTTTACTGCTTTCCGTGCTTCTTAAATTTCCCATAGCATAAAAAACAACATTTTAAAACTCAAACGAGTGACATCATTTTATGTTTGGAAAAAAGACAATGTGTCGTACAACTCATAGGTTCTCGTTTGAAACCATACCCGTTGTATCAATTATGTGGTTTATACGATTAATGAAATCCACTATGTAATATTATTATATTGTCTGCGAAAAGAGATTCTTAGAAAACACAATATGTTATGCTTGTGCACCGTAAACACTTCCAGTCAAAATGTCCAATGCACAATAAAAACTGGTATTGAGATACGCCGGAATGTCAAAAATCAAAATTTTTCTTATCGTTTTCTAAAAATGTAGAAAACTATACGTTTTTAGGAACTGTAAGTTAGTCAGCGAAAAAAACTAGTTATCTTGCTTACTATCACTCCACTGTATTGCGGATGTGGTAATCTCGATTAAAATTGTGGACAATAATTCAAATGATCTAAATACGATAATTTCTTAAACTCCCACGATTAACTAAAATAGCGCGTACACGGGGTAATTTTATACATAATGGAATTTTCCCGCCGGTAAATTATTATTTATTTTTTCAACCCGGCCGGACAGTTTTCACAGAAGTCGGAACACATTAAATACACGGTAAACGTGAGACCACAGGAACTACGCCACTGAATACAGCGCCGTTCTGTGCACACAAATGGATTTTTAACAATGAACGGGCACACCGCGCTGTATAATCAAAACACCTGTAATAGTAATTTTACCACTCAATTAATTGGACGGTTTAAACTGCTCGGAGCCAGCCTGCATAGTACATATCCATTAACGCGTTTGCCCTATATCGGGGTCGTGGGAATCTAAAAATTCAAAACCAACAACCGATTTAAAAATACATTTTTTATGTTTTTTATATCGACCGTTTTGTATCGCATTGATACGGAGCACAATATATATATATATATGGAAAGAAAATCGTGGGCTAGTTAGTATTCATAGATATATTATAGTTACACGGGTATATAGATAAAATATAATATAGGTTTCTACAACAATGTTATAACTTTGACAAATTACTAGTAATAATTTTCGAAAACGCTCAGCTCCGGCCCAACGCGCAAGTCGTTTAACTGTTTTTAATGTCGACTCTCGGCCACGTTTCGATGGTGTTGTATAAAATGATATGGTATAAGCAGTAGTTAATGTGTATTATAAAGTATATATTTATATATAGACACGTATCGTAAGAAAATAGTATACCTCTATGATTACGATACGTGTGTTATACGAATTCCCGTGTAATTTAGTACGCCCCTAATAACGTTGAGGTGTGTGTTTGTTCATAGGTCGGGTGCAGGTGGATTCAGTCAGACGCAGCGCTGCCTCGCAGCTGGGCGACGGTCCCAAGGACGGGAGCGTCCTCAGGAGGGTCGCCAAGGTCACGCTGGACCAGGCAACCAAGTACCAGAAGCCAGTGAGGCCGAAACATGTCCCCGAAAAGTTGGACTTCAAAAACCAAGAGAAGTTCGAAGGTAAGACGCGCAACTAGTAGACGGGACCTAGGGAAGTCCTTGAAATCCTTTACAAAAACCTTCGGGCTCTTGTCGGCGACCAATTGGGCAAAGCCAAATCCCGAGGGAGCTTGAGAGTTTTTTAAGAACCTCTCTAGTCGCCTCAATGCATCTATATTATAATTATTACTTAAATATAACGGGGAGGGGTGGACGGACCGCCAAAGATGCAACGTGTGTGTTACTTTTAATATCATTGTAGAACCGAATTGCATTTAACCCAGAACCGGTTTCGAATAATTCTTTATTATTTTTTTTTTTGCCGTAGCCAGGATCCGAAAATTAAGATAGGTACACGACAACCTTGAAAAACATAGGAAAAAAAAAGATCAACAGCGATCGCCGCGCCGTCTCGTATTTTAGTATAGACTATCGAATAAGTAATAACTGTGGGAAAACAATAACCTCCATTCGGTTTGACTATTTTGTTTTGATACACTATACATTTTATACGGCCGTATCGTATTATTTTTGTCTATTATATTTTTATTGTTATTATTTTCTACATTTCTTACCGTAATGGCCTGTGAACAATCCGCCCGTAATGACTTTGAAGTGATGACTAATTTTCTATAGTAGTACCAAAGTGTGCAAAACTATCCCTATTATTTTTCACCCAACGTTCCCACATAATAGGCAATATGCACTTAGATGCTCTTTGTTGAACTTTAAAATGATACCGTATTCGGTTTTTTAAAAACTTTTTTGTATGGTTCTTTTTTTTTTTAAAGTTCAAAACATAATACCGCATGATTAACGATGGCGATAACAATTAACTTGATATTATACAATTCGCTTTGTTGCACTTATACAGCTGTGTTTTTCGATAATCGAGGGGCGGCGTTATATGTGTCAGATAACAATATTGTTGTGTTCAACATTAAACAGCTCACATATTATATTATGTCTGGCACCACATGACAGAACCGATAAACCTAAAACATTACAATAAGCTCGTGTTCGTTAAGGATCACGAATAATAGACTCGTTCGCTTTATGAATACATTATAATAATATGTGCTCTTCTTATTCGCTATGGAAACGTGATCGCCAATGTGGAAGGTGCCCCGTTCGTGTCAAATGTCATCTTCACTTCTATCGTGTGCGTTTCTCATTCTTGCTTCGAGACAAAGTATAGCTGCCCGTGGGGGCATAGCACGCCTTAGCTTCGGCTTGTGTTGCCGCTCTTCGTCGCCTGTCCGTCAAATTGGCTTATCTGCCGTTGCCAATCGCCACAGCACGCGCGTGACATGTCCGTCATCGGTTGTTGTCTGTTGTTTATGTATATTCCATCGGTGGATCACGACCCGATTATAGTGTTGTAAAAAAATAATCGTGCCTTTACAGCCTGATCTACGTGCCACAGTCCTAGCCGCTACACCCGAAGCCATGGAACGTCCCCAAGACCTCCTGGAGAAAATATGTCATCCGATTTATATGCAACTGCGATGCATAATAGACCCGGGGAATTTCGAAGACCAAACCCGGTCAAGCTAGCAACACGAAATATCTATTTAAAAAGTGATTGCCATCAATCGAAATCAGATCGTTTTGTCTTGGACAGATAAACAGTAGGAGCTTCGCGTTTCCTACAATCCACGCCCTACACTGCCTGTTACATGTTCTTAAGTAGGTTGAATGCCTCAAAACACAAGATTCATAGATAAAAACAATATCAAATTTACTTCGGTTCTCGTCTTTATTACTTCTCTGGGAACCGGGTAGTTATCCATAGCGTCTCAAAGTGATGGAACTCGGATTGCGTTACCAGAAACACATTTAGAATGGAATTTAAAGTTGCTTGGGTATCTCCGGCTACCATCGCCCATGGGCATGCCATGATTGTATTAAGAAATTTCACTAGAGTCTATACAATCACGAACCGTGTTGAGCGGCGTGGGAGTTGACTTTTCGCTATTGCCCTCAGTCTAACGATATTAATCCTGTGAATTAGTAGCTAGAATTAGGATGGATTTTTTTTTAATGCTTTGTCTCTGAGTTTAAAATGTTTCCACTACGTCACTGAGGATAATTTCAATTGAACAACCCGTAACCCGTTATCGGTCCATTTGACCGTGCCGGCTATCCGGTGTCCGGTGATTCTACGCGGAATGACATGGCCGTAATATTAAATTCAACCGCCGTTTGTTACTTGTTAGCTCAACGGACAAAAGTAAATCGTGGTTTTCGATAAATCATTATACGGGATGCGCGTGTAATGATTTGATGTTTTTCATTCCAGTATCGTTATTAATCGATGATAATAATAATAGTGTCGATTCAATGCATTCGTTCGGTCGTTATGCGTGTGTTCGGACTTGTTGTGCACCGGACAAGCTGCACACGTTGTGCCCCCGAAAACAGATGACGGGCACGTTGTGACGTTATGAAATCCGGTCGACCGGTTCGTCAGCAGCTGACTATTATAGCTGACATTGCTGCAATAGAGCGATGCAAAAAAAAGTAAAAACCTTCTGGAATGGGAGAGACGCCATGTGGTGGCTGACTCGGCGTCATTGATTTATCGGCTTTGCGTAGGCTCAGAACGGTTATGTTTGTACTGTATCTTATTATTGCTGGCCCAATGATTTCCGCCGCAAAGACCTACCTTCCTATGCACTTGATATCCCGACGTCAGGCAATCAGTGTCGGTTTGAACGCTAGCCCGCGAACACGACTCGGTTTTCAGTCGCGGTATGTCACTGTGTTTGTTTTGTTTTTGAGTTGTGACAATAATATGTGTTCTTGTTATAAAAAAAAAAATAATAAGTTTTTGCGCAGTTGAGATTTCGCAATAGGGCTGAGCACGTTCCAAGTAAAATAAAATATATATATAATTATTTTTTATATTTTGTATATTTGCTATTTAACGTGTCCTTACTTAATATGATTGCTTTTGTGCACTTATTTTATGCATATCTGTGATTTTGTTTTTTTTTTTAACATACAATTATTCATAAGCAATATTTAGCCATTTGGCAATATAATGTTATTACGTATTTAAAAATTAAAAAAAACTGCCAAACTTCTAATTACTAATTGTTTGTGAGAATTTACCAAATTAACGTCCACAGATACGTCAAAAACTATATTTTATTGAAAAAAAATACTAACTTCTCATACTTTTAGAACTCAACAACGTAAGTCAAGAAACATTAACACAATAAATAAAAAAACAGATTTGGTAAAAATGTATTGCATTTTATATAGTACCTAAATACATTTTAAAATGACACCAAGTTAATATTTGAACTTCAATCTTATCTCTAATGAAATCAGTTCAACAACAACAGTGTCATATAAGTAGTTGACATCTTGCGTAACGGTCTTGATGTCTTGACGTGTGTAAACATATGATTCGGCAAACATTTTATTTTTTTGTTTTTCATATTTCTGACTTTTGCCTAATGTTCCCTGCGTACCATCGGTAAGGCTGAGATTAAAAATTAAAACTATGACTTGTAAAAAGTATAAATATTTATTATAGCCCATCTTTTTGACGGTTGAACTGTCGGTACTCATCAAATGATGTATTTACATTCAACATGATCGAAGATGATAATTAAAAACGTCAACGGCGTGAAAAGGTCTTAAACCAAAGAAAAATTGGGTTATGCAAGTATGGTATTTACTTGTGAACAACACAGCGAATCGGTATTTAAGAACGCTGAACATTCCACTAGCTGTGCTAGTTGTACGAATGCGCAAAATAGGGTAACATTTCACGTATTCGCAATAAATTTGAATAAAATGTCCACGGAGTAGCTGTATTGTTGTTGGCATAGTTCCGTTTGGTATGGAATATACATATTTATGTGTATATTGTTGCCTTTTGCCTTTTCTAAAGTGTAGGTGTCACCGTCTTTAATGGTTACAAGGGAACTCTATAGGTATCACGACCTTCTACAGAAACATGTTCCCATACTCGTGCATTGACACACTTAATCGTAAATGGACAGATCGGCTTCCGTTAAACGGCGAATAATAAAATTTTAAAAAAAACTCCGCATTAAAAAAAATACATAATCGACAACATTTTAATTTTTTATTATTATTATTTTTAATCCGAATTTATGTACCGCAATACTACTGGGTATACTGTAGTCTCGATTTTTGTTTTTTTTTTTTATACCGCGTTGCCTAACCTAAGTTGCACAATAACGCGTTATATATATATATATATTTAATAAAGCCGCGTCGCTATTTAAATAATATCATTAGTGTTATAATTCACTCGTTTTCATAATCCTATTACGGTGTACATCTCGAGTGTTCGAGTATATTATTCTGTAATTGTATACATATAAATATGATATAATGATTCAATTCAACAAAACTGCCGTTTAAAACCAAATTTTTAAGTGCGGATTACGAGCAATATTATACCTACACAGTATACACAAACACGTGAGGATTATCTCCGGCTCGGGTTATAATATAGGTATATAATATCCACGTACATATAATAATAATAATATGTGGGCATTAACGACGACCGAGTAGACGGAAAAGAATACCTATGACTCGAGGATTCGGCGGCGGTCGTAGGTTTTTTTTTTCTTTTTCTTTTCTTGTCCGTCCATCATCGTTGTATGTAAGAGTGTTCGTTTGGCTTGAAGTGTGTAATCGATAGACACGTCTGACAGGTGTGAAAAGTGCACGGATGGCTACACCGTGGCGCCTGTCGCTCTTATTTGCGTTTTTTTTTTTTTTTTTTTTTTCATTTTCACCAGTCACATTTTAGACTGGCACCGTGGAAACGGCGGGTACGCGGTGGATAATACATGCGATTATCTCCCTAGAAGAAAAACACTGGCGCGGACGGCAGCGTGTAATTTTAAAACAATCAAAACTCATTTGGCCGGACGGCATTATGAAATAATGATAATATTATGTTCCATAAGACAATCCGTTCATTATTTGTATTGTCAATGTTATGATTAAGACTTCACAGTTTATTCTCCGACGACCTTTGGTGTAATATATCTACCTACCTACCTACCTACTACCTACTCCATTCGATCGATCGATACACGCCGTGTCAATGACTACGTGACCACCACGGGCTAGATCTATTCATCAATGTTTAAGTGCAATAAACAAAACAAAAGTGTCCAACTGAAAAATGTATAAGACCACCGCCGCATTGTTTGGCGCGGGCAAAAAAAAAAAATAATAATAATAATGTGGCTGAACTTGCGTGAGAAACGTATTATCATTTTGATATTATAATGTCTTAAAGACACGATCGACTCCGGAATGAAATAAAAAAATAAAAGCTTTTTTTTTCCTACAATACATTCGGTGAACCCATTTTAACAGCTATTGACAGGCTTAATAATAATTATTATACAACGCTGCTCTGTTGTGTTGTAACATATTATAAAATGGCAAAAAACCTGGGGTCACACCGATTGTAAGGCGCAGTGCGTTGACCGCATTTCTAATAGTTGCATGCAGCATCGATCAATAGGCAATAAAGTGTTTCGATCCAAAACTCATAAATTTTATTTTTTATCAATACAAAACTCTAACCGCTCATATCCAGAGGCGTGCATGAGAGCGGGGGGAGGAGAAGTAATTTCTCATGCCTGCTGTACATTTTTACTACACAGATTTAAACATGTATAACATAATGACATAATTCCTTATGAATGATGAATGATATAATACCAAGGCCTCTTGGATGGACCTTGGTGGTCAACATATGTTTTCGGAATTTGTATGGGGGTTGTTAAGGGAGAACCTTTTAAATCCACCACTATGCAGGGGATAGGGGCAAAACAATTTTACCATAAGTCTCCCCTCAAAAAAAAAAAAAAAATTCTGTGTGCGCCACTGGTCATAGCAACATAGTGGAATTGATTATGTGCTTTTGAAAGTCGACCTGGAATCCGTGTAGTCACGTGTATCTACTAACGGAACTTTCCATTTAACATATTGTTGGTTTATAATAAAATTGTGTGCACGCATAAAACACACAACTGTTTGTTGTACGGTACAAAAACGAACGCAGGGCCGTCAACTCTAAATATGGATAAACTCTATGAATATCGTTATAATGTTTTATTAATGGCGTCTCAGTTGTATTAACCATTCACAAGTAAACTATTTATTAAATTTAATAATTTATATTATTATAGATATTTTTCGGCCCTAGACCTCGCATAAATTATGTTAACGAGAAATTTTCTAAAACGTCCTTTTATTTTTGTTAGAAATCCGTATTTGAAAATTCGCTTTTTATACGGTTTTATAGATTTGGTTTCAAAATCTAAATAATTTGTTGCGCTGTACACACTTGTATAGTGCAATCACGGAGCAAATGAGACGAAGACAATAATAAACATTACCGTTTTTTATTTTAACCGAGGTAATCCCATTGCGGTTACCCGCCTGAGCTGTTGTGTATTCGTCTAATTATAATATTATCAACTTCCGCATTACTATTAATAACTATGCAATTATTTCGTTTTTTCCGCGTTTTTTTAAAATCGTATTCGCGCCAAATGGCTTGTGGTCAAAACGTTAGAAAACGACGCAGATCACTTTTGGTTTCACCAGAAACCGTTTAGGCGGTTAATTTGACACTGCGACTATCTGGTTATTAAAATAGTCGAGTTTTGAACGACCGTCGTGGCATTCGCCGCCGGCCGTCCTTGGATTATCATTAACATATTCGTTTGAGATCATCAAACGATGTTGTTTTCAATTTTTTTCCAATCAGTTCCTGCTGGCCGCTAGGAAACTCTAGAGGCCCGGTTTGTTGCAATACACTTGTACGTTATATTTTGATCATTTGAACGGACTAGCGTTGGAAATTAAAAAACAAAGTTAATGTAAAACAACGTTTTTTATTTATTTTTTTTACAGGCCAAGTGTTGGTCAACTGGTTGGTGTCGTCTTTCGGGACAGAAGATCTTCGCAGAGACGCCCGTGCGCTGATCCCTCAAATCTGTACGGATCTCTTAACGGCGGGTGTAATCAAACAGATACGGGACAAAAATGCGGTAGTCGGCGAGCTGTTTAGAGTGAGTAGTCAGTAATATTATGTTATTACCCAACAATTAGGCACAAGTTAAAAAGGTTTAAAAAGTGATTTGAAAAAGTAATTAAACCAAACTAATCAAAAACAAATCAATTATTGGTCCACGATCATAAATCATTTCGTATATTTGTTAACGCTAACTTATTAGTGATCCAACGGTGAAATTAGCTTTTTAGATTATTCAATTAATTATTCTATAAAAAAAATAAATTCCCTATTTGTTTAACGCCTAACATAAAACATCAGCCCGCATCGATGATAATAATTAAGCATCGGCTTGTATAGCGCAGGGGATAAGGCGTTTAACTTGTTTTTGATAGATGACAGAAGGTTCGATGCTAAACAGAGGTCATTCTGCCCCTACTCTGCCCGACCAAAAGAAAAGAGCGTTGAAACTAAAAATATATATAGATAGGGGCAACATTTTTTTCTGTTCGCATTGACTTGAGCTATGTATAGGTACTAGGAAACAAGAGTTTTTACCTTTACTAAACATTTAAATATTTTGTAATTCGTAAATTGTATCTTTAGTACTATAAAGCAACTGAGTTTTAGTTTTATGCAATTTTGTGGGCCATCGTGTCTCGAATGTAGTACAGTGAATAATACTCGCATACCGTGTAGACGATAAATACCTATATACTTGGTCAAAAACACACCTACATATTCTGATTTTAAGTTATGCACGCATACTATAAAGTAGTATTTGCAAACATACATTTCACATTAGAAAATCGTTACTTTTACTTGAATTAAAAAAAAAAACTATAATTAAAAGTATATAGTGTGGTTTAGTTGAGGTTTCTTATGACTGAACAACATGCTTATCCACTATATACATTCACCAGATGGTCCACGCCTACATAACGCCATCCATGCAGATTAAATATCGCTTACAGTCAGTATTGTGCTATTCAGTATTCACTAATATCCCTGTTTTTTTTGTGTGTTTTAAAATCTAAATAATCTTGGCCGGAAACAAGTATCATCCGTAATAATATTATTTAAAAATCAAGACAGTTATCTGATATGGTTGGCAGTTTCGATTACAGATAAGATATTTGCTGAATGCCGGGTGGGTAGACTCGCTACCCATAAGACACACGATGATTTCACATTCCACAACTATCATTTTAAGTGATGAACAAATTTCTTAAACCTAGGAGCAAAATACCAAGAATAAGTAGAAAAAACATAACCTATATGTTGACAAGTCTTTAGATTAGAAAAGGTTGAATCCATCAATTTTTAAAATATTCAGGGAATAATATTTATGACATTTATAGTTGTCTAAATCGATATAGAATTTTACTAAAGTTGTATAAAAATGTTGTTCAAATTAAGTAACTAAAATACGTAATGACTTTTAGTTATAGCTAAAACCTAATTGAAAGCTTTAATTTTTTTCAAATAATTACTTGTCGTTAGAACGTTTTCACATAACCAACATTATTTATCAATTGATGCTATTTAAGTTGATAAATTCTGAATATTTTACTCTTTGGGAAATTCCGTTCATTAATGAACTTTATTCTTAGTTTAAAAATGCACCTTCCAAAATTCCAAAAACGCCTAACGGAAAAAGTGGAGTTTGAACAAATTATTATGTAAATATAGATTATAGATCCTTTCCTAACTAAACATGTCTTTCCAAGTGTTGAGTTAAAAATTAATTACATTACTTAAAAAATGGACGTACAGTGAAATTAGTAAAATATGCGTATGTGTCACATACGGTAGGCGTAGTGAATTCATTGATATTTTAACATCTTATGATGACAATCTACAGAGATAATTTATGAGTTACTAAAATAACCTATACTCTATTGTGATGTGACAACAGTAAGAGATCATATTATCATAATTCATAATAATCGTAATTTAATATTATAACTACGTGTAATCCTATTTGAAAGTGTCTTGCACACTTGCTAATCGATGCATGACTAACGCCTGGCATTGTACAGCTAATTAATTTTTTTCTTGTGCTTTACTCAGTCAGACCTCATGTACTACTGGGCCCGTTCTGAGCTGATCAACTCGCCCGCGCAATCACCTGGCCGTATCGGTCAACAAACATGGCTAACAGATAAAAATACAGGTACACGACACGATTTAAGTAAACATCCGTTTGGGAAAAAATTAACGATGCAATAATATTTCAGGTGACGAAAACGGCAATGGCGTTCAACCGCAGAAAACCTACGCGAAGCCCGAGGAGCTACAAGAAATTCAAAACAAAACCGTCTCCAAACAGGTACCTACCTATCGTCGTATCTCTTCGGAATTAAATTTTGAGTTGCCGTTATTTTATTGTCTCGCCCGTGTACAAAGAAATAATAATTTTTTTATTGTCTTACAGACGCCGCAAAAAAACTGCGTCGGATCGCCGCACAAAGAAAACATGCCGGGTATTGAAAACATATCCGACTTCTCGCCGGTCTCCACCCCGGTACAGACAAGTCTGCCACTAAGGCGGAAGAAATCTCTGACTTCGCTGGCCGACAAGTTCTCGTGCTTGTCTTTGGAACAGTCGCAGATTCCGGTGAAGCAAACCAACGGGAACTCGGCCGACGACAAACCACTGGCAAAGAAACAAAACGGCGTGCATTCGCCGACCAAACGAACGTCACCCTTGTCGACGCCCAGAAACCATTCCTCGAAAACGTCTCCGCCGTCTAGTCCTAGCGCCAATGAAGTTTCTGTGTACTACACGCCGGCCGGTGCTGCTGCATCTCTGCCGGCAACGCCGGTGGGTTTCACCTTAAAGAAAATCGTTTTCCCCGGCATGTCGCCGAACCTCGACACCAGTGACACGAATACCATTGTGCACAACGAGGACTTGTCTCACAGCTTTTCGGAAGTGGCCAAAAACGATTCTCTGAACAAAACCCCGACCTGCGATTGGCCGGAGTCGCCGTCGAACGATGCCGGGCCACGTTCAGAAAACACCAATTGTCCCGTGCAATCCAAAGTCAAGGTACAACCAACCTCGTCGCTTCTAAGGACCGACGACAGTCTCTCGTTGTCCTCGTCTTCAACAGTCGTTCCTGTAGCCAGTATTAACCCTTCGTCTCCTGACAAACCTATGATACCGCCAGCGCCACCACTTCCTATTTCGGAAATCGCTCCTTCGCCCCCACCTCCACCTCCACCTCCGCCTCCGCCGCCACCCGAAGACAACATTCCTCCTCCACCACCACCTCCCCACCTCCTCCCCAATCGTGTGTTGATAATATCCCTCCTCCACCTCCACCACCACCTCTACCACTGTCGTCTTGTGACACTAATATTCCTCCACCACCACCGCCACCTCCTCCTCCTCCCCCATTTTCAAGCGGTGTTAATATTCCACCACCACCTCCTCCTCCGCCTTCTTGTGGTGCTAATATACCTCCACCGCCTCCACCGCCTCCGGGTCTAAACACGTCTATTCCTCCTCCTCCTCCTCCACCATCTCTCAATGGTAAAGTTAACTCCGGAGCAAACGGTCCGCCACCACCTCCGCCGCCTCTAAATGGACCAACGCCGTTTCCCGCACCACCGGTCGGTGGTTGGAACGCACAACGCGACTGTGAGTATCCTCGAATTTATCTTGTCCGGTTCGTCTTGGCCCTCAGCTTGAAATCGAGAAAAACCAATGTGTATAATAGCAGTTTGAAGCTTGTTAAGTGGGAATCGAGGACCAAGACGAACTGGGCGATATAATATACTTGTGACGATTTTAAAAATTTCGAGTTAAACTTATTTTCATTAAACAGTGCTGCGGAAAAAACCCATAAATCCGCCAGTTCCAATGAGACCGCTGTATTGGACGAGAGTGATAGTGAAAGAGCCCATTGCTGAAATTCGCACACCTAGTTCACCCGATTCACCCGATTGGTACGCTAAATTTTAACGTTTATTGAAAGTACTATAACCGCCTTGGATCAGTGATTACTATAATTTGGTTCAAGATTATTATGTCAATTATTGTGTAACGTGTGATTACAGTCTGAAACCGTTGTGGAGTGATTTGGAAGAGGCGCCGATTCCAAATATAAACGAATTTTCACAGCTATTCTCACGTCAAGCAGTCGAACCGAAAGTGTCTAAGAAAAAAGTGTTGCAAAAAAAGAAAACTGAGGTAAGCTGGCTCAAAAATCATTAAAGGCACGTTCGTGATGATGAATATTGTATACTACTTGACTGTAATAGGAATTCAAACAAATTTTGGACACCAAAAGGTCTCGAAACGTGGGAATACTCGCCCAAAGTTTACATTTGGATTTCTCTGAAATCGAAAACGGTATGTATATTTATAAAATACGGTATTTTCATATGATTGTCACTTGATGTAAATCCGCTCAATTTTTAGCTCTTTACAATTTCGATACGTCGGTAGTAAGCGTTGAAGTGCTCCAACAAATCTACGAAGTGGTATGTGTGTAACAAGACGACGATAGGTTTTGGCCTGCAATTGAATAACTATATTGTGCTGTTGTTTAGGCGGCGACAGAAGAAGAGCTAAGTTTGATCAAAGAACACGTGTCTGCTCATCCGGACCAACCACTCGATAAGCCCGAACAGTTCCTGCATGAACTCAGCGAAATCCCACACTTTGGAGAGCGCGTCGCCTGTCTGATATTCCAGTCTGACTTCAACGACGCTCTGAACAGCATTGCCAGTAAATTGAACAACATGAAAGCAACATCGGGGGTGAGTGCATCTAGTAGGGGGATTTAACAAGCCCTTGCATTTTTTTTCCATTGGTTTTGTAAACCGTCGCTGTTGTTTGTCGCAGTTCTTGATGACATCGGAGGGTTTGAAAAAAGTGTTGGCCATTATTTTGGCTCTGGGAAATTACATGAACGGCGGCAACAGACAACGCGGTCAAGCGGACGGGTTTGGTTTGGAAATCTTGCCGAAGCTGAGAGACGTTAAAAGCAAAGGTACCGCAGCTAAGTCAGCTATAAAATGATTTCCCATTCGATGATAGCTCATGTACATTTTGTACGCGTGTGAATGTTTTCGACCAACGGTTTGTTTGATTTCAGACAACTCTATGACTCTGCTACATTTCATCGTACGAACGTACATATCTGAATGCAACGAGCCAATGAAAGAAACACTGCCTGTGCCCGAGCCCAGCGATGTGGATCGAGCAGCACACGTAACTTTTGACGATTTGGAACAGGGTTTGAAAGACTTAATAATTAAACTAGTAGGTGAGTTTCGCTGGTAAAATACTTTTTCTTATGGTCAATTATTTTTTATCGAAATCCGCGACAATAATCTGGAAATCGCTTTCGGTTTAGGTTGTAAGAAAAAAGCTGATAAGGTGATAATGTCATCGGCGGAAGACAGTTTGGAACCGTTTAAATCCAAAATGGAATCGTTCATTGCCACGGGTTAGTAGTCTATTATATATTTTTCTCTTTCTGTAGGTGATTTATTCGATATATTTTTTCATGGTACTCAGCTATACCGTCGTCAGATTAAGCAATGGGGATAAACACGATTGAATACTCAAAGTATAGCATGATTGTAATGTATGATTTATGATGTTTGTTTTGTTTTTTAGCGCGCACACAATTAGACAACGAACGAGAAAATTTAGAGGAAAGCAAAAAACTGTAAGTGTCTTTTTATGATTTTGAGAGTAATGCAATGTCATGTTAACGCATACTATTTATGTTTACATGTATTATAAATACAGTTTCATAAAACTAATGCGGTTCTATCAATTCCACCCGAAGGATAGCAAAAGTCTTACTGAAGTGGCGCCAAAAGATTTCTTCCCCCTTTGGCTGCCGTTCTGTACGGACTTTAAGGACTTTTGGAACATGGAACAACAGCGCATCGTAAAAGAAAAGTAATAACCACTCTCTTAATCCTGCTTAGGCGGTAAACCAATAAGAAAATCAATAGGTATTTGTATTTAACGCGTTACTTTCAAAAATCGTTACAGGCTTTTGGAGAGTAAAAGAAAAACTAAAGAAAGGCAGCAACAAGTGAGAACGAACAAAAAATCGCTTGTAGGATTAGTAAGTACATTCGTGTTGTTCAAAAATGCTTTATTAATTAGTTAATACTTGAGACGTCTATTGTTCAAAGTTTTTATAAGGGCGAAGGGAAAGGTCAAAATGATACACGTCTTGTCTCCGCTGTAAATAATGTCAGAGAGGAGAAATTTTACCCTCTAGCCGACTTTCGCTCACGATTATTGTTTTATACTTAGGTCATAGTCTATCGTGCCACCAAGTTGTACATGTTATGTTTTCACAACAATAGTCTAGATACAAATGTTTTATTTTGCTATTACACCACACATTATGTCTATTGAAATTGTTATTGTTTTTTAATTTTTCAGAAAAACCAAATCCAATCAAAATTTAATTTAAGAAATTAATTTCCGCTAACGAAAAGAAACGTTTAATCAAATGTAAGACTGAATGGACAGCATAAAAATATTGCTTTAGTTAAAAATACGCAATGTCAGACGAGTGTTGTGGCGAAAACTCGATTCGTTTATAATTATTGTTAAAAATAAGAAAATATTATATTGTACTAAAAAACAAAACTATTATTTTTTTTTTTTAATGTGTATGTTTCCAAGCCTAACGCAGTTATTATTATATGATTACTATAAGTTTAAGCATCGAAGTTCAAACTAACGTAAACAAATTAATGTATCACACCGGTTTTTTTTTCTTATGTGGATTTAAACACGTGCTAAGACTGACTAGAAAAGTATATTTATATATTATACAATATATATGAGTTAATGTGTAATGTGGGGAGAGTAGACGAGATAAAATTGTTTACCTGTGGCGACGACTGGTGCTCTGAACGTTTTTCCGGATAAGTTAAGGATGAAGTTCTCAAGCAATAACAAAAAAGAGAAAAAACGGATATTGTGGCTGGTGGCCAGACTAGTTTTGACGATACCTTTTAGTATTCTCCGTTGTCACATTACCACCACATTATTACCTATATAATATTTATAACCGTTACAATTTTATACATTATAATAATATAATGAATACAATTTTTGTTTGTATAGATGATATATTTATTTATTTTTATTGTGCTTTATCTGAACACATTTATATAATCATAGTTATTTTCTATACAACATATTATTATTATACCACTCAAGTATATAATAAAACTGCTTGCATTAGATGTGAGAAAACACTACTAGTCAGTTTGTTGTTTTATTTGATAATTGTACATTTTTGATATTTAATTTTCTAACACTATAAAATATTATTTATACATTTTCACAAATCTTACAAAGTAACATTTCGGTTTTTATTTCAGTTACGGCTATTATTAATTTAATATTAGCATTTTACGAATACTTCCTAGTTTATTGTACAAATTGCACAACACGCAATCAAATTTTATTTACTTAGAAACCCTCAACAAATATATTGTACAGGTACCAATTTAGAAATACTGTGTCCTATCGTTGTACATAATAAAATTTCAGTAATTGATGACACATTTTCCATATTTAATGGGTATAACGTTTACCAGTATTTTGATGGTGTCACTAATGTTATTGACTTAAAAGGCTTAAACTGCACTCAAATGTTATGTCTAACTGATTATTAATGGAGGTTTCAAAAACATTTTTAAGTATCAGATATTCGAGTTTATCATCCTAGATATCAGCAGTATGTTTCCCTTATGAAACACAAAATAAGAAAAAAGAACATCACACCCATTTACAAATATTGCCAATCTTTAACAAATACTCAGTGGTGCCGTTTTAAAAATTACACACTATGTATTTGCTATAACTACCGATAATCACCACCAATAATCTACGCCATTATATTTCTTTACAAATGTATTGGTAAGCAAATTTATAACAATATGCATATTGCTTTAATTACTATAATATGTAAATGATCAAAAAACATCAAAAATAAAAAAAATAAATAAAAATGTTATAAAACTAAATAAATAGTAAATACATAAAAAAAATGCCTTTATTCTTTTTTTTTTATATAATATATAAGTTGTATAGTTTTTAATTTGTATTAAATTATACGGTACATACACCTAAATATCATAAAAATTAAATTCTAGACATTGCAAAAAAAAAAATATATTTATAATTTAGAAAAAAGCATCGCAAGTGGAGCAATAAACTCTCAAAGTTTGTACAAGGATGTTGTTTAAAAACTTCAACTTTTAACGAATGGCAATGAGTCCAGATTCAATCAGTTTTTGAATTTTACTGGCAATCTCTGGATTTTTCAAGTGACTGAAAAAAAACATCATACAACACATTATTAGCAACGAAACATTTCAAATTTGGAAATTCATTCTTATAAAAAAAAAAATACTTTTACTCACTCGCTTAAGGCTTTAGGGTCGTTTTGCATTTGTTCAAGTATGAGTCGCATCGCAGGATCTCTAATAATGTCTTGTACCTCGGGATCGGCCATAGCACGTTTTCGCATTTCTTCGGGATCTGAATTCGCAGCTATCGAACATGATCTGTATCCTTCCAAGGCTTCCTGCAAATATTTTACAAAATATTATTGACATGCCACACACTAAACTGAACCTTTTTTTTTTTTTTTTTATAGAAAAATATTTACATTCTATGCTGCAAGGCATAATGAGCAAATTGTTACATTGTTATATATACAGAGAAAAAAAAATAAAAACGATGATGCTGTATTAGGAGGGAGGCTATCCAGTGATAGAACCCAACAAAACTAAACCATTACAAAGAAAAAAAAAATTTCAACTGATAAATTTCAACTAACACACACATGGGATTTATTTTTAGTTTGGTTCGGAGTTGTACATTTTCTTCAGTTCTGTAGTCGTAAGGGTAAACATAGGGTGAACCCTTACGACTACGCTACTGAGTTTGTCACATCAGTAAACATAATTAAGGAATTCAAATATTTATAAAACATTAATGACTTACAGCATTGGAAGAGTCGATTTCAAGAGCTTTTTGATAGGCTGTCAAAGCTCTGGATGATTGTTTCATACCCTGCAAAATTTTACCCTTCCTAATCCATCCTTTCACTAAAAATCATATATAACATTTTTAGTTAATACAATCACGGTTACAAATAATGCAAAAAAAAAATGTACATACCAAATTTAGGATCAAGTTCAACACATTTTTCACAGTCTTTAAGGCCGAGATCAAATGCTGCTAATTTCGTATAGCAGGCGGCTCGATTACTATAGTACTTTGGCTCATCGGGATTTCTCATAATAGCTTCAGAATATGCTTTCATAGCCTCCGCGAATTGACCTAATTATTAAAATTGTACAAGATGAATAAGAGCAAACATAAAAATAAAAATAAAATAATTAATAAATACCTTTATTGAATAAATCGTTTCCTTTTTCCTTAGCTTCTTCAGCTTTAACCGGATCAACATACGCTTTTCTTTCCTCTTCTTTAATTTTTTTTTCCAACTCAGATATTATATTTTTCACTTCCGGAGTTCTGTGTTCAGACATTGATTTTTCAAAATATGTTTTAGCGCTTTTGTAATCCTGAAAATAAACATTTTAATACAAATTTGTTTGCAACATTTTTATGATGGATTATTCAAAAATTCTTACTTCTAATTTTTTATAAGCATTTCCAATTCTTGAGAAAGCTTTTGCGATCAATTTGAAATCCGCTCTATTTTCACGACCGACCTCGACCGCTTTTTCACACTGTTCTATACACTTTTTATACTCTTTCTGTTCAAAATACACGGCTACACAAATTTTAAAAAGATTAATACAAACTCTATTTTTAATATTTTTTAATAAATACAATACCCGCAACATTGTTATAAAATGTCATATTGGTCGGTTCCAATTCGATGGCTTTGTTGTAATGAGCTAAAGCTTCTGCAAAATTTTTCTTTTTGTAATCCTCATTACCAAGATCTTTTTCTTTCTTGGCCTGTAAAATTATAAACAATATATAAATTGTAAACACAATTACATCAATCAGCAAATTAACAACAACACAATACCTCTTTTTGTTCTTCTGTTAAACTGTCGTCTTCGGATTTTTCAGGTGGTGGAGGTGTTGGCTCCCTTTTTGGTTTTGGTGGAGGAGATGGTTCAGTTTCCATTTTGTCATCGTCTGCCGACAAATTTATTCCCATCATAACACTTAATGCAGCCGACATTCTCGGGTCTTGCATACTTGTCCTACAAAAATTAGCATAACGCAAATTATTTTAAGCGTTAAATTAAAAAAATACTAAGTTAAAACTTAACTCGCGTCGACTACTTACAGTAATTTTTGAGGATCACTTTGACATTCCATTAGTAAGCTCATAAATTGTTTATCGTTGATTAAATCCCTCGTCCTCGGATCCTGAGCTAATTTCAAGAATGCTTCGGGTGGAAACATGTTGTTTGATCCTCCGAACGAAGGTTGTGCTTGTTGCCGGACTTCTTTCAAGCCATCTAGTAATTGTTGGTTATTAGGATCATATTTAAGACCATCTTCGTACGCCTTTGTGGCTTCGTCATTACGTCTCAAAAATGCCAACGCTGTTCCTTTTCTTGAATAACCCTTGAAAAAGTAGGTTTGTAAATAAACTAGGTAATTATAGATAATAATTGAAATAAGTTTTAAATAAGTGTTATTTACTTTAGGCCAGTCTGGTTTAATAGATACAGTTGTTTCAGCGTCCTCTAAAGCCTTTTGATAATTTCCTTGTTTGGCATAAGCAGCCGATCTGTTACTGTAAAGTACGTGGTTTTTGGGATCGAGATCTATAGCTTTAGTGTAGTGTTCAACTGCCGATAAATAATCGCCCGCTGACAACGCGGCATTACCTTTTTCTTTTAAATCCAATGCCTAAAAAATTCATCAAGATTCAAGTGTCACATGTATATCAAATTAAAAAGTATAAAAAACAAATAATTTACAATATGCACCGAATTAATAAAAAACATTAGATATTGTCAGAAGGACTAAACATAATGAATAAAAACGATTAATTATATAATTATAGTGAAAATGAATCCAACAAAAATTAAGGTTAAAAATAATAATGAAATTCAATTTTAAAATGTTACTTACCATAATTTAAAAAACTACAATTTATAATACGAATAGAAATCAACAAAAAAAAACAAGTATATTATAATATAATTGAAATGAAAATACAATAGCTTGCTAAATACTTTTTTGAAACACGCGAGTACTTAGGAGTTAGGTGTAAAGTGACGACTATTAACAAGTTTGGGAAATACGAACAGCAATAATGCGAGCGGTAAAGCAGATGTAAAATCACAGAATATTCTAGAAAAATTGTCGGAACAACAACCGGACAGTGCTGCCAATTATCAAATTAAAATAAATGAATTGCTGATAAAATATTATCATATTCTGTAAACTCTTATTCCGCTAGTTTTTTTTACAGTGCCAACGCCGACGCGATAGTTATTGTATAGATCCAAATTATTATACTTTGCCCCCACAAACTATAAGAGTATAAAAGTAAAAAAACACCTGGTTTTTTTATTTTTATTTTGATAACAAATAACAATTTGATTTAATGAGTTATTTTAATTACATTACCTTTATTTAGCTAATTTTGAAACATTTCTATTTGAATGTTAAAAATAACCTGTTATAAAAAAAATAAAAATAAACGGTTTAAGTATTTATCCGATTTTATTTTTGTTTAAACATAAAATATTTATTTGAAGTTATTATGTAGTTATTTGGTCAAATAAAAATACAACTTTATTAATTATCTGCATTTGTATTAAAATAATACCCAGGTTTGTTAAAATACAAGTTAATCTGTTTGATATAAAAAAAAAATGTAATTTTTTTCATCACCAGCTTCATAAGTATTTACTTTGAAATAATGATTAGACATTTTAAGAATTAATATTTTCCTTTCACATCCTTACTTAGTTTTATGTTTATGTTCAAAAATGTTAAATAGGAATAATTTGTTTGTTGAACAAAATGTGTTAACTAGATTTGCTTCTATTTAATATCTCAGTTTTGAATTATAGGCTTTATGACACCATCTTATAATGCTGTAAAAATAATTAGCTACATTTTACACTATAAGTCAACAATACAAAATCGGTACATATTGTAAACACATTATTGGAAAACAATCTATTGTAAAATAACTGTTCAATTCTGAACTTTTAAATTAATTTTAAATATAAAAGGAGACTATTAAACAAACACAAACAAATCAACTATAGAAAAACATTTATTTGAAAAATAAATAAATGAATCCTAAAATAATTAAAGCTATATATATATATTTTTTTTTTTATTAAAACTAGACAGATTGTAAACTAAACAATAATAGAAACACTGATAAAAGGATATTGCACGCACATAACAAGTAAAGTGCGTTTGTAATGTTCAATAATAACTCTTAAATTAATAATTCACAACATGACATCAATAATAATAATTTAAAAAATACAACAAAATAAAATGTTTGTCGTTAAATTCCATTTTTACATGCTAAAATTATTTAAAATTAAAATTATTAAAAAAAATATACATATGAAAATATTAGCTGGTGGCGCTATTGACTGTCTAGTCTAGGATGTTTAAAAATTCTGTATAAAAGCTATCTTCATATCTTATAGATCAGCAAATTACTGGACTACTGTTGTTAGGAAACTGAAGTACATTCATTGAATTTACAAGGTCATCACTCTGAAAAATATAATTGAGCATAAATTTTATTGAAAAAAAAAAAAAAGAATTAAAAAATGTGTTAAAATTAATTTAAACTAAGTACATACAATTTCATCATCTTCTTCTTCGTCATCATAATCGTCAACTTCGAAAGCTAAACGGCCTGCGTAACTCTCGACATTAGGATCTACTTTATCCAATAGACATTCAATTAGAGTTGCCCTGTTGAGCGCTACTGCAAAATGTAATGCTGTATAACCGCTTTTATAGTCCTGGATAAAAAAAAAAATTATAATATAAACTATTTAATTTTTTACTATTAATGTTATTAACTATTTGACTTACAGTAATATTAACGTTTCGGGCATTATTAGCTACAAATCTTACTACGTTTAAATGGTTCGCGATTGTCGCTATATGAATACAAGCCAAACCTGAAACAGAACATAGAGAACACACTAAAATATTAAATTGACAAATTGTCATTCTTTATTTAAACGATTTTAATTAACATAAACAAGAAAACCTGAAAATTGTATCACATATCAAATTCAACCAGTTCACAAACTGTGCAAATTTCAGACGCCTAAGTTTAACAGATGGTAAGAAAAACAAATTGCCGTCAAAATAAACACAATACGCAATCATCCAAACCCAACAAACATCCTGGTAAAACCATAGGGAAAAATTTGAGTTCATGCAAGCGCTTTTGACTGACATAGGAATTGCACTGACAAACACACACACACGGACAGTATTCCAAGATGTTCTAATTTAAATAAAAACACATTGATCTTAATCACATCCCAAAATTCTAAAAAAAAAATGTTCAAGGAATCGTAGCTTTCTTCCTTTAGAAAACAAATATTTGAGTTATCGTTTTTAATTTTCTTTTTAAATATTATTCAAGTCAAATTTATTTTTTGTTTTAATTTTAATCAATTTTTGTTTTGATAATTATTTAAACTTGTATTTAAGTAAAAACAATTTAAATTATCCCCAGGTTTACTTTAAAAAAAATATAGAATAATATACTTAATCATTTTTAAAAAAAATCGACAACATTTTTTTCAAAATCTACATTCTACATAAACATTTGTACCAGCACATGTAAGCCCGCCCCATACCTGTATAAACTTTTATATATTTTTTTAAGAAACTCGGTTATCTTAACCCATTGTCAAGCATCTTAGGATTTATGGAACCATATGGAAAACCATGGAAATATAATGATATCTCATTTACTCGTAGGTAAATGAGATATCATTATATTTTTAGCCAACACACACTGACAAAAGGTTAAATAGTTATTTGGTTGAAAAACTCAATGTAACATGAAATTTGGATAACCCTGTATTTTTTTTAATACAACGATAGTAAGTTTTTAAATATATGTAGATAAATACAGAATACCAATTTTTTTTGGCACTCATATAGTTTAGAGCAAAGTTTATAAAAATACACTACTATTAATACATTGAAGACACATATAATATTCAGTCAAAATACATTCACATAGCATCACTATAAAAAAAAATTACAATAGTAATCTTTACAAACCACGGCCAAACCTGTTAACTGGTGTCTGGTTGGAGAAAAATCAAGGACAACGTATTGTACTTAATATATTTATATATAATTATAAAAAACGCGTCTTGTGCAGTTATTCTTTTTCTTCCTGACTTGCAGGTTCTTTATTTGAATATATAAATATTTATACATATTGAATGTTAATACAGTCAAATTTGGTATAAAAATATATTTTATTTTAATAGTTGAAAATAGTTTTAAAATATTAATTGTTTTAAAACCGAATAGAATATTTATTTGTCCAATTTTTCCCACAGTTGTTTAAGTTATGAAAATAAAATAAAATAATATGGACACAAAAATTTATTTTTTAAAGAAAGAGAAATGTACCTGAAATATGTATCTCAGAACTAAGCAAAGGCGACCAATTTGCAAAATTACTATAATATATATTGCCCTATTGTCAATGTAAATATAATATATTATAACATAAAATGTACCTATTGAATATATATATATATATATATATATTGAAGTACTTCAATTTATAAGTGCATTATGATTTATGCATGTATCATGATATTTTATTACCAACTATAAAAATATGTTAGCAATAGTGTTCTAAATGTGTTAACTATATTTTATTTTTTAATGCTTAATAAATTTGCTTACCATCGTAATTGACCAAGTCTAACAATTTTGGTAGTAGAACGTAATTAGATATTATTCGCAAAGTATCCAATTTACCGACATAACACGCTAAGTGCACTGCCGTGTTACCATTAAAGTCTAATATTTCTGCATTGGCGCCGGCAATCATTAAATGATGAACAATTTCACACTGACTCGTCAAAACTGCTAAATGAAGGGCAGTCTGAAAAAGTACAACAAAACAAGTATTATTAATTAAAAGTTTTCATATTGTTAGATTATAAATATTCTACATGTAAAAGTTAATATCACAGTAAAAGACAGGAAGAAAAGAGGCCAGTAGAGCGTAATATTAATTTTCAATCCCTCAGTGGTGTAAGGGTGAAAAGGGTGAGGTGGGTACATAGAGCATATACCCTACAACTACGCCACTTCAGTATTTGTGGTAAATTTGTTAAATGTTTTTAGCCGCAGACATATTCTTAATTATTTAATACTGGTTGGTTGTCTAACAGTCATTATTATTATTAGCTTACTTACACTTAAATTAAAAATGATTAAATATTGTCATTTGTAAAACTAAAGTTGACAGTAACATAATATAATAATTTTTAAAGGAGAATAGTCAAACAACAAAATATATTGAAACTATTTTGCATAAGAATGTTTATAAGGAAAACAAATTGAATACATTTTCAACGATACTTGGTAGTTACTAATTTTATTAGTGTATAAATTAAATGGTGACTCACCCTATTTTTTTTTACTTTTGATTTCCTACACATATTACAGGACTGGCACAAAAGTGAGCCACACCAGATACAAATGTTGAAACAATTCAATTTTATAGTTAAGCATGTATAAGTTGAACTTAGGAATACCACAGGAATAACGTGCAATATTTGTTTGTATATGATTAAAATTTAACTAATTAAAATGCTATTAAGGTTTAAAATAATTAATAACTTTAATTTAACCATGAATATTACAAATTTTTAGTTCTCAGGTTTTAAGACATTTTAAGAGCATACTTATATCAATAATTAGTATTAACTTTTAATTATAGATATTGATTCTGACATAAATAGAGTTAATCAAATATTTTTTCTGGATGCTGCCAGATACCTCTTGAACCAAAGTTAAATTCTTAGCCTATAAATATAATTTCACGGTTTAAGTATTCTGCTCATCATTATCCTCTAACTCGGAATACATTCAATTACACATTACATAATTTCTTAACAGAAAGTTAATAACTAGTAGTGAGGCACGAGCCTGTAAGTCAGAGAGATGATTAAAATAAATTATGTATTTAAAATGTATATAAAAAAATATTTGTTATTTAAATTAAATAAAAGTGGATAAACATTGTCTCAATATTGATAGTGGTGAAGCAACTATAAGACAGTAGACACTAAAACCTATTACTCAGTTTTCCCATAATCTCAATGTTAACACTCAAATATTATACCTAACATATTATATAAAATGTTTATAATTTGTGAAAATACTAACGACAAAATACATTGTATAAACTTTAAAAAATATACTTTTGCAATAGCTGTTTATCTAACTGGGTCAAACGAAATAAAATTATAATATGTAATCTACAAAATGTAGCTAAAAAGTCAATTGATCAATATTTTTTAAAAAAAGTACACAATACCTAATAGTTTAAAACTCATACAAAAAATTTAAACTTACTTGGCCATTGTCGTTTCGAATATCAAGATACTTTGAATCAGGACAAATGTCAATTAACCGCTTTGATGCTTCTATGTATCCATGTAATATAGTCAAATGAAGCTGCCTGTAAATAATTAAAATGTTTATAATGAATTATAAATAAAATAAACCCGCTACAAAATAGTAATAACTTTATATTTCACTTTTACTAGATGCGTAAAATAGTCGTAGTAATTTATTAAAAAATATGCATCATAACTCATTTACAAAATATAATATTATTTTTTATGTCTTGATAAGTTATACATTTGTGTTTGCTACGTTGAAAAATAGTATGTTTCGTTGATGTTCACGAATAGTAGTATGTTTGTCTCAATAGGAGATTTGTTAGGTAAAATATACTTATTTTTATTGTAACATGTTAGCTTTTGTAGTGAATTGGGAAGGGTATTATAGTTCAATGTAACGGACAAAAATATACTACTTTTCGGGCTATAACATACTACTTTTAATACATCGTAACAGGAAGTGTAAGTGTAGACTATTTTTGTAAATGTTTACATAATACATATTAAAGAAATTAGCCTAATAAATTTTGTTACTTTTATGGTGAGTACACTATTTGAGCTACCTACCCTCTTTTTAGTGATATTAACTTTAAAAATAAAACTATTAATAATTATATACATACGTTTCTCCGTCTTCGTTGGGCTGAAAATACAACTTCCAATTGGGTTCGCTATTAGTCTGCATTTGATTAGTAATTTTACTGTCTACATCTAATTCACTCAGACACTCTGATTCCCCAATATCTAATCCACTGTCTAGAGTAGTTTTGGCAGCGTCTTTAGAGGAGTGATCGCTTTTCGTATCATACTCGATATTTTCTTTAGACAGCATGTCGCATGATAGGTTGGCGTCGGACAGGAATCCGGAATCCATTTTTACGTTTGTAAGTTCTTTAGAAGTAATATCGGTCTTGGACGATTGTAATTTTTCGCGTTTTCCTGAAAGTGCCATTTTCAATTTATCCGCATTACTTTTTGACCACATGCTTTGGAAAGAAATTTTAACTGTATTTTTATAATCAAGTTACTGATGAAGACGTCTTTGACGTACAACGTTCGATAATGAAATAAATTTATTGCGAGATAATTATATTATATTGTAAGGTACTAATAAAGAACTATAACGAAATAATTATATTCGATATTGTGCAACAGAGTATCATGGAAATAACTGCTTAGTTCTTATTTTTTAGCCACTTGTACACGTCAAAACACTATTAAGTAATAGGTAATTTACGCAATAGCTTAAGTATTTATTTATTAAATTTTATTGTTACAAATGAACACAAACACAAATGGACTAGATTAAAATTTTGGTACAAAACGATACGATTTCTCAAGCACAAACAAACGTACGGCAAAACAAAAATGTATATTATCAATTCGACGACACTACGAACTTGGCGTGTAGCGCGTAACGCTTTACAGATTACTATACACTGTTTACTAGCAAATACGTTCAGCAAATACTATAACTGACTACTCACTGGCGAGACGTAGTGGTAGTAGTGCAATTGCCGTAAACTGTAAAGTAGTATACTATCATGTTATTATTTACAGTAACCAAGAGAAGTGTGGAGTCCAGGAGTGGGGGAAGTGGGAACGAAAGTGAAGGGCTACCGTTGTCCATTGCAGTAGAGCCGCCGTTAAACGCACGAAATACCAAATGGTATGTTATCCCTCAATGAATTTTACACACTATTATTATTATACTACAACCATGAATTTGACAAAAAGCAATAATACCTATTAACAATGAAACTTTTTTTTTTAAAAATCTACATTACATTTTTTTTTTCCATTTTTAAAACATTTCATAATATTAACAAACGTGTTATAATTTTGATCATTCATAAATTCATTAAACATCATTTATAAATTAACGTTTATTGTGAATAAATAATGAATACGTATGAAAATAAAAAAACCTAAGATAAAAATGAAATGATTCAAGATCAATTGTTTAATGTTCTGTAATTATCTATTATTTATTGTCTTCTGTAAAAATTAACAAACCATGATTGTGCCAACTTTTTTTAACCAATAATTGGAGCCTATAGTATGTAAAACCTTCCAACCATAAAAGTATACCATTTGTTTTTTTGACGTTCAAAATACAATTTTATCAACCCTTTTGTTTTAAAATAGCAGTGAACACACGTAGTTAAAACCTTGAACTGGATCGGATTGGGTCGTCGAGCAGGTTTATTAAAATTAAATTGACCACCTAATGTTTAAAAATAGTTCAAACGGCCGTTAACAGTCGTTATAGTAAAAACAAGATTAATTCATAAAACAAAAAAACAATATGTTTTTCCACATGCTCAATAAAAACCACCAATCCCGACCTTGCATTAATAGTGGAAAACATTTCGTACAAAACGAGAAATTGTTAAAATTTTAAAGCAACGCGTTTATTAGCATATATTTTTATGACAGTAAAAAATTGGAATGTTAAATTTGATATAATAAATAATATGACTAACCCTTCTGCTGTTGACGTGACAGCTATGAGTAAATCAAATATGATAATGATAAATAATACTTAGCGGTGACCTGAACCTGATAGACTGACAAGAAAACTTCCTCGTTCGACTTTTACGATGACGTGTTTCGTATACAAAATTGGGAAAACCCGCCTTACCCTCCGAAGATCAAATATTGCAAACAAAAAGAAACATCTAACACATATTTTTCTAATCCAAACACGTCAAAAGGCAAAATTTCATCTCCAGTCAGACACTATAATCGATTAATAAAAAATCGAATACCAACACAGCCACAGGTGCAACTATAGATTATTATTTAAAAAATGTATTTTTATGCTCCCAAGTGAGAACGAACTTCACAACTTAATACCCTTGCGACTATTTTAATGGTCACCCCGACCTTACCATGCTCTCTAGGGCTAACTTTCAATCTGCAATTTAAGATATTTAAATGCTAATTTAAGAAAGGAAGACCAAGACCATTAAGAAATACAAGGATCTCTTCCTGTTTGCCGAAAGCGCTTCTATGTTGTATATTTTATTTTCGTCTAACTATTATTAAAACAATAATTTATTCGAAATACTTGGAACTCTCTACGACGTCGCTATTTATAATTTTTCTTATTCTTGTGCAATACTATTTTTATCCCAACACGTTATTTTTTATTGTTTTTTTTTTTTTTTAATGTTGGCTTCTGTATCTACAGCGAACTTTACTGTACACAAATTTAGTAATCGTCGGCTGTAAAATACATTAGGAAAAAGCTAATTAAAATGTTTTTGAAAAATTTTAACGATGCCCGTTAAAACGTGGAATTGATTAAAAAATATGTAACTGATAAAACAATAATAATAATGTTGTATAATTAGTAAAATATATTTCGTTATAATAACATGCTAATGGATTAAAGCGAGGTGTTGGACGTTGATTTAAAGAAAATATTTTTCACCGGCTTTTCGTTAGTATAATTAACTATTTTGTTTTCAGACGACTGACAATACTATATTATAATTGTACAATAATAGGTATATTATATTTTATATGTATATAAATAAGTTAATTTAACATTAGTGTTCCCGTGACATTTATTTTATTTTATTAATAATAAACGCCAAATAGGATCAAGTACATTGTCATAAGTTAAATTATACACAATTAAATAACAAAATACAACGTCAAGAAATATACACGATCGTCTACAATTTATAAAAAAAAATGTGATAGCATTTTTGTTGCATTAGTCAAACATTATTGGTAAAGATTAAGATTTAAGAAGGCAAAGGAAACACGTTTCAGGAGGACCTTTTTTTATAGAACTGAACAGTTTTATGATTTAGAATAACAGAACATATTGTTAAGAAAATCAAAGATTTAGAATTTAACTAAATTTTGACATTTATCATTCATATGTCCCAAATTTTTACAATTTTGTCCATTTTGTGAATTTTACGAATTTAGCAAAAGTATTTAAATTTCACACTTAGAGTGTAAACATGTACTTATGTACATAAATCATAAACAAGTGTTTTCTGGTCGTTTTGTTTGAAGCATTCGCTTTATTTTTTCCTAGTATTGTTAGCACCCTCCTAAAATAAAAAGTAAATCCTAACTCCCCTAGTGTTCAGGGTGCGGGTGTAATGGTTTCGATGTTAATAATACATTAATTACACGTGTATGCTTTTCATACCTATGAAAAGCGCTCGGGCCCAAATGGTAGTCATCATCTTCATGTTTTCCTTTTGTCTGTCGACACAAAACCCGATATCGTGCGCGTCGGCGGTACCGGCGGTCGCGTTAGCTGTACCGTGCAAGACCGGCCGTTTTGCGCGTGTTCATAGTGCCATTGTACCGACGTGAGCCCGGATTATTCGATTTTACTACAATGGGTACAATACTCGAATATCGAGTATACGAAAAATTGTCGAAAAACGAAACGCAAAATATGCTGAAAACGAATAATTCGAGAAAAACAAGTTGATATATTACAGTAATTTTTTTTGGTTCCTCTTCGGCGTGCCCGGTCTCGGTCGGTCGGCCGGCACGAGGAGACAAGTTGAAAACAAAAATATAAAAAACTGTGGATTTTCACGATATTATTTTATGGTAATAGCTAAATGCCAATTGAACAAGATAGTTGCGGTGCCCGTGTACTGTAGTACACACGGACACCAGCGCGGCGTACCCACGAGAATTTAATCGTCGGGGAAAACCGTTGGTTTCGAATACACACACACACATGCAGTGCCCGCGTTGTCTGGCAATCATTACCATCGACATGGCGCGCGATAGTGTAAACCGGCGGCAGTCACTTTGCGCTGGGATTCCCCGGAACTGAGGTCACACACCCGTTGGTAGGAGACCGCAGGCCTCACGGCTCGCACGCACGCATACACCTGTACATACCATAATCCGCCGTCTGACAATTATTTCCTATAGTAATTTTAAAATATTTTTTTACTACCGTCAACTTTCGTCAATTACATTTTACGTAGCCGTCGAACAATACTACGTATACAGCGAGTACATAATGTAATATTATTATTAATTATTATTATACGACAGCACAATGGGCTCGCGACGCGTAATCGCTGTGGGCGGTAACTCGTTGTAACATATATACAAAATATACACCTGATGTAAGACATTCATTTTCTCGGCAAATTTCAATATTTTGAAAATTAGTTTTTTCCTATACCTACTAATAAGTACGTTTTTTATTATATTTTTTAATACTTAGACAATTTTGATCTTCATTCCTACGTTAAACAAGACGTATTGACCTGGTTTTTTCAAAAGAGAACCAATGTTTTTAATTTTCTATGACTAAATAGATATTATATTTCCCCATATAATTGTCTTCCGAATTTCAGTAGTCCATAAATTTCACATTTATGTTTGCATTGTCCGACATTTTTAAAATTCTTTGTCTACATATTTATGGAATTGAAAACATATATTCCCATGTGAATAAATAAAGTCCATACTCCTTTTACGTATAAGAGATGAAGGTAAACATTTTCTATTTTTTTATTTTATTTTTATTAAAACTATTTATAATTTCTAGTGTTAAAAACAATAAGTAAATTCGTTGAACATTTTACAGTGGAGGACGACGAGATAGAAGGGGGTGTCCAGTGACACTACTTCAACTCTAAGTATTAAAAAATATAGTAAAATATGTACCTACAAGAATAGGAAAAATTAATTATCAAAATATTCATATTTTCCGAGAAAATTAGTGTGTTACATCAGATGGATCACCCTGTATCCTTGTGGTAGACGCCGAAGACAACGTCCGAGTGGCTAGCCGATGACGTTTCGGATCATAAAATATAATTATTAATACGTATTACATTTCATAGGCAATATTATAATATATTATGTACATGGCCTACTGTTGTTTTTTACCATAATGTTTAGTGGAATTCACGTTGGTCGAGTTTTCACTAAAAAAAAACAACTAATATCATGTTATTACTATTATTTTAATATCGTTTGTATTTTTTAGTAATTCTTGTGTTTCTTTCAATGTGAACGATGAATTTACAAGTAAAACAGTCGCATCGATTTAAATAAATAAATACGCTGTACGCAACAACGGGTTGACGTCATGTCGTTTAAGTATAGTTTAACCGCCCGATTTTGTTGCCTTATTTGATCACACATATTTTTTTCAGTTTCCATAACTTGCTATCCGTGACGTAAATATATTTGGTAATTGTATATGTGATCTTAAAGAAGGAAAGAACGTGAAATTGAATTTGTAAAACAAGGTATTTAGAGGCAGAGATAGACCGAAGGAGAAGTGGATGAATGTGATTAATGAAGTTATGGAGGTGTATGTGTGTGCATGGAGTGAAAAAACAAAAAAGTATGCTGAGAGAGATTTGGCTGTTCGACCATATTTATAAGTAGATACACAAAATGTATTTAAGTTAAAAAATGATTTATTACAGCAAATAAAATCGTCTCAAAATAAAAAAAATTATTTGGTGAGCCAAAAAAATATTTTAATAAATTCATTATTTGCAAATGA